GGCGAGATGAAAAGGGTCGGATATCTTATTGACGTATTTGCATCCCGGTGTTCTAACTGTATTGACGAATCTACTTCGGGGAACGTAGATGATCTGTATAAAAGTTTGGGCTCATGGTTAGGAAAAGAGCACTCGAGAATAGTCGAGATGATGAGAGTAAGATTAAGAGATATTAGCATCTAGATAAAGTCTAATAACTATACTATAGATTATAGTTATCAATTATAAGAGTTTACAAAGCTTACTGTTTACATAAAAAGTCTTGTGAAAATTCTTCTATATTTCTAAGACAGTTGATTCTCCGAAACGACGATCCTTTCACTACTCCATGGTCTTAGTTGTCAATGCATAATTACCTAAGATACCTATCTGATTACTGTAATAGTTTATTCGATGTACTTTTTCAGCAACTTTGGCATTAACTATAGAAGAATTCTTCAACTTTGTTAGTCTTTCATTAATGTCTTAACTTTACGAAACGACTATATCTGAAATAACAACCTTAGTTTCTAACTTAGTAGTTCTACTTTATGATTCTTAATGTTCGTATCTCTAATCTGACAAGTAGCAACTAGAAGTAGGCAACTCAGAACTAAGCTAGTTAGATCTGAACCCTACCTCAGATCTGCCCGGGCTTAACGCCACAAGGCATAGCTAGACCTAGGTGAATACGGTTCTTCGTTTTCATACGTAAATCCGTATGGTTACGTAAAGTGATGTGGTCCAAGCGGTAACCGTTAATTCCACTGCCACGCAACTTCGTACGGTCCGAGAAAAGGGGACTCGTAACATATTTCCCTTTCCATTGCGGCTGGAACTTAGAAGCACTTATTTATCACTTGCAGTAGTGTGCGCCTGTTCCTACATTTATTCCTTCAAAATTATGCTTGATTTTAGTGTCCGTTGGCGTAACGCATGGTGGCTGAATTTTCTGCATATACCGTTGTAAGCTACCTCGGGTCAGCAAGCTGCATGATGACATTGCGGATATTCTTTTAAGCCAATAAATTTTTGCTTTTGATGCCCGAATTATTCGCTGCCTTGACGGACTTAAAGGAAGCTCGCTCCCGAATACTTGCTTCGACGCGCATTACGATGTACGTCAAACTCGGCTATGATTATTCCTTAACGGCGGTGCTAGACCTACCTTCACGCAATGCGATGCATGAGAATTTCTCAGAGAATGAGATGGATATAAGCTGCGTCAGAAACTTGGCTAAAATATTATCCTAAATGAATTTTCTTCAAAAAAGATCTACCTACAAAATTTTTATCAGGTGTTGTTAAAAGCATGTGCTTATTTCTTATGGTATACATGTTTTGTAAGGATTTTTTAATGGGTGTTCTATGAAATGATGAGTTAGTTTCATTCTCATCTATATTTACCAGTTATTTTCTTCCTTCTTATAAAAAGTATCTATAGTTAATAAGGGATAGTGAATGAGATTTCATGAGTTACATTTAATTGGTGATAAGCTTGAAAGTCCCCATACGCAACTGCACCTACATCAGATGATAATCACGAGTAAGACTCAGAATTAGCTACTCATTAAAAAATTTGTGTATGATATATTTAGGATGACTAAGTTGTAGAGATATGATGAATGTCACTATGACTCCTTCACAGTTAAGATTTATCAAACAGGTAGTTAACTCCGACCCCTTTATAGCCTATTGGATCCATGGAGGAACTTCAAACTTTTTGATTTTCACATTCCACTCACTACATAATATCAGACATGTCACTAAATGCCGGAATTGGTCCCCTTAGGCTAAGTAAACGATGATTCCCAGCCTTAACTTGTTTCTAGGCAAAGGTAGATGTAAAGTATTTACTGAGTTATCTTACAGATTAACAAGAAAAACAATCCTTCCCTTACCTTCGAAATAGTTAATAAATTAGAGTGGTTAGAAAATTCAATGACGTATAGGGAAAAGCAAAACCAGCCAAACAAAGATATGAGATGCACGTAAATCAATAGTACGGAACAGATCTTGGAGTAAGCGTAATTGGCGCAGTCTTCTATGATGACAAAATAACTCAGCCCTATACGCGTAGCACACGGGAAAGGGGTGACCGATCTTTGAAACAGGCGTCTCCCTGTCCCTTTGTCCTAATTCACCGTACCTCCGCCAATAGAAATTTCGTAATTATCTAAGGCTCCTAGATATCTGATAGTAGATTTACTGATAGCCGATCAGAATATCGTGAGGATGATAGATATTTAGGACCTAGATATGATATCACCCCTTGTTATTAGGTAGGTGTATGGTCGAGACCGTTGTGCTCGGACCGCATCGGGCGTCGGGTGAGTATAGATTCGTTCAAGTCCTGCAGCTCACAGTTCAGCTCGGTGAAGTCGTCGACCGTCTTTTGTATTTTACCAATTTATGATCAGCGATACATTCAACCTTGGCTTCAAGCCACACCGAGGTGAAGCCGGATACACGGAGAATCATTAACCGTTTTCGCTCCCCGCCTCGGGCGCCGAGACGGAGTTAAATTCATATAACACTTACCTCGAACCAATGAGAAAGTGAGGTAAGACATAATCTAGTCAGCCTTTGAATTGTTTTCAAGTCCTTGAACAAAGCTTATCCCCTAAGCTCCGAGCCAAGAATATATCCAATTAGAACTTAACAAAGATTTACCCTTTGGAAATGATGCAGGAAACTTTAGCCAACGGGAGTCTAAGATCCATGTACCGCTCTCTATTCGCATCTTAGGAGATAATTCTCGCGAGGCAAGCATCATAAGGTACAGCTTGACATATGACATATGATGAAGGCGGCTGTGAGTTCCCGATCTACCGGCGGTCATTAGTATATCGACTCAATGTAAATAGCCTTCGTTTAATCTGCAATTAGTTTCCATCCTTCATTCATATTTCATATCCATTAGAATTAAAACTTCTCAAAAGATCGACTTACATGAACCACTAAATAATCAACACGGGAACATGAGTTCGACACTAGTATATCCAAGGGATCCAACGGTCACCATGACCAACATCCTTACTTTGTATCACACCCATAAGCTTCTTTTCTTGGCTGGCCTTGTCGCCGTGGTATGTTCGGTGGCATGGCTTCGTAGGGATAGACGTCTAGAGAAAATGCCTGGGCCTAGCGGAAATCCGTTAATTGGAATCGGTACCAGCTTACCTCCAAAGGCGCATATCCGCTTTCGAGAATGGGCCGCTACGTATGGCGATGTGTTCAAGTTGAAGGTGGGCTGGTATAATTGGGTGATCATCAATAGCCCAGAAGCGATCCACGAAATTCTGATTAAACAGGTAATAAATATGAAAGATCATAGAACGATATATATAATCAAAAACTGACGCTTATCTCCTTAGTCCTCAAGTACTTCGTCTAAGATGCCTGCTCCCATTGGACATGATGTGGTCGCTGGTGGGATGCGGATGTTTACCTTGCCGTACGGGAACAAGTGGCGCGCATTTCGTACCATATCACACCAACTTCTCTCAAGTACGATGACAGCCACATTCATCCCATCGCAGGAATATGAGGCCAAGCAGCTACTTTTCGACTTGGCTACGGATCAGAGCGACTTCCTCATGCACGTACGCCGCTTCGCCTTCAGTATCATGCTGACTAGTACCTACGGCTTACGCGTAAAGACGTGGGATGATGAAGATGTACATCATGCCTTGGAGAGCGCCCGCATTCTTGGCAAAATAACGCATGCGGGTGTATTCATCGTCGATGAGCTGCCCATCTTGGCACAACTTCCTACGTGGTTGCAGCCGGGGAGAAAGAGAGCAGAGGGGTACGCAAAGCCGCTACTTGATGCCAAGATGATACTCTGGAGAAGATTACAAGATCAGGTTGCTGCTGGAAAAGCACCGGTGTGTCACGCACGCGAGATGATGGAGAACGACGACTCTTGGAGGAAACAGGGGCTCACAGACGAAGATGCGGCTTGGGTTACTGGCGGTAACGTAGAGGCCGGATCGACAACAACATCAGTTACGCTGTTGAGCTTGCTATTACACCTCGCAGCAAGCCCCGACATTCAGAAAACCGCCCACGACGAGCTTATGCGCGTCGTAGGACCTGATCGCACCCCTGTCTTCGATGACGTAAAGAACCTCCCTTACATCCGCGCCTGTGTTAAGGAGGTTCTGCGAATGCACCCTACGCCTTTCTGGGGAATCAAACATTACGCTGATGCCGATGTTACTTACAAAGACTATGTTATTCCCAAAGGCACTATACTACTAGCCAACACGAGCACCATCCACTACGATCCATCTCGTTACGAAGACCCGTTCACATTCCGTCCCGAGCGTTACCTTGACCACCCCAAATACAGCGCTGACTACGCTAACCAAAGCGACCCGTACAAACGGGACCACTTCACCTTCGGCGTAGGACGACGCATCTGTCCAGGCTCCCGTCTCGCTGAGAATTCTCTTAACATTGCGTTGGCAAATATTCTATGGGCGTTCGACATCCGCCCGCCCGTAGTCGACGGCGTTGAGGCTGAAATGGACCTAAGCGACGACGCCTGGGAGAACACGAGTTTCCGCGGGCCGAAACCCTTCAAGGCCCGGTTCGTGCCGCGTGCCGAACACAGATCGAAACTTGTCCAGGACCAGTGGCAGCAGGCTATGAAGGAAGGATATGTGCTCAGGGGTAACAACGTTGATGTCGATAGCGTTGTGACATATTAATAGCGTAATTATGGGCTGTTATTCAGTCGATTGGCCTTAACTTTAATAACTGGCATAATGTGTACCTAGAAAACGATAATTGTAACATATTCTCAATATAGTCATCTTATTCTCTATTTTATTGTTTAAAAGTGTTCTTGTCGTGTAAGCAGAGATGAAGACGCCCCCCGCACGATAGCTATAATATGTATTTACCCCCTAGGTACCTCTTAATCCGACATGAGGGGCTCCCCCCTTAGACTTAGGATGGTTTGGTAAAGATCACGAATGAAAATTAATTATGAACTACTTCAGTTTTAGAGAATGGGTTATCCACATTTCGCACCGACTCTCCTCTGGAATTTACCTCTCCCAAGCGAACTAGGTGTTAAGAAGCCGGCAAATATATTCGCATTCTCCCTGGACGATAAGTTCCTTTTCACTTTACACGAAGATCAGGGTGGTATATTGGTAAGTTCTCCCCACAGAAGTCTTCGGTCAGCTTTTATAGCTTTGGATTTACACATGGACAGTCGGTGACATAGCTCATAAGAAATGCTTATTGTACAGATTTAGAGTTCTATTCACTTGTGAAGATATATAAGTACATGCTGACTTCATGCTATTGCCGTAGTGGGATCTTACTACCACTTCTTTGCCTCGAAAGCTGGAATTCGGTCAGGATAATCCTAGCTCAAAACATCCTATCAGGGCTGCCGCATTAGATGGAAATAATGGACTCATAATAGCTTTTGGTCTCACCCATCCCGCTGAATATTATAATATTCCTAAGGATGGCACATTATTAAAATTAGCGAACTACGTCCTTCCAGTGGCGAACGACGTCAAAGTCTCCAGAGATGGCAGCGTATTCGCGTTCACGACAGGGGCTACCGTGGAGCTATGGGATGCACATAGCTTTCAGGAGGTTAAAGTTCTCATACCGAATGTTGAAACTCGTAACCAGTTTGAAAAGGTTGCTCTCTCTCAGGATAATAAATATGTTGCAACAATCGATTCCGAAGGTCAATTCTTCGTTTGGGGGCTGGACAATGATTTCCACAAGGTCTCGCAGAATAGTGAGGTTGGCATAGACCTGGGGCAAGGATGGATTCCGTCGAGTATTGGCTTAAGTGAACACAATTTCGTGATGGCTGCCCTAAGAAAGCGAACGACTTTGGGTCAGGACTCCTGGATGCTAATGTCGTGGGGCTATAAATACGAAGGGCCTGACAATACGCTATATGCTAAAGAATACCCAAACTGCGCGCTAACCTGCGTCGCGCCCAGCACTGTGTTTAGTGTTTCTCTAACCCCGGAGGGCCATTTGAGAGGGAGCGATAGCATGCTCTGGCCGCTATTCTCGACTGAGCAGGGTGCCAGTAAAAAAGGCAAGGCCGTATCGTGTGGAATATCCGAAAGCAGTAAAGTTTTCGCTGCAGCTAGGACTAACGGTCGCGTAGCTGTATGGCGATTATATACTCAAGACGCAGATCCTAACGAGCGGTATCCGGGATAAGGTTATTAATAGGGGCGTTGCTATATGTATCCATTCTACCATTAATAATTTCCATGACGCTGTGGGGCTAATCATCGTGTATTTTTAATACTCAAATAAATATAATATACATCTGAGATATTTTTCTTCGAATCGGTAATTTCTTCCGTTACATCCCCCTCATCCTGATAATTATGCTTTAACAGTCTCTTATAAAGATACCAATAAGAACTAAAACATACCTAAATATATCAAAGTATAAGGGTCCATGAAACTACCTAGAGGTATCTAAAGCTGAAATACTAATGTGGGTAGGAGCTCTTTGTCCGAGGGCGTCTCAGTGAACCAGAGACCTAACGAGACGTATTAATTTCTGTAGGTTTGATACATTGATTTTCCACCTTGATTACTATGCATATGGCCTAGGATATGGTTCTTTTGATATTGATGCATACTCTCATAATGGTGATTTCAGTTCCACTGCCATATAATAGACGATTATACTCTATAATTGCGGGCTTAAGGGGTTTGTCAAGCTCCTAAGTGCGAAACCCTTTCATGACAACGAACAAGACAAATTCACAATATGAGACTTATGTGGTAAATCAATAGGTACGTTTTTAAAACCTATCTATGTAGCATTGGTTGTTTTATACTAATTGTGACCATAATACTTGCAATCGAAACATCCAGTTTAACTGCCAGTAAAACTAGTAAATATGTTGTGTCCGGACAAACACATAGCCAAACATAGTTACTACCTAGCACGTAAATAGTGAGTAACCAAGTATTCTTGTAGTTTGTAATAGCAAAGTTAGGTGCCAAAAGTGATGGCTGGCTCAAGAATGTCTTATATAAAAGTAAGGCTGCCAGAAGAAAAGCTGCTGCCATGTGTTATTCATTCCTAGTTCCACATGAGTTATCCACAAGGCGCTTTCGTAATTTCGTTGAATTTCCTCGGGAAATTTACAGAGCAAGAAATTTCTAGAGCGCGCCACAACGTAAAGGAAGTATTCCCACTACAGTACTCTGGGGCTTCTACTAAAATCCACGTGAAAAGTAACTTTGTATCTTGACTATGTCGTATCGAAATCAGGGACGAGGCCGACAGTCACACCGTGGCCAGAGCCAGGGTCGTGGCTATAGCCATGGCCGTGGTCAAAGTCGGGATCAGAGTCAAGAACATAATCCGGCTCAGAGCCGAAATCAATATCAAAATAGAGGTCGGAGCCAGAGCAGTCAAGGAGGATATCCATATCGAGGTTCAAGTTCTGGATCAGCAGGGAATCCACCCGAGCCTTCATCCACTGTCACTGCGAATGAGAATACCATCATTTCTAATCCCAAAGATGGCAGTCAAAATATTACTCCCCGAAGGCCGGCATATGGAAATGAAGGAAAAGATATCGTACTCTGGGCTAACCACTTTGAACTCAAAGCAGACAAGCGTAGTAACCTCTACTTCTACCTTATATCCTTTCCAGACAAGACAAAAGAACCTAAAGGGAGAAAACTTGCTCGCGTCGTCAAGCTGCTTCTTGACAAGATTAAGCCACTCTCTGCAGTTACCGATTTTGCTAACATACTCATCTCACACGAAAAGCTCACGGAAAATTCCTACGAGGTACCCTACAGCGATGAATACAACACTCAATCAGGTAATAATACAGTAACTTACAAGGTGAAGATTGAGAATACGAGAACATTATCTATTGATTATCTACTTCAATACCTACAAGATCCTAAACAACCTCATGCAAAAGAAGTCCTGTCACAAATTGTCCAGGCATTTAATATCTTTCTGAATCATTACCCTCAGGAATCGAAAGATTATGCCACGATCGGTTCAGACAGATCATTTCCACTAAACCAACTTTCCCCTCCGAGTCTACCATACGGCTGCTTTGCACTCAAGGGATACTACTCTAGTATCCGACTTGCTACTTCGCGAATCCTCGTCAACATAAACGTCAGCTATGGCGTGTTTCATGGTAAGGAAAGACTAGATGGTATAATGTCTAAATTCATTGATAAATGGGGCGACAGCCCTGCTACTCTCCAGAAGTTAGCAGCTTCCCTTAAAGGGATCAGAATAGAATATGATTACCTGAAAGATAAGGAAGGTAAAAGCATCCGCCGGGTAAAAACCATCTTCGATCTTGCTTCGCCAGGAGACGGCAAGGTACCTACAGATAAAGATGATAAGACTAAGAAGCCGAAAGTACCCAAGTATGGAGCTAAAACAGATGAGGTTGAATTTTGGTTCAATGATGGTTACATCAGCGTCTTTAAGTTCTTCGAGACAAGTCAGTTAAGTCTATTTCATACGAAGTATTATAATGACGAATATATATTCTGACATCACTAGAACATAAAAAAACGGTTGCTAAAACCGTGCCACTTATCAATGTTGGATCGCGTGAGCGCCCAACGTACCTCCCATCAGATGTCTGTTATGTGTTATACGGGCAGAGAGCAAAGATAGTTCGATATGACAATGATATGGTTTCCAATATACCTATCCACGGCCCTTCGGATAATGCAAACGATATTGAAAACAATGGCTTGAGAGCGATTGGACTGTCAAAAGGAGACGCTCGTAACGAGAAGAGACTGGTAAGTAATACAAGGACAGTGAACAATAGAACAGCTGACTGATTCTCATAATCATTAGGAAAATTTTGGTATCTCAGTTAGCAACCCCGAGTTGATCACCGTCAGAGGCCGCAGAATGTCTGAACCTGAAATCCGGTATAACCGTGGACATGTGATAAAGAAAAGTAACTGGAACCTGGCACATATACAGCTCGCGGCTAAAACAGCTGAAAAACGCGGGCTGTGTGTAACCATAGGGCTCGGAAAAGGTGATGTAGCACGTCTCAAGAACACACTTCAGCAGCTCCGCGATATGTTGAAGGAAAATGGCGTATTCATTACAACCCTGGATTCTTCGATAGTTGAAATCACGAACAACAAGACCGAACTCGAGAGCAAACTCAGGGACGTGTTTGAACGCAAGGTTAAGAAGGTGGACTTTTTACTCGTGGTCTTATCAAAGAAAGAATCATTTACTTATAATTGTGTCAAGAGACTTGGAGACATAGAATACGGTGTCCCAACTCTCTGTATTTTTAAGAATAACCTTGTTCCCAAACCCCCTCCTAATAACTCCTCTTCGAGACCATCCGGTAATTCTTCTAGGAATGCCCCTGGGGACACTCCCAGGATCTCTGGGAATCTCGTCGGAAACCTAGCTCTGAAGCTCAATTTGAAGTTCAGCAACAACAACCAGATTGTCAACTTAGCAAAGCTACGTGGTAAACTCAACCTACGAGAAACAATGATCGTAGGCATCGACGTCACCCATTCTCCAACCCCTGGCCAACCTAGCATCGCGGGGATGGTAGCCAGCATTGACGAGAACCTCGGACAGTGGCCTGCCGTCTTGCGCCACCAGGACAAGCCGCGTGTCGAGATGGTGACGCGCCTGGAAGAGATGCTCGAGACTCGGCTTACGCTCTGGTGCTCGAGGCACAAATCCTACCCCAAGAATATCATCGTCTACCGCGACGGGGTATCCGAAGGCCAGTACGAACTCGTTATCAAAGAGGAACTCCCCAAGTTGAAAGAGGCATGCAAAAAACTATATACCCCAGCACACATGCCGAAGATTACCATCGTCGTCGTCGGCAAGCGACATCACACTCGTTTCTACGCCGGAATGCACAAGGGTAACCCGACTCCGGGAACAGTCGTCGATCGCGGCGTTACAGAGGCTGTCAACTGGGACTTCTTCCTACAGTCGCATAGACCAATTAGAGGCACCGCCCGTCCGGCCCATTACTTTGTCGTCCACGACGAGATATTCAAGGATACGTTCAAAGGTGAAAATGAAAATGTGGCTAGCATGTTAGAGGTTTTTACTCATTCCCTATGCTTCATATTCGGCCGGTCGACCAATCCCGTTAGCATATGTACGCCGGCTTATTATGCGGATATTGCCTGCAGCCGTGCTCGTTGCTATGTTGCTGCTGATGTTGCTGCTGGTGCCACCGATGCCGCAGCTCAAGTTTCTAGCTCGGCATCAGATGAACAGAAACCTCCTCCTGGCAGTAATGGTCTTCTTCTTCATCCAAAGATGAAGGATAGTATGTTTTACATTTAAGTAATTGATGAGGATGCCTTCCCCCTTCCCTCTTAGGGGTTTAGTCCTTAGGTATCTGATTTTTAGGGTTGAATTATGTTTAGGATAGACAGTAGTTATTTCAATAAAAAGAGTACAGTAACAATTTAATCGGTTTTATTTACAATTGGTAATGATACAAGGCCATTATGTATACACTCAAGACCTAATGAAACTGCCTAGCGATCGCTCAAGAACGACACCGCCAGCACCGACCGCAGCGACGGTCCACAGCCACTTGTTACCGAACTCAGCTAGACTAGGCCAGAAGCTGTTCTTGGCTTTCTTGTACTGCTGTAGTTCCTTATACTTAGCAGGGCTTTCTTTAGCGAAGCGCTTCTCCTGGTGCTCCTCATTTTCTTTGTCTCCTCCGATGAAACGTAGGAAGATGTAGTTAGTAATAGGGCCAAGTAGTGTTAGAGGGTGTAGTTGTCCGGCGCTGAAGAGAAGGAGAGGGAAGGAAAGGTGTGCCAGAGCGTCACCGAGATAGCTACGAACAGTCAGCACTTTATCACGGTATTAATAGGGTGAAGGGGGAACTTACCTAGGGTGTCGGACAATGCTAAATACGCCTTCGCGGTTAAGTTCAGCACCCTTCTTACGCTCGTGAGACGCAAGTTGAGTATCAGCTAGGACTTCCAGAGCGTATCCTGCGGCGAACAGGAAGATAGCAACGCTACGAGATAGGGACGATGCTTCAGGGAAAGGAGAAGCAAGAGCAGTAGCAATTGGGGCGCGGAATGGCAATGTGAACGGCAGGGAGATCAAGGTCTGAATGAGAGCCTCAGGTAGAAACACAGTAAAGAAAGCCTTGTTCCAGAAGTCCGGCTGTTTCCTAGCTGCCGTCCGGTATCGAGGATCATCTTTACCACGTCGAAGAGTGCGCGAAGCAACACGGTAGAAGAGACGTAGACCCCAGGCACTAACACCTCCTAAGAGAAGCTTCTGGTCATACGACAATGCAGACCAGGCAGCAGAGAGAGATAATCCTTCGTGAACTACGGGAATCCCAACAGCGCTCCACCAAGCATTTGCTACTTGTGCACTCGGCCACAGCCAGTCCTTAGCTTCGACTGTGTCGGTATAGCGTCCTAACCCATACGCGATGAGGCTGAGACCGCTGTGGAAACCGAAAGATGGTAGTACTGCATGTTGAAGAAGTCCGAGTGTTGATGTTGTGCCACCAAACCTGATTCTGGCAGCAGGAGTAGGTTTAAAATGTGCTCCGTAGCGATCCTGCTCGGCGCCGGAACCTGATGGTAAGCTCTTATTCAGCTCTTTCGCCGAAGGGGCTTCGTGTCCACCAAACCAACGTTCGTATCTGTCTTGTTCGGCTCCTGATTCGTGAGGTAACATCTTTTCGATATCTGCTCTGGTAGGAAGTTTGTGTCCACCAAACCAGTGCTCATATCTGTCTTGCTCAGCACCCGAAGTCTGGGGAAGCCTCTTCTCGATATCTGCTCTAGAGGGGAGCTTATCTCCACCAAACCAACGTCCATATCGATCTTGCTCGGCACCAGATGTTTCCGAGAACTTATCGCGAACCTGATCAGCAGAGGGAAGCTTGTCTCCGCCGAAGGAGCGTCCGTAGCGATCCTGTTCCGCGCCGGAACCCTTAGGTAGATCTCTCGATACCGCATCCTTTACGCGGTCCTTTACACGGTCTACTTTATCACCTCCGAACCAACCACCAAAACGGTCTTGCTCGGCTCCCGAGCCTTTAGGAATGTTTTGCTGCACTTTCTCCTGGACTTTCTCTTGGACTTTGTCGGCTTTGTTTCCTCCAAACCAGCCGCCGTAGCGGTCCTGTTCCGCCATTGTCGTCGGAATAATTTAGGTGAGAATATCTAAATCATATGATGATAACTAGTAAGGAACTATGTTAGAAATTCAACTAAAACGAGGGGACATTGATTAATTTGTAGCAACACGGGAACACGGGAATGTCTGAGGAGACTATGACGTAGTGTTACTTAGACATGACGTAGTAGAATATGCATCTTGGCAGCAGATGTTCTAGGAGATGGTAAATGTAAATAAACTTATTTGGAGAAGAATTAAATTTGAGTTTATGATAATATCGAACGATTCAAGTCTTAAATTTGTAATGGGAAAGCTTCTGAGATGTTTTGTTAAAGCGGGCATACGAACAACTCCGCTTTAGCATCATCACCACTCGTAACGGCATAACCAGTTTTACAAAGCTATCAATGCATTATATTTCAATTAGAAAGCGTATAATGATGTGATATCTTTTCGAATTGTTTTAAAAATATAGGATTAACAATTAAATTCCTACCTCGCGAATGTGCCTGATACTCATATGTAAACCTCAATTCATTAATACGAAATATAAAGTCTAACCCGCTAGTAACCGAACTTTACTATATCCTATCCATAAATACAGGTATAAATATCTACCTACATAATAATTACCATACAATGATGAGTCCTTATCTACATTCATAAAAATATCAAGCTTAGAGTATGATATTACAGAATATCTCGGGAAAAGGGGCACCGCAACTATTAGCCAATTCTTTAAATTTCTCAATTTAACATGATTCCATATCACACATCACTTGCTCTACAATTTCGAAACAATAGGTATTTTCAATAACAGCGCGATCCTTTTATTCTCTCTCTCTAGCTAACTCAGGGGGACAATCTGATACGAAGGGTAGATATATACATTTGTAGAATATATACGGCCGTGAAGCCTTGGCCTCCTAACCAGCTGCTTAGACGGTAACGGTAGAGCCGATGGGTCCGAAGCGGATGTTGGACCAGACGACCTTGCTGTGGAATTGTTAGCAATGAATAAGTAGATTTCTGAGGGGGGGGGATGGTACGTACGCATCGGGGATGCTGGCCTCGACGTCGGAGGGGACACCGGAGTCGGGGGCACAGTCACCACGGTCACCGCCGGGCGTGCCAGCCTTCTCAGGGGGGTAGCTAGAGTCGAGCCAAAGCATGTTGGCGTAGTGCTAGAGCGTAGATTATCAGTAAGATTATTCGTTGCGGAAAAGGGGGTTGCGTTGCGAGAAACTTACGTCGTCCCAGATGGACATGACAAGAACCATGGGTACGTCAAGAGCGTTGTTGAGCTGGTCGAAGCCACCAACCTCCTTAAAGCGGTCACGGTCTCCGAAAACGCCGAACTCGGCTGTGCAGTACTCGGGGGTGATGTTGCTTTCGGCGGGGAAACCGTCGATCTTGGGGCCGGGGATCTCAATCTTCTTGCCGTCCTGGACGAAGAACTGGGTCAACTTGTTGTCGGCGAACTGAGTGACAACACTGGGGATAAAGGTTAGTTTATCATCGTCGTCAAGACAGGTAATAGATTACTTACGTGAATTTCTTGCTGGTGTCGACGGTCTTGCTCTTGCCGTAGAAGTCGGTGTTACCCATGCGGTAAGGGTTGTAATCACAACCGTTGGCGTCACACTTTCCGGCGAATCGGTCCTCAGAGTAGGTACCACCGCACTCGTCCTTCTCACAGACGTGGTACTCGTTGGTGGTGCAAGGGTGAGGAGTGAAAGCGAAAGAGTGAGAGTTGGACTCCCTATTAGACATTGTTAGTTACGATTGCTTCTATGGTAGATCTTCTCCGTATGGTCCTTACCAGACATCGATTTCGGCACAGCAGGCACCGTAGGGGCCGACACCAGCGTTGTTGTCGTTGGTGGATGGCTCCCATCCCTCAACGTTGGCCTTGCCACCGACGAACTTCAAGTCACGGGCGCACTGAGCGTCACAGTAACCGGTACCGTACTTGGCACCGGCCTTGTTGTTGGGGTAGCTGGCCATGCCACCGTCTTCCTCCATGGCGACGAAGTAAAGAGCGGCGTTAAGACCACAGTCGACGGTAGACAGGTCGACATCGAAGGTAAACTCGTTACCCTTAAGGTCGAAGGTCTGGTACTTGTCGGCACCGTTCATGAGGTAGAATCGGGATCCGATGTTGGTTCCGTACTCGTGCTTGGTCAAGAACTTGAGGGTAAGAGCATCGCCGCTGGTGGAGGCACCGTAGGTCTTGCTGTAGTCGGCACCCTCGATAGCGCACTTGGTGGCGCAGTCGTCGGCAGTGCTGCACTGCGAGGTCCACTTGTTACCGTCGTAGCAGTTCTCGGTGCCTTCGAGACTGTGAAGCCATCGCCAGTTGGAGTCGATGGTCACCTCAGCGTTGGTCTGGGTGCAGGAACCACCGCTGGTGCACTTCTTCCAAGACAACTTAGGGTGAGTCTCAGATTGCTCCTTTCCGACCTGTTGGGCAGACGCGAGCCCGAGAAGGGCGGCCGACACGGCGAGGGACAACATGATGCTGGTTTATCTTCGAGGTAAAGAAGTTGTAAACCTGGAGGGATGGTGTAGCTAAGGATAAGTTGAAGTGGCATCTGGGACTGAGTTGATTATATAGTCGATGGAGTATATCTTGCCCAGAAATAAACTTCTTCTCGACTCCATATTGCCGGCAACGGGCTCCGTCTCGACATGGCCAAATCGTGGTATAGCATAGTCGATCACTAACCGTCTCGGCCCTATGACTATTCCCCATTAGATTAAAATGCCAATTATGCTAGTAAGGCTCCGGCGGGTGTTCCGACAACGCAAGCTGTGGTTGGTCCCAGCAGAAGACCGTGGTTTACAACTACTTTCATTCTGGATCATTGGGGGCGACAATACTAAACGGGAGAGCCCTATGCCCATGAAAGTGACCAGTCGTTGTCCAAAACGGTTGTCGTGTATAGAATTGACCAATAGGAGGATTCGGCCTGATGGGCGTGACGATCAACATAATGAACCAAGGCGAAAATCATTGGCCTGAAGACTCTGGGGATACAACTTCCGACGAAATTTAGATTGGATGGTATAAGTTTCAGGATCATGGCCCGAAGTAACCTGGGGTATTTGCGGGGAATGGGGATAGACACGTTGATTAGGGGGTTTTCAGGGGTGGCAACATGTATATGCCTCAGCGATGGCACTGCGGCCCGGTATGTCCACATCACGGAGACCAAGCCGCCGCCGTGAAAGGGAAACGAGATAGCAAAGCGGGGCCTCTACGAAAGAAAATTCAGACGAGAACGGAGGACTACGACGCCTCCGGAGTCTTTAGCGAGCCTAAGAAACGGCGATGACGCAAAGCCAAAGCCGTGTTTCGTCCCGCTAAGCCTCCGAATTCTACGGTATAGTCCGGATGTCGCAAGTCTGAAGCAATAGCGTAGAGCGCCGACGCGAAGAAAACCACGAAAAGAGCATCCAAATTTTGCAAATCCCTTTCTTTCGGCACGCCTGGGTTTAGCCATTGCCAGAGTACCGCACCAGGGGATCTCTGCAAGATCTGGTGTAACACGATGGCATGATAGTATTGGACGAAGAACATGTTGTGGGAAGCGATCGACAGTAGGAAATGCCGTTCACGTCCATGATGCCGAGACTGGGGTTGTGGAAAATATCCACGGCATATTATCCAAGGGTGTAACGGACGCCAAGTCTGGCAAGCTCCGTGGAGAGACCCCAGTCCATCACATTCTTTGTTATCCAATATATTTAGCCAATTGATGCCGGGCCCCCCTGGAATAAACTCATGCAGGTCCTCGCGTGGTATGGTTCGTTCGAGCTTCATTCCACTAACTGATCAGGTCGCCAAGATCGGTCTAATTCTGAGCCGAATCTTTCTATTTCTAGCTCCCTCACGGTACGGTACGGCGGTGGGATGGGTTGGGATATCGCATGCGCCAATGGGACGACACGGCCCGTCAGATTCGCTAAATCAAATGCTACCTATACTCCAAAGAATCATATAGTTTAAGCCTCTTGGCTTGCTTATGCGTAATAGTTTATAGTTTATAACTACCTTGAGGTAATCTTAGAGTCTATCATATTTGCATGATGCTTAAAGCCGTAATTTACATGAAGAGATGAGTTTAGGCATCCAAGAACCCAACGTAGGATTTTCAAGACCAGCAGAGGATTCGATAGGACAATACATTAACCTATCAACTCTCAAATCTTAGATGAACCCACATCTCCTGTCTGGCGCGGTGGGATAATTTAATACTCATGCGACCGCCTCCTGTTTATCTCGAGAGGGCTTAATGGGCCAGTGGCAATTAGAGATTAAGGGACCGTTGCCACTTGATGCTACTACTCGTATATCTCATAAGCGCCACATAGCCGCGATCTTATTACATAGTTGTAATATCGGAACGAGCTAATTTGTCTTTGACGTGTTGGGCAGGTTTGGTTTGCATATGTTCATCAGCGGCTCATAGATTCGGTTATCAAAAGAGATCAACCCTGATGATCGACCAATTTATTACTGACATCGCTATTTGTAATGCTCGATCCAGAACCGCATAGAAATTCTCAACATCGGAACCTGGTCTCTGAGAAGTTTCTCTTTATAGACAAATTTAGATAACCGAGATTTAAACGTGAGCAACTGCATATACCATTCGGCATGCTCCTGTTAGCTGTTGCTAGTTTGCGTACAGTCCCTGCAGGTCATCGGGCATTAGTTATTAGAGTTATATTTCGGTTGTATTTCTTTGTAATAGAGTAGGTCTCATACATAGTTCCAGTCCGGCCTATCGAACTTGTAACTTTATGAAGGAGTTAAATCCATTAGTAAAAGCCCGTGGACTATTCAAGTCGACACAGTCATGATTTATCATATTCCACCATGTTGTAGATTAAGGGCTTGTGAGTTCACTCATCTCTAATAACGAGTAGAAAGAGGCTATGAACACGATATCAAGGTTATCCACGTCAAGTGAAATTAAGCAAACTGGACTAATAAAATAGAAACATATAAGTGATACAGAAGATAAGGTAAGGGAGAGTGTAGTTAAAGACGTATCCATAGTAATTCTAAAGGCCTATCCGAGCCAACCAATAACTTACGCAACCTAGCTCACATATGTTATCATCTATTGAGTCATATTGTAAGGCTATTACGTGGCGACCCAGACATAAGTATACATTATGCCACCGCCACCTCTCGAATAATCCCGATTTGATATCTTCCAAGCTTCCTAATCATCTCAGTCCGTGAAATGGAATCTCAAATAGACGGCTCCGACACGGAAGCACTGCTCGGGGCCTCCTATAGATATCGGAAGACTACTGTACGAAAATTGATCACCAATAGTAACGCCATTTATATCGTCACCCACCGGACTCCATCGTCACCGAATATAACCCCGCCGTTCGAATTCAGGCCTAGCTGTTGATCAAGGAGGCAAATGAATTTTCGAAATAGACCAGTTTGGTTCGATCTACCGCCCAGGTCTGGGCAGTCAATCGTTGCCAATTAATGGGACTCGGTTTAATCATTCAGCGGCGGCGTCTTAATCGAATCGATTAATCGTTAGCCTCTCTCTCTCTAAATAGCTAGTAGAATGGGATGTCTGTTACATTACGCATTTCGCAGCAGAGTTTCGACGGCCGAGACAGTGGCAACAACTGGTTAACTCCGTGCAAGGAGGCTTTACAACGCCTGGTATAAGCGATACGTACGAATCTACATCTAGGAACTAGCAAAGCGGGCTCGGATGTAGAAACGACTTCTATTATGATTATTATGACAAAGTTTAGTTGTCATCAACTATTACAGAAAAAGCTTGGTCGTCTCCCTTGATCTCAGGCATAAACTTCATCAATTAAACCGATACTAATATCGAAGAACTCGGCCACCATCATACACATTCGCCATTAGAAGCATAGGCATTACAATAATGAAGACCAATCCATATGCAAACAGAGTAGGATTAAAACAAATGAATACTGGTAGACAATAAGCCCAGTCTAAAACCAGAAATACAAAATAAGGGGTATCCTCAACACGTTTATGCAACCGCTAATAGCTAGTCGCGATAATAGAATCCATCGACACGGTCTTGAAATACTTTACGACCGGCTTCATATCACATCTCACATCTCACATTAAGTCGTCATCAACCGCCGTACCCTCCCACCTTCTCGTCTGTAGCTTTCGTACCTTCTTCGTAGGGCTTCCGCTGCTCGACACTTTAAGGGCCTTCTTGCCCTCGCCGCTGTTTACCCTTAGCTGCTCCATGCGGTTACCGAGGTCGCCCAGCGCATCTGCCCCAGAAGATGAGGCCCTGGTGCTGGGTACATCACCCCTCTCCCGAAGCGGAGAGCGTTTGCTTGGCGTGCGGCCGGATAATTCGCGCTTCAAGATCGCAACCTCTCTTCGCAATCGTTCGTTTTCTTGCTCCAGATTTTCGATCAAGATGTTCTCCTTATCTTCGTCTTCAACATTATCTTCTTCAGAGCTTGGCATAGTGACTGTGACGCCTACACCGCGAGCTAGTACCTCTACCTTGCGGTCCCAGTGCTCCTCGCCGCGCTCTTGCTCTAGCGACAATGTGGCCTTCCATCGCCCCATCTCTAGAGCTAGCCTTTGCTCAAAGTCTGTGTAGCACTCCTCTCGAATCTCCTGTTCAAAGTCCGCGAGCCGATCTTCCATGGATAACAAGTGAGCCTCGGCTGCTATGCGTGCCTCCGTTTCCTGTACTAGTTCGTTATTCAACTGATCTATCATATCGGCCATTCTAGCAATCTCCAATGCTGCGTTCTCCATTGTTCCTCTCTCTGTGTCTGGTACAGGTGAGAACATTCGGCTATGGTTGCTAGAAGGATGGAAATACGTTCTATGGTGAGCTAGAACAGGCGAGCTCGTATCACTACGAGACCCGACACTTGATTCCGACCGCTGAGAATGCGCTGAGCTGTTTGCATTGGCAAGTATCGTAGATGTGATAGAAGGAACACGTGGCACGGTAACCTCACGCGCTAGAGCGCTATACCTGAGAATTTGTGACGTCGCGTTAAAGTCTCCTTGAGGATCGGCTGTAACAATCATTACACCCTTCTGTGGTGCACGCCTCCCATTTGTGGAGCTTGAGGGCGAGCCTGAAGGAAACGAGTTGGCAAAGAGCAACTCTGTAAGTTTGCATTGACGGAAGGGGACTAGATTAGGCTGTTCGTCGTCAGCGAAGTTCCTAAATACTGTGAGCAAATGATGCAACATACCTTCGTCGTACTGCTAGCGTCGCTCTGCATTTGTAGACACTGACCAAGATACATCAGGCTTTCGTTGATCTTGCCTGCCTCTGCCAAAGTCGCGCCTTGTGTTTTCGCATCTCTTGCTCGTTCACTACCAGCTAGGTCAACGATACTTAGTGTGCTATTACCCCAGCGTGCACTGTTGCGGCCACGACGTCTTTTCTTAATTTCGATACAGAAGAACCCATGGCTCCTCGACGACACGCTATTGCTACCTGTGCCAGCGACTCGACGCTCGTGAAGCCCGGCTTCGAGAACCATTAGCGCCTCTTTAAGATTGCCGCAGATGACCTTTCGAAGTCCCGCTACAACCTTTCGATCAGAAGATAGCTCTGTAAACTTGAAAAGCAGCGGCCGTCGTCGAGGCTCTTTGTTGCTGTTTGACCTGATCGGGGGAGTTAAAAGATCGAAGATCCGGTCGTTATATACTTCGTACATCGAGACGACGACAGCATATTCGGCGGACGGGTCACAGGATGCTCTAATGGTGCTAATATCTGGTGCTTGAGGGAAAGCAGACGGTCGTTGTAGGTTCTTTCTCGGCGTCAGTGGTGCGTGGTCGCCCTTCATTAGACATTTAGTAACATTCTTCTTATTTCTTGCGGCAGATGTGAGAGACATGTAATGCTTTTGGGGTGACGGGGAGCGAGCCAACTTTGGCTTAAGCTTATTAGACGCAGCTTGCGTTAGGGTTGGAACTGCTATCTCCTTTTCACCGGGCGGTGTTGAGAGAAGTATTATTCTCGACAGATCGTCATCGTGACTAACTAGTCGTATACTTTGAGGGCTGCTTGGAAAACAACCAGGTGGTAAGGGTGTAGCAATGCGTGTAGGTGGTTGGATAGGAATGTTAGGAGGTCCTACAATCATTGGAGTCGTAGCTCTTGATCCACCCCGTGAACTGCTGAAATCAGTGTACATCGTGTCGATAAATACTGATGCAGGGCAAATAGCTGCCTCAGACGCGTCAGAGGATCGTATACTTGTCTCCAACATAGGAGAAGTCTCGCAGTCAACGATGTTCGATTCGATAGATCGGAATACGACGTCGAGGGCAAGCTGGGTTAAACCTCGCTGGCTCCGCGATCCAAGCATCGTGTGCGTCTAATAGGCTGGCCGTTAGTTACCATATCTCCCGTCATACTATGGCTACTGCTAGACATACCTTGCCTGAACCAGTGACCCCTAAGGTCGCTAGCAGACCATCTGTACCGTCACCTCCATGAGGGGCTAATACACCTTCGACCAAAGGAAGCACTCTGGTGCCCTGGAATAGGTCGAGTTGTGTGGCATCTTCTTCAAAAACTTGGGTAAACGCGAATTTCTCTATAGCGCGTCTTCGGTCGCTCGGTGGGTTTAAGGTGATATGGGTAGGGTTATCGCGTTCTACAGGTTCTTCGACTAAGAGGAACCGTTCAGCACTCGAATTTCCAGCTTGAGGAGGCCGTAGTCTCAAGTACACCTGGAAGAGGTTCGCGTGCCCTTTTTGAGGTGGCTCCATGACGATGGAACTACGGCTACACGATGTAAAGTTTTTTGAAAGCGGTGAGAAAAAGGCTGATTGAAAGCAAATGCAATTACATGCAGCACAAATGCACAATTGGACTCTAGACTTTTAAGACTGTTCAAATGTATACATGTAATGCAAGAAATGCTCCGTCCGGCATAGATGCAACCGTTAGAATAGAAATGGTTGGATACTTAAAGCATTAGCGTTAAAAAGCATATGCAAATACAAAATACCTAAGATATTAATATGTTGGTATGATGGAAGTCGCGACCTATTACAGGATGAAATAATTAAGTCAATATTTACTTCGGATCATATTTGTTTCGCTAGGCAACCAACCAACCATGCAGGTGTTCTTCGGACCTTCCATGGATGGTTATATAAGTCAGGTACGTATTTTGTTTCAAGCCACAACCAACCCCACATTAGAGGCTTATATTGCGGCTACCTTAGGTACGTAAGTACCTACCCCACCAACAGATTTCTCCAACATAAATTCTCCTCTCCTCTCCCGTTCTTCCAATTCTTCTTTTCTTTCCTCTTCAGCTCTCTTTGCCTTTTGGCTTAGATCAAGTGTAGTATCTGTTCTTTTCAGTTTAATCTCTGAAAGAGTTCTACTTGAACTCAATCTTGATTATTCTAATTTTTTTACGAGGGGAGCGCATCCTCTGGGCTTGCCCATGATCGCTCTCAATGTGTCCCTGGTATTACACTGCCTCCAGGCGACGCGAATACGCTTTTCATTGCAATTCCTAGCTTGCCTAGAGGTGCGAAGAATGGTCGTTCCGATTTCCGTACTAGTTCAATCATAATCCGGTTTACTCTCCCAATAAAAGGGACTATGACAAGTTCCTCGCATTTTCATGTGGTTCGAAGGATTCTTCGCGTTGGCGATTCTGACATGTACGCATCGGATATCTCCCTTGAAAACATACCCTTTGAGTAACATCGGCCACGTATTTGGATTGCTCCATATTTCTATAATTCTAGATTTCATAGGACGACAAGAGGTTCTATCAAACTAAATTGCACGTCAAACCAATAAGAAAAGAGCCCGAGTCATGTGAGTCAATATTAATACATTAGCTCTTCTTCATACGTTATAGCCAACGAGGCTCGCGAGTCTATTTCAGGGGTTTGCAAGTTTATGACATGCATGTCTCGCAATCATCTGTTAGTATTAACACTCCTATTTCCCTAACCGCTCTCGTTCAACAATACAACACAGTACACTTTACATTCCTAAGTACCTTACTTTACATAGTATGCAGTGCAGCGTAATAAGCTAGACTAATATCGATAGAAGATATTCGGAAAGCGATCGATCTCGATTTCATGCGAAATGCACGTCACCGTTGATGAAATCTACCCTTGTGGAGAGCTTGAGTACACTATTATGAAATGGGATGTTGATGCTGGTTCGGACGAAACGAATTCGGTAAGTACGGAGAAAGAATCGACATATCTTAAAAGGAAGATCTACTGTGCATGTAACTTTAGAGATCACCATTGAAATTTTTGGCTGGAGGGGTTTATACTGTACATAGAGTGAGGATCATGTACATACATACATAATACATTAACATGTAGGTGGAGATAGACCTATGTATGCATCCTTGCTTTTCTATGTATCGTCATCGTCACCGAGGGGTAAGATGGGTCGATGGATAAGAAAATCGGAAGTTGACGAGATATCTGCTCGATAACTTCGCTTACTTTCATGGCATGCATGGTCATACATGCTTAGACCACATATGTAAAGCTGTCTGCATACCTTGTTACATGTGCTGAAGCTTCATAGGTATCGTACGAACGTGGAAAACTACCCCATCTCGCCAATTTATCTGTTTCCGTACACGCACATATACCTGTATGTCCCCGTGGAAGATGTATGTTGGAGTAGGTAGAATAGAACACCACATGTCCCGCATCGAATAATGATTGATATAGATTTCCATATAGAATCTAGAAGCAGTTATACACCATGAAAATAACCAGTCGCCGTAGAGATATCTAAATGGACCAGTTGAATAATAATAATACACTTAAACATACGAGCGGAATAGAAAATAAAAGAAACTTTGGGAGGGGTATTCGTGTGTCATCCTCTTAAAATGACTCCTCTTAGAATGCGTCACAAGAGAACCTCCGAGAGTTGAACAAGTTTTCGGTGGATACCAGGGACTAGAACGTCGTCTCTGCCGGTCTTCGCTGATTAGTATCGGACCATGACCATGAGAAAGTCATGTTCGAAGTGGAATTGGAAGTGGAACTGGAGCTCAAACGCCTCGGGAAAGCAAAATTTGAATGCAGCTTCGAACCACTAACACTAACATTATGAAGCAATATGTAGCACACTGTTGTAGCACTACCTTAGGTACTGCCAACTGCCAGCGCTGGAGCAGCAAGTAAACCTTTAGATAGCCACTTAGAGATGGTCTTATAGTGGATTATATAGTGGGCCTTACAGTGGACCGCAAGGGACAATTTGGTGGTTCTAGAGGGGCATTTTAGGCTTTAAGTGCGCTAAGAAAGATGCAAGTCAAAAAGGCGGTGACACACCTCCTAATTAAGTTTAGCTCAGCCCATGAACGGGGATGAACAAATCAGGGACCGTGCAGAGCTGCGGGAAGTCAGGGTCACCCCACCAATGGAACTAAAAAAGAAAAAAAAAGTTAAGCTGCAGTAACAGTGGGATATATCCACCAGTGGTTTTTTCCCGGGCCTGCAATTACATATTTTTCCCTTCTCACTTTTTTCCTCTCAGGAAAACCAATCTACAACCAAGACAACGAAGTCGCACTACAAACAGCTTTCAAGAAAGTATTCCAGTTAGATCACACTAAAACTTCGTCGAGAACAATGCCTTCGGCCGTCGCTGAGCTGTAAATACCCACTACGGGACATGTCTGGCGTTCCCGGTCATGTCCCGTAGTCCAGCAGTTCACCGAGATATTCAATCGCAATTCGACAACTTGACGAAGTTATACAGGCTTTCACTGTCTTGTGTGCCCTTTTTCAGCCAAAAGGGTGCCTCCCGGAAGTCTAAATATTAGACAGAATTACTGCATTACCGCGCATTTCGCCCATCCATTGCCGGCGTATACGACTTCGGCTCAGTGACCACGATATACTTTTCCCTCAACCCCTTTCAACTCCTTCCCCTTTCCTAACAATCGCCCATTACTTCGTTCCATATACCCTCGTAACAGTATACAACTCGGGCATAACCTTGAGAAAGGGCATTGTCGAGAAATTAAAAGGTTTTTATACTACCACGAGAGTGGACACTCTCTGCATTATCTGCACTGTTCGAGTATCACTAAGGCTTCACCGCCGTTTGTCTCGATTTTCTCAACCTCGAATCCGGGGGTGGAACCATAACCCCTGCATTTCTCGCATATCCTCTATAATTAGCATACGGTACAATGTCCCGCAACGTACGGCAACAACGGCCACCGACTACTCCTGTCAAGGTCTCCAGGCGTCGTGCCTCGGATGCTTCGTCGTCACTCGACCTCTCTGATGAGGGTGGTTATTCTGGAGTAGAAGACATCAGTGATTCTGACGACGACGATGAGGATGGAATAAATGCGGTCGAGGAGGAGCATATTCTCTCGCATGAACTGCACAAGCCTATTCGCAGCTCACGCTCCCCTCGACCGCATGAAGAAGACGAACAGGATGAACAAGACGATGAAGATGACGGTGAGGGTGGGGATGAGTACGAGGGCGATGATGACGACGCGGACGACAATGCCAGCTGGGATGGCATCTCCTCTGAAGCAGACGCTGACGACGATCTCACAATTGATCAGGGATATACCAGCACAGAACGGCGCGTCCGCTTCGATATCCCTGAAGATTCGTCGGACGACGACTCGACAGAAACTGATGACGATGTAGACCATGGTTTTTTCCCTGATCTCTTCGTTGACAAGAGCATCCTCGATCCTTCTTTCCGTCGAGAAATTGAGCATGATGCTGATCCTTACGACTCGTCCAACTCGGAAGCATTTTGGGATAATTATTCTACCGCTGCCGGCGACTGGCTTGGCTTTGACGACGAGCCAGCCTCTGATTTTGAGGCTTTGATCAAATCCTTGGACGATCAAGATAGTACGCCGGTTCCTACGCCTATGGCAAACCAGGATTTATCAACTTCCACCAACACCCCCATGGATCTATCCGACGATGACGAGATCTCCCTGGATGGATATCAAAGTGAGTGAGAAACTTGGCCGATAACAAATGTATGCTAATCCTCCCCGCGTAGCTGATGGGGATACCACCGATGAGGAAGATCCGCCTGAGAAACCCGTCCGACGTAAGACTCGGCGGGAGGCTATAGACGATGATTCCGATTCGGATGTCATTACGCTCGTTCGGCCACGCCGCGGCCAACCACGCGTTGGTCGGTTCAACCTCGACAAGTCTAGCAAGAAGCCCATTGCGATCTTGAACCCGAGAACCGGCAAGATGATGATCTTCACTCATCAAACTATGAGAGGTAGAGGTTTCGATCTCTCTCCAGAGCAATTCAACTTCCACTATTTTGACCAGACCCAGTCTTCTCCTATGCTCAGCAATCCGGGCAGTATCATGATGAGCGGCATGATCTCCTCTAGCACTTACGGGGACTTTATGAATACGCACGCCGTTGGCCCTGAAGAAGCTTGGTATTCTCAGTTATCTGATGGGAATGCAGTTGAGACGTCTGATTCGGACGATCAAGTCGTCGATGAAGCAGAGAAGAATCTCAAGTTGGAAGATTTCATCACCTTGGATAATGACGATGAGGATGACGAGGGTGATGAATCATCTGAAGAAGAGAAAACCCTCGAGAATGACGAGACGGAGGATCAAATATTCCGCACACCTGGTCGTACACCCGGCCGCCCCGGTACTGCGTCCAGCGATGTAACATCCCTCCTTGACCACTTCCAACATAATACCAATATCGTCGGCGCATTCCGCCGGGACCAAGCGAATCATCAGTTAATTAGCCGTAGCAAGGCTACCCGAGAATCTCTCGCGTTCTCTGGTCCCTATTTTGAGGGCACTCTCCGTGGCATTAAGGATGGGCGCATCGCTACTACCAACGTTCCCATTTCTCCCATGCGTAAGCAGAAGAAGATGCCCGAGCTCGCCAGCAGCCCTCTCTCAACCGTGACGCAGAAGAGGAAAGCATCATCGGAGCACCATCTTGGCCATAAACGGCAGAGGAGCATTCCCGACGTAGATCTCAGGATCTAATCCTTTACACGTCATACTCTTGCCCGACGTTCTTTTTCCTTTTTTGTTATCACAATACGCCGATGGACGGTGTGGCCTATTCCAATAGGTCATTCCCTGGCCATTGATCACCTACCTACAAGACGAATCCAATGTATTTATACGGATCGATCACAGGGTGATTTCTTTTTTCTTTGTCTCCAGCGTCTGTACCTAGAACCCCTGTCAGACGGTTCTGATTTGGTATCTAAAGAAGGCTAGTCATGGCCGGCAACGCGATACTCCTATCCACGGCTATGCTAACTAAGAGAATTGGTAGCAGCTGCGCGAAATTACTATGCTTGTCAATAGTTTCCTTAAATCTCTTGTTCGTTCCGGTGGTTGAAGACCACACGATCTAGCCTGACAAGCTCTGGTGCTTATTTAGACGGCCGTAGACAAAAGCGGAACCTGGTGTTTATAATACTGTAGAAGGACAATAATGACCCCGATATATTTGCGAAGACAAATCGTGTTTGACATCATGCTGAAAAGTATGAATGCTCTCGCGTCGTCTTGTCCCTAAAGAGGCGATGTTGTTCGCAACGTCTCACAAGATACTATTTCATAGAAGACTCAATCTAAAACTACTTTCATCATAACGTCTATCGTCGTCTATGAAATTGTGATACTATTGACATGAGTGTTTCTATAATCGTCTTCAGGTTAATATTGACATTGCTAATATCGCATTCCCCTCTATTTCTATATCCTATAGTTAATAGTTAAATATCAAATGCTCACCTTCAGCTATTCACCAATCCTACTCAAACTTCACTTGATAGTTATTTTGCTCCAAGAGGTATTGGAACTTACTACCTTCAAGACAACTAATATAATCAAGATATACCGCTACTTATTTTTACGAGTTTGACCAGGCCTTATTAACACGTTCTCGTTAGTATACCATTCAGCCAGAATCCCTCATGTTCGTGAGCTAGCTTTCACTCCTACCTTGAACTAATTCATCCCTATGGCCATACCCTATTATGTATATCTCTACCTAACACTTCGTACGGTGGACTCGTTTAGTCAACTTTGAACTATAGGTCTTTCTTTAGGCATAGAATTAGAGCTAGAGTAAGTGAAAAGTCAACAGGAAAAAGAACAAGGGAGAATATCTACAGCCGTGAATTGGTAATAAATTGATTGTTAAGTTCAATTCCGAAGTCTCACGATTAAAGAAGTGCAGCTATGAGATACCCATTCGAATAAAGACAACATCACTAAGTCAGAAAAGTAATAGGCACAGGGTATTACAAGAGACATCAATCCATAACAACATATCAATAGAACTAATTTCACAATCTCAACTACAGTATTCATCATCTAAACGTAGACAAAAGCCAGTGTTAAGTCTTGCCTACTCGGTTACTAACAAGAGCCCTCAAAAAAATAGGGGGAGGGGGGATGATCCTAGAAATCGTAATAGCCAATATCATGACCCTGCCCTACCCAAACCGTGATGAAAAAGAGCCCATAGAACAACAGTACACCTTGTTTTAACTTTCGTTGCGCCAAGTCGATCCATCCATATTTTATCATCATCGCGTGCTCATCTTTCTTATCTAACGGCTACGCACCTCATACAATTCTTCTCGTACCTCAACATCATTTAGAATTTCACCCATCCATCCATCCATCCCTTCCCCTCCCCAATCTTGCTTAATATAAAGGGTATTTGAGCGCGATGATATGATCATAGCTCCTCCTTAACCTCGCCAGCCTTCTTCTGCGCGGCCTCGGAACCGGCACCCAGTTGTCCTACGACCCACTGGTAGGCGTCCTTGACGTTCTCGCCAATCTTGGCGAACGCAGTGCTAGCCGGGTTAGAGGTGCCGTACTTGAAGTACGTCGATTGCTTGCGCGCCTCGGCGCGAAGCTCGTTGAGGGTGGAGCCCTGGGGGACGGGCTATGTGGAAGTTAGTATTTTATAGATTATTTAACATGTACCGAGATGTTCCAAATTGGAGATGAAACTTACCACGCCGTAGCTGTCTAGGTACGCCTTTAACTCGCTCTCGCTCCAGGTATTGAATGTGCTCTTCTTAGCTGACTCGGTAGCTTGAGCCAAGTAGCTTGTCGCGGAGGCGTACGAAATGCCACCGGCACTTGAAGCAGACGAGTAAGCCGATTGAGCAGCGTCTACGAGCTCGTCTCGGGTAGCGGAGCTGCTCTCGCCAACCTTCTCTGCAGCTGCATTGCCGCTACTGGCTAGGTACTTCCTTAGGTTATCGTAAGATAGGTCGTCCCAAGTCCAGGCGCTGTAGGGGTGGGCAGCCTTATGAGCGTTGCGTCGTACTAAGGCGCGGAGCTCATCAGTCTTCGATCCTTGGGGAACGGGAACTCCGCGAGAATCCAAATAACCCTTCAGTCGGCTATCGGACCAGACATCAGTTGCCTTGTTGAAGGCATCCTGAGCAGCAAGGCTGGCATCGTTGGTGGCCTTGGCGTACTGGTTACCAGCTTTGCTAGTGGCAGCACCGAAAGCGCTTGAAGCGGATGCGGATACGTTGTCACCGAGGATCGCAGCGCGGTTTTTCCGGACAAGTGCACGCAACTCATTAGTCTTGCTGCCTTGAGGAACTGGAGATGCTATTAGTAAAAGTTACGAGAGTGGTCCAGCGGCTATCCAAGTTACATACCATTGATTCCGTTCTTGTCACAGAACTCCTTCAGTTGAGACTCGCTCCAAGCATCAATAAGCTTATCAGTGAGAGTAGCGTAGGCAGCACTGGCACTGGCGGAAGCAGATGCCTTCTGCTCTTGTGCCTTTAGATAAGCAAGGCGAGAGTTGCGGCGAACCATGGCAATGAGTCGGTTACGCTATAGTTCACGGTGTTAGTTCTATATGTTTGACCGGATCTTCAGGTAAAACTTACGTCAGTGATTTGAGGAGCAGGGACCCCATGGGTGTCTAGCCACTCCTTCAGGTCGGACTCGGACCAAGAGCCATAAAGCCAATCTCCAGGGTACGCAGCGGTCTCACCGGCTTTCTTCGCTACGGTCTCGTAGTTAGAGCGGACCTTCTGAAGGAGAGTATCACGGGTTCGTGGCTGGGGGACTGTACACGATATTAGTAAGATATCAAAGGGACTTGAAGATAGTTATAAATATTACCTGGAATGCCATGCTTGTCGGCAAACGACTTTAGAGCACTATCGGTCCAGGTATCCAAGATCCAATCTTGAACATTGGTCCATCCTGTCTGGGCTTTGTCTTCCGTCTCGTACCAGGAGCTCGCTACTTGGCTGACAAGCGAATCCTTGTTCGACTTTGCAGAGTCTTTAGTCTCTACACCTTTCGTTTTCAGGTATGCTGTAAGCTTGTCCGTGTCCCAGTTCTTATAAGGGGAAACGGCATAAGAATCCCAGTTTTTCTGAATTAAATTCTCAAGATCTTTTCGATCAGCCGGTGTAGGGTAGGGGATATCGTTGTCGGACAACCATCGTTCTAGTTCTGTCTCATGCCACTTGTTGTATGCTGTGTTTAACCAGAGGTATTAGCAAGTGATACCATGTAATCAGCTCATTTTCAAGAATATAACGTTGTGATAACTTACCAGCTTTACTAAACCAGCTACTACCCACGACGGCATCAGCCGCTAGGCCAAGAGAGAGGACGGTCGAAAGCCACCTCATGACGATATAGGTATCGATATCTAAACTTAATTACACGATTATATCCACGTTGATATTATGCTTCGTACTAGATATTCGTTCTATTACAGAAAAATTAAGTATGTTAAACTATGATAAATATCATAAAGGATGGAAGGAATAAGAAATGATTTTGTTTGGCACGGGAAGAGGAAAGTCGGTGGAGTTTTTAAAAAATGTATGATGATGAAGGATGATGAATATGTCAAAATGTATCACGTCACTATTTTCTTTTGTTTACCGTCACAAGCTAAGCTTGACAAGTTAGCTTTAAGTCAGGCAGCTCTATGCATTAAAGCCCCTTCACTTATGTACCTAAAGCTGAAAAGTATTTGTCGGCCCCCAGTGTCCATACGGAGCTTCACGTTTTCTTATGTGGCCATTGCGTTAGACAAATATGACGTAGTAGCTACAGCAACTTGTGGCACCATAGGAAAATCTAACTTGGTTAACCTATCAGAAGATCTAAAGTGATGGACATTACTAGTTTCAAAACAGAAAGAGGCGTCCAAGCATTCAAATCTTCTTTATCGAATAGAATATGACTAAGGAGATAGACAAGTTTGCATGCGGCTAGTATCTCGATCATAGATTGCGAGGCTGGATGATTTTAGAGGCGAAGAGCATGGAATGATAAACTCTAGTGATGTCATCGTCCTGAATTAAGTACCGTTTTAGCGTCGGTACGTATTGATTGTTAAAGCCACAATTTTATTTTGGTGTGGGGTAGAGCACGTAGAGGTATTTATTGGGGTTAACCCCACATTGCTTATTACTGTGCATCTATACCGTCTTTATACTGATATTACACTGTCCTTATATATACAGAATATATATAAATGTAAAAGCATTCTTGTCTTATAGACCTCTATACGCCTAGTATATAGCCCTCCCATAAGTAGCAAGTTGATATCTCCGACTGTAATGACAGCGTTATAAAACATGCCTCCTCTACCATCCCTAACTCCTACAACTCCTAATGCTCTAGAAGTGAATATGTCCTAACGTAGAGGGTATTGTAGGTCAACGTATCTCCCCTCTGGTAATCCCGCCAGAGATCACCATTGTATGTATATCAAGATGAACTACTGCCGATGGTCATTCTACGCATCTTTATGCTAGGCAACCCGAAGCTACCCTGCTTCTTGGCCTTGGGTAAACTATCTTCGTCTTCTTCTCCAGTCCTAATCGCGCCACCTCTCAATGACTCCTGTTTTACGTAAAATCGTGGGAAAAGCCCTCCTTTACCGTTCTTCTTCGTTCCGTACCAACACCAGTCATCATGATTCAGCCCTAAACGAAATGGTAGTACTAATTAGCAACCGAGTCCACTATGAAATTGCTGAAGGAGGATATAGGGGATTAAGTTAGGCTGAGGTTCAACATACAGGAAACATTAGACAAAGTTTCGTCCTTGTCAAACTGTAACCATCCTGCCGACGCATCTTTCACTTCGAATTTCCAACGCGTCGTAACGAACATGCCGTCGGTACACGTATTTGCGCCTGGGGAGTTTGCAGGTAATTCGAGGATGACATTTTTCGTAGGAAAGGAGCCCCATTGACCGTCGTGCCAACCAGTGCACCATTTTCCCTTCCAATTCTCTGGAAATTCGAGACCAACGATCCGGGCACCTTCTATAAACTTCATAACCCGATCCAAATTACCGTCAGGGTCTGTTAAATCGCGTCCATACCGTTTAATGTGGCTCTTAATGGCTCTCGCAGATGGAAACTTGGCTAGAGTCGCAGTGTCTGGAAGTAGGCTAGCTACAGGAGGGTTTGGGAAGTGAAGATCATAATCTTCAACACTAGGATCGTTCTTGGGCACTTCGCCATACCTTTTATGTTGTTAGCTAAACTTTTTAGGGAATCGAAGACAGGATTTTTACAGGATCGTGATCCCAGGGATCTCCGGCAAAGGCTGTGGGTGGCGTGATAAGTGTTTAAACAACTGGTCTTGCGTTGTAAATATCGTAGCATCGTCGGCATAGACAGTCTGTCCCTTTTCTGCGCAAAAGAGACAACCGAATCGCATCGTAAATGCTGAGTCCGAAACCAAGTGAGACTTATACAGAAATCGGAGACGATACAAAACGCCGGATTTGCCAAAGTTTCCACCCGCTACGAGTCTCAGGGGTTAGCTAAGTGACCTAGGGCCTTTAGGGAATTTAGCTTACGGTCAAGAGCGTCGTCAAGCTCTACTTCTAACAGTGATTGCGCGAACTCGCATTCTGTGCATCGGGCGGTGCTTCGTCTAGTTCCCTAGTTATACACCATTAGCGAAAATCGTCTCGTTACGAATATATCAGCTTTCTATGATATAGGCGGCAGATCAATAAGCCAAAATGCCCTTACATATTCCATTACGGCTTTGGTAGCAGCCCTGCGCCCCTTCACTCGATAAGTTTGCGCACCAGTGCATAAGCCCTTATTTATGTAAAGGCTGCTATCCAATCCGATCTGATAACCAGAGAACGAGTCTTTTCTTGCCGCAAAAAGTTCCTCTGCGGGTATTAGACCATCTTCGTAAGCCGGTGGACTCGGCAATGACGGTAGTTCAACTCCAGTTGGATCGTGTATTTCAGGGGAGTCTGACATGGACTTTGCAAGTGAAGTGGTTCTCTGGTCGCTCGTTGGGACGTGGACGGATGATCTAGGGCCCGAGGTATAACTACCAGTAGTGGTGTACCACGATATCCTACTATATGAAGTATCCGGGCTTTTAGGTGCATTAGGTGGTACCGATAACTCTTGGCCGTGTAGGGTAAGGCTGTCGAGGCTATTAAAGATGACAGGTTGCCCCACAAAGTAGTCATCTTCTGGTATCGAGTTATTGCGAGACCACGATTTGGCAGCAGTAGTCTGTTCGCTAACCCAGGCTGACGTCCTCGGGTTCGGAGGTGGCGCACTTGGAGGGGTAGATATAAGACTGATGAAATCGCGCTCTGCTCCTAGTATATCGGGACTGGATGGTCGTCTAGATGGCGTGCTAGTGCCACTTACGCCGGTATTGTCGCTGAGCCTCATAGGAGTAATAGATCCACTATTGCCACGGCCCTTGTTATTCGAACCCCGTGAAGATACCGGCTGTATCCACGGTAGAGGGGACGGTACTTCTCGCGTGTTTTCCTCGATATGTAGTCTCTTCATAGTTTCCATAAGGGTTAGAGCAAATGCCTTTGACGATGCTTGCACATCTGAGAACTTCTCGGGGTCGAATGAATCAACCTGGACGAAATCGTCCAAGTCGTAGAGCAAATCTTCTAGCCGTCTCTGGTTATCGAGAATCTGATCTATAAGTTTAGGATTAGTAGGGCTCCTCAAAGATGGCCTCAGTTTGACTGGTAATGGTATATCGCAACCCTTATATTGGTAGTGGTGGTAGTAGGTAAGTATTCACCATTCTGTCGCATAGCCTCCGTAAACGCATCGCCATGTTTGTCAACACGATCCTGCCATAGTGGCAGGAGTCTCTGCAGGGCTCGATCGCCTTCTTTAACTAGGGAACGTGCTGCTTTGAGCATATCCGCGACATTTTGTCCGTTCGACGGACCGGTGCCGTCTTCGTCCTCATCGTCATCGTCACCGCTGCCGGCCGCCGCCTCGGCATTAGCGACGGCTTCCTTGCCCCGCTCTACAACTTCTCGGAAAGGTTGAATAAGAAGCTCCTCGGCGTCGATAGCCATCACCGACTGTCAAGACGCACCCGAGAGCGCTTGAACATGGACTAGAGAACTGCAGTACGAATACCGAAGATCGAAATGCGTGAGATGGACGAAACCGGACTAGACCGTAAGATGACATGCATACAAACACAGATTCTCATAACCCAGGGTATCGTCATAAAGGTAAGGGGGCGTTGATGAGATGCACCATGTAACTAATGTATGTTGCGCGAAGGAAGAAATTAATTAATAGATTGAAGTTGGTTCCGTTATGACGGCACCTTTCATGTGCTCACCTTCCTTTTTCTTCAACCCTTGTACATATTTATCCCCCCTCATGTTTGGGGCTCTATCCTAGTTATCCTAGTATATTTCTAGCCATTCAAGTTGATACTCAGCCTGCTGTAAACTAGACGAGGGGGACCCTGAATCCGACATCCTGGTTCGTCAAGTTCTTGGCCGGCTGTTAGATATCGATATAACAAATTATAGACATGGGCGAATCACGGCGTCTCCATAACTTTCATAACTGATCGTTGGTAGGAATATAGCGCACCCACCTCCTGTTACGGTTATAGTTAAGCGCAACTCATAACCGTATGCGGCCTACCGATCTACCGATACCGCGAATTCGGATTTGCCGATGGCCAAATTCCGTATAGTAATAATTTTTAAGGCTTCTGATAGGTACTCTGATGGCAAATCAACCCCACTATCCGTTTTGGCGTGGGGAGTTTGAAGAGTTGATACATATATCCCTCATAGGTAAGCGTCTTTCAGCTATTGTTTGACAATTTGATTTGGGTTAGGAAGTGAAGGAAATAGAATCAAAAAGATTTTATCTTTTGAAAAAGTTTTAATTTTTCTTGGGTCGCACGAATTACATAATATACAATGCCACGTGCAAGTATGAATGGCTTACGTATCTACCAGCCTAGCTACCTGTTCTCAAGTTAAGTCCAAGCATCGTACTAATATTTTAGTGTAAGTTAGTATAAGTTAGTATAGCTCGGCATAAATAGCGACCATGCCTATAAAGACGTTCGAGATGAAGATCAAAATAGGGTAGATTATAGTGAAACCGATAGCATGTCATTTAATATAGCACTTTCTTTTCTCCTATGCCAACCCAAATCATAACCCGACGCTATAGTCACTAGCCTGGTATAATACTCATTGTTTTCATTACATCAGCTCTTCTTAGCGATATCTACAACATCAATGAAGTCTATTCTAGAGGCAAGTATGGATATCTTTCCATTCTACTAAAAATGAGAGTCAGGTTTAAGGTCTCCGTCATCTTGTTAGATCCAGGAGCTCCACGGAGACGCACCGCTTTCGTTATTTAACTAGCCTGATAAACTAGAACCATTACCTCTACTGAAGGAGATGAAAGCTCGTAAAGTTGCACCTACGCAAAAATAGGGATACTAAGAAAACTGCCTAAGTTAAGTACCTACCTTCGCAGAGAAACTTGTTTCCGAGATGGCCACAGAAAAGGGGGGAACAGATAGGGAAAAGGGGTTTGCTTGTAAGACAAGCCGTGCAACATATAAGAATTAGAGTGATACCTATTTCACGGGACGGGTTGCAGCATCGTGTCCCCTCCTCCCATACTCGTATTTCCTTTTTTTAAATCAAAATATAGCAAGCAGTGAGACTATGTCCCCTTAGCTATGAATACGAATGTTAAGCAGTTGGACTATTTTTCGTCATACTTAAATTCGGAAAAGAGCACCAAGCCCAAACAGATTGGAGACCTGTCGAAGTTCGTATTCTCCGTATCTCGATAAAAGTGGCCCTATTGCTCTACGAAGATATTGCATGTAACTGGATTAAAATCCTATGGCGTCTTTGGTTGAGGACAAGACTGATGTACGAAGTAGAGAAGGACTTATCGAGGCGAGGCTGAACGATCTGCTTCTATGATCCTAGGGTTTAGGCCTCTAGGTACTCGAAGTTTCGTTTCGTTAATACTAAAGCAGTATTCCCGAGGGCAACGGAAGACCACTCATCCTTTCACTTAAGTAGGTTACGCCTATGCTGTATCCCAATGACCACCTTGAAAATGATAAATTATGTTCTCCACTGTCCTCGAAATAACTGTTAGTAAATATTAAATGGAACTTATATTGCCCATCCAAGCTTCGACTATTATAATACAATAACACCCACCTACAGCATTTCCCCTGAGCCTTTAATAGCAACACCTACTGACGTTAGGTAGGCTTTGTTAAACAGGTAACATTTAAATAGACCTGCTGCAATCAATTTTTGTGAAAGAAGTAAAAGCGCTTCAATTATTCAATGCTGGTATCTATAACATGTCATGCCACGTAAAATACAACTCGAGTTATTCATTAGTAGAACACAAACCAACGACCCAAAACGGAACACTCGACATTCCTGATTTATCGCCTAGCTTTCCTTCCGGCGTTGCAAACCCTCTGATATAGATGTTAGTGTCTACAAATTTTATGATTTATAGGATTAGCACTTACTGTACGCCGCTCCGTGAAATCATCATAAAACCCGTTCCACAATTGCCTAGCTGAACAGTCCTCTTGACCGTTCTTCGTCTCACATTTAGGTTGCTTGTCTTGTCGCATCGAGTCAGTCATCGGGATCCACGGCTTTGGCACGGGCCAGTCGGAGAAGTGAAGAAACTTGGCTTCGTTAAAAATGGCGACAGGATCCCATTCTTCACGGTCGGTGCCCAAATAGTTCTGGTGATTGTCCCCACGGAATTCGCCCGTTAACAAATCATAAGGACGATGCGGGAGAATCATAGCACTATGTTCGTATAGCTGGTTCACAATTTCCATATCATAATCGTTACGCCCGGCAGATTCCATCTTCTGCATGATCCTGTCAAACTCAACCGCGCTGGGTTGCACTAACATCAACTGAGACGATAAGATCTTGTTGTCCGGAAATAGCCAGTAGGCACGAGGCATAGCAACAGGGCACGGCGGCATAAGGAATAACTCGTCCATGGTCTGGAGGATAGTTGAATCCGAGTCGACGTTTAAGACACGGGTGTATTGAGTTTGGTTGAATGCAAGAAGCTTGGTGAAAGATTCGGCCCAGGTAGCTTGAAACAGTATTAGAGAAAATAAAACCAAGAACAGACATGAGCGTGCTTACCATCACCTCCGGCTCGTCGTTTAATCTCTACGGGCACTAACTTAACCTTGTACTCGTCCCGGGCCTTAGCGAGCAACTTCGCCTCTTCTGACGTTGGGTTCGTCTCGCCAGCATCCATCATATTTTCGGGATACATCATGACGCGATCAGCCTTGCTACCGAGGCGGGATAGAGTCTCGAAGATCATGACCGAGTTGCATAGATATGCGGCGTTGGTAACATATTGCGTGTACGCAAATTGCGACCAGTTAACTTGAGCATCTTCGAATGCCGGTACGACCGCGGTAGGACAATTTGAATTGGAACCGGCGACGACGGCAGCACCACTATTACGCAAACTCTCGATAGATGGGAGACGATCGTAGTTTCGGAAACCTAGTAGGAATATGCCGACGGTAGCGAGGGAAAAAGTAGCGTAGCGCACTCGCTTCGAACTCAAGATCTGGCCGATGCTAGGTTTGAGATGTGAATCGGTAGTAGAGCCTGGGGTTGTGTTTTGTTCGCCATTCTGAACGGCACTATATCCAGATAGAGAGCCCCATGTAGAGGACCACGAGGAACCCCAAAGCGGAGCCATATCGAAATGGTGTTGTTTAAAGGTAGAGGTTAAGATTCGACAGTGGACGAAGAAGGAAGTTGAATCACTAAGGATTCGCCGAGAAGGGAATTAATACCAAGAGGTAAGCAATGAAACAGCACTCATCGGGGAAACAAGGTACTTTGTAAGTAGAAAATAGGAAGGGATAAGTTAATAGGCATTTGCTATGTAATTTGACATCAAACCAATATCTAACTACCTACTAGGTAGCTATCTACCCACAGTATACCTTAGTGTAGATGAACTGGGGAGAAATTGGTGGTGATGTTTGCGACCTGGATTTCCGAACGAGATTCCGAACAGGCTGAAAGGATTAAAGGTGATGGGCGATCGCATTGAAAGCGTCGCCATGTAAGGATTACGAAAGATGATACACTACAAAAGTACATGACTGCCACCTTAATCCACCTACACGTGGCTTTAGGTACTTTACCGCGTACGTAAGTACCTGTAAGTTCAAGTAAACTGCTCTGCTGCTCTTTCTTTGTTCGGTGGGGGTCGACGATCTAGTGCGTGCCGTTAAAATTATCGCGCTAACTTTAAGGAAATTGATCTTAATATGCTGGGGCTAAGATAGTCGCACCCACACAGTTCTTGATTATCTAATTTCCACTGTACCTACATATCTCTTTTCTATTGAGGTTTAGTACAACACAAACGCGGATTACACGACAGCTGCCTCAAGTATTTTCTACTTAACATCATGACTCGTTTACGCGGGTTATACCTTAATATTGTAATTTTTCCATCACAGCTTTCGATTGGCTGAATACTGGAGATCATCAACTTGATACGATCCATTTTCAAGGCCGTTGATTGCCATAAATATATTCTGCAATAGAGTCTCACCCGCTGCAAGGATTCACCTATAATGGTGACAGCTAACCCAAGATGCATTCTGCAGAATTCGCTTGCAGCTTGAGACTCATAATATGAAACCTGGAAGCGTCGCACTATGTATACTCGTTGAGCTTCTTCTGCCTGATCTGGTGTCAACCTCTACCCACGGTCGACGACCCAGCTGCTATTAGATGATCGGCTCCGAGTCCCCGACGGACCTTTCGGTTGATCGCTACTCGTCTAGCACCTAACCGACCAAGTTATCAACTTACGAAGTTACCAATCACATTATGATAGCACGTCTCTAGGGGGTATGAGTGGTTACCATGGTCTCATATACATGAGCTCCACGATCAATAACATTCTTAGTAAGCTTCATGGGGTATTATTCATGGTGGAGATGGTAGGTATATTCAGCTTGGTATATTTTTAGCCCCCAAAGAGGTCAGAGCCTACCTGACAACACTCAAGATTCTGCTGAACCTATTCAATATAGGAGAGAGAAGACATGGAAGACAGCGGTATGGCTTAATTCTTCTTCGCTACTGAGCTGGTCTACGGATTAAATATAAGATCACCAACTCACGTTGTAACCGCGCAGAGTCGAACCACCGTAGTACAGATCACAGAGTGGCTTCACGACATCAACCTTATCTCTCCCGCTTCAGCCTTGGAATCTTAATTCTTAAGATGAGAAAATTCCCAGGGGTGACCCCATGTGCAATGCTTAAATTCGGACCCGTCCACAGTAACAAGGAGGCGCAGACTACCTACTGCTGATTCCATCAAACGGGAAGCTGATGCAGTTCTTAACTAAGTTCGGCTTGAGGTCTCTAGCATTCAGCTCCTTCGAAGCTTTTCTAATGGCCATGTACTATGTAAAAATAGTGGGACGCAACCCTGAAAAGTCTCACGATCCACAGCCTCATCTCCCTGTCTGCTTGAATATTCTTGGGTAGGACTTGTCTTAGCCTAGATAGTTTAGCGGCAGCTTTCCGTAAGCGCCTAATGGATCCTATACTCAGTAGAGTATACCTGCTGCAATACATGTACTGTACTTTTCGTATGGAACATACAAGGCGGACTTTGTCTCCAGTCGAGCGTTCCTGGTGCTGGTATAGTGATGATCCCATCCCATCCGCTCTTTACTCACATTCCTTCTTTAATGTCAGTCTTTCTTAATTCTCCTCTTTGATAGCGGCTTCGAGTGTTGTCTTGGACCAAGCCGCAAAATAGTGCGTTGTCTGTACCGCACTTTTGCGTACTTCTAGCTAGCCATGGCTTCTACACGATCTTTACCTATATCCTTTCTTTTCTATCTAGCGGTCTTTAGACTCGTTGAGGCGGACACAAAGCCTATCGCGGCGAAATGGTCTAGCTCGACGTTTGGACCTGATGGTCCTTGGCCGGCGATTGAGGTGACAATGGGTAGCGAGCAGAAGATATCGATGTACCCAGGGCGGGAATTTCAAACCTTTCTCCTGACAAGCGATTACTGTAACCAAAATACGACGATTCCGTGTTATGCTAACCAAGCCGGACTCTACAACGACGCTCAGTCGCAGGTGGATACTACGGGGTCAACAGGTTCGATTCAATATCAGTCAAATCCAGACTATATGCAAGGTGTGGAAGTGCTTGGCGAAACGACGAAGTCGTGGATCGACAGGATGGAATTTGGAGGCAAGACGATAGAGAACGTCTCGCTGGCTCTGTTGAGCGAGTCATATATGGCTTATCCAAATGGACAGTGGTATCCTTTGACCGTAGGCTGCTTGGGGATAGGGGCTCCAGCAACAGTCAACCAATCTTTCTCTAGCAACTATGGGCCGCCTATCAATGCTAGTCTCGCTCCTGGATATTTATGGTCGCATAACATAACCGCATCCAATTCTTTCGGCATGCATATGGGATCCGCAAACCCCCGGATGCCGGGTTCGTTTTACTTTGGCGGTTACGATCAGAATCGAATCGTAGGAGATATTCTTACGTACTCCGATGACTATACGAAAGATATCACTCTAAAAGACATCAGCATCAAAGTGATAGATGGGTCTTCGCCATGGAAGTTTGAATCTTTGGGTGGTCTCCTCGCAGCCGACAACTCATCCATTACTTCTGGGGGTGTCCAAGTCTCTGTCGATGGTTGTTCTCCTTACCTGTCGCTCCCTAAGTCGACGTGCGATGCTATTGCGAAGAACCTACCCGTGACGTACAATGAGGACCTCGGTTTATATTTCTGGAACACCGACGAGCCAAAATACACGCAAATTATTAATTCAGCTTCTGTCTTGGAGTTCGTTTTTATAGGCGACTCGAACACGAAGAACGTTTCCATCTCCGTTCCCTTTCGACATTTAAATCTTACGCTAACAGCACCATTGACCGACAAGCCAACGCAATATTTCCCATGTTATACAGGTCCTGCTAAGATCTACACTCTTGGCCGTGCCTTTCTCCAGGATGCATTTGTTGGTGCAAATTGGGGTACTAAATCGTGGTGGCTTGCCCAAGCACCTGGTCCTAACATACCAGCTCCCTCCGTTGTTGAGCTTGCAGACGGTGGTTCAATCAAGGCTAGCTCAAACGACTGGAAAGAATCATGGTCAGGATCCTGGACAGCTCTTAAGCCTAGCGATGTAGAAAGCTCGGCTACTGTAAGCCCTCCTACTGCAACTAACGCAGCCACCCAAGAAACTGCTGTCCCGGTGGCTGGTCTTTCGACAGGAGCTAAGGCTGCTATCGGAGTGTGTGTTAGTGTCGCAGGATTAGCATTGATCGCTGCTCTCGCTTTCTTTTTCCTACGCCGTCGCAAGGCACCTGCTCCCGAAGGCCCGGCCCCTAATACGACATATGCGGCTCATAATAACCCTGAGCAAGGATACTACGCGCCTGTCAAAAATCCCAGCTCGCCGGGCATTTCAGAGATGTCTGCAGTCACTCCAGGGCAACCACCAGCGAATATGGCGATGTATAATCAGCAGTATTCTCAGCAATACCCGCAACAATATCCTCCCCAGCCATTCCTCCAGCAATATCCCCAGCAGTACCCTCAACAATATTTACAACCATACGGGCAGCCGTACAGTACCGAACTGCCTGCTGTCGGCAACACACCAACAGAGTTACCTGGGTCAAACACGTACATCCCACAATTACTTGATGGAACTCAAGTTTACGGTCAGACATCGCCGCTTCAAAACCACGCGCCGCCACAATCGCCACATTCACCAGGCCACGGCGCGAACCAGTCACCTACGCAGGGGCAACATGGGCAAATATGATACGGGTAATCTTGCGGGGGCTAAAGGTCGAGAAAGTGGGAAATAGACTTGGGCATAAAAATTCATTTAACTGAGAATCTGCGTTACATCGTTATAATATTCTAGGACTTTTCTTCTTTTTTATCCTGGAGTTGCATGCGATCTGTGCATAAATACGCGTGTCAGATTTTGGGACAGGCAATGAGCGGCCATTGATACCATTTGGTTGGACGGGTTTCTGATATGACGAAATATCACAGTAATGGCAATTATTCCGAGGAACAAATTCTACTATGTACCTATTATATATACTATTTTTATTTTATGACCTGATTTCCTTTGGGTTCTCTCATGTTGTCGTCTGGATAAAACTTACCCCAATCTTGAGAGCGCCTTTAATATAGGGAGCTAATAAATATTTCATCTAACCACATGGCGCTTATTTCAAACACGTTATCAAATATTGTAAGACGAAGCAAGCTTTTGTCTAACCAACGATTAACTAAGGTCAAGAGTATCAGGTAAATAAGCGCCTGGCGTCTATTTGTACTGTACATAGACTGATTGGTAAATTCGGATTCTACCCACTTGTGGGGGTTCACGGCCACTACCATAGCTCAGGTTGCCGGCTGGGGTTGGATTGCGATGTATTACCGGCCTGCCATACTGCCGTGTCACGATACCTTTTCGCAGGATAAAGCTCTTTTTATCCATCAGTCCTCAGTCCTCATGGAAATTACACAGATGTCTGAGTGCCTGTCTCGGAGTAAGCCACAATCTCCTTTCTTATGCCGTCTTCGGTCTATCTATCACGTAAGATTCTTAATAGCACATGCTAGAAGGTGAGGATCCTGGGCAATTAAAATCTATTCTTACGCGAAACGCTAAGAGAAGAGCGAGGCTCCTTTTACTGCTACCTAATGTACCAAGTAACTAACTCTGAATTACGGATAACATTAGGTACCTCCTAAGAGACATGTGATACTGCCGCTTGTCACGATAGTTATCCAGTATACAGGTTATTACGGACAAATTGTACCGGATTGACAACTTATTCTACACTACGGAGGAAAACGACTTTAACTCCATTACATAGAGTTCTGAGATCCCTGCAGAAACACAGCATGGTACAAGTACAATTATGGTTACTCCATATATACTAGACCTAAACCAGATATCGAGATCTTCTGGGGGGGCGTCATAGCTTGGCGGTCAGTCTGTCAGTCAGCAAAGTAAAACAGACGAAACAACCTGGCACGGCAGCGTTGCCTCGATACCACGCTAGACCCGAACATTCCTGATCAGGCAATAATTGTGCATTATTCAGGGGTCAGGAATCAATACTCCTTGCTCAGAGCTGAAAAAAATTGCTGTCCAATGGGAGAAGAACATGCTGGGACGACGGCGACATGCCGTTTGATGTCCGCGTCTGGATATCAACGCGACGGTGAGCCCGATTGATGTCATATAATAGGTCAAGTCCCATGTAGGCTAGACCAACTGTAAGAGAGAGATCAAGAATTCTCAAGTATTTATGCGGTATCATTACCTAAATCATACCCTACCACCCAAGCCAAACTATGTATGGTATTTAGTCGGCTGTGATTTAGGTAGCTAGCGCCCAAAAAAGCTCGAGTATATTCGTACTTACGCACGTCTGTGCCGTGAGGCTGATAATTTGTCTTGCCGCCCTTATCGGTGCAGAGGACCGGACTACCTAATGTATGCTAGACTCGATCTGTCTATTGACATGACGAGCCGACGGAGGGAAACCTTGATACCCGTCAACTACATATGGGGCATTTAGCTTCACGTCCGCTTTCAAGCAGGACAAGTATTGCCCTTTCTGTCTTGAGATATGGCATTAATGAGGACTCCGGGTGTGCTGCAACACCTAAGGGTTAATCAGTTATTGAAGACTATCCGAGTGAAGTAATCATACAAGTTTGGTGTGCAAGTTGATCCCCACGTCTTTATTTAGACTTAGTTATACGTAGACGATTTCTACTACGATACCATAAGACCTGACGATAAGTTTCGGAAATAACCTAACCTAGGTATGTAGCTACAAACACTTCAAACACGTACAAGCCTTACGGTAGTCGTGATGCCATTGACAATACGCACTAGAGGGCCACTAAATACCCGTTAGAAGCGGCTCTCCAGATTCCCGTCATGTTCTCATCATATACACGCCGACATGGTTCCGTCATCTAAACGCCACAACATGGAGTCATAGAGAGCTATCTCTTAAAACCCAAGTGAGCGAGGACATATGCTGCCTCCATAGATAACTCCTGTTTAACGGTCGATCGTCTATACGTCGAAGATATTTCTATTTAAAAAAAAAACACCTTCAAGCTATCTGCGTACGTACCTAAGGACAGGTATCAAGAGCCAGGCTTTCCAGTTTGGAATTTTACCCAGAAATACATCATGCACAGAAACTTACTCTTCCTCGCGGCCCTCGGGACCGTGTCGTCGACGTGTATTGCTGCTGCCGCGGAGCCGGTGGTTGATGTTAATCACATCGTCGTCCGGCAGGATACCACGGTTACCATTACCGAAAGCTCCACTGGAGGCTCGCCAACCGACTCTTCGTCTGCTTCGTCTACCGATTCCTCGATGTCATCATCAACCGACTCGGCTTCATCTTCCTCAATGTCATCATCAGAGTCGATGTCATCATCATCAGAGTCAATGTCTTCATCGGACTCTATGTCATCATCATCAGACATGGGCTCCTCTTCCTCGACTGGCATGGGTACCATGACATCCAGCGACTACTCGGGCAGCAGCTCTAACCCCAGCTCCACGTCCAACGGCTACAGCTCATCGATGACCAGCGGCGGTTCGGGAGGCGCGGGAGGCGCGCCCGTAGCCACCGGCGCAGGACCGAGGATTACAGCGGCACCTGCGGTGGCTGCTGCCATTGGAGTAGCAGCTGCGGTTATGGTCTAGTTGAGAGCGGGGGGGAACGGATGGAACGATTAGACATCCGCTGTGGAGGAACGAGCATTTGTTCGTGGATCGCTACATGATGGGTGTATATGAGGCCCAGGAACAGTAAAATAGAATAGGGGTAACTTTGCCACATTCTCTAGACGTACTGTCAGTATGTATTAGGTACCTAGTCATAGGCTCCCGTAGCTAGCTCAGAGTTCCTCGCGGAACAATGAAGTTATTTCCCTGCTCCCTTAGTCCACCTTGTGATACATACTTGAAATCCAAAATCGTCAACTTACCACATTTGTATCTTGAAATATAATTTGAGTTCGGCGATTATTCGTCGCGGCTAATGTATCCAGCTATTTGACTGGTTAAGTGGCCGGAGTTGTTTACAGGATTCCTCAACACGTGGTAATAAGTATCTTCATGGGTATATATGTCTTATCCACTTGAAACTATCAAAGCCCCTTTAGGAAACCATACACGATTAAGATATTAGCAAATTTTGTAATCATTAATTACATTAGTATCATACCAGTAGCCCGTCCTTTATACAATGCCGAACTATATCCTGCCTGCTTATCTATACGTTGATTCAGTACATATCGACCACAAAAGTTGAACTGACAGTTTAGAAATAGAAACTGCTTCATCATGACGGGATTTGGATCTTAATCGATATCGACGTTTTAGTCCTGGGGTTAGTATAGTTCCTCATTGCATATTCCTTCCGGAACATGGCCCTGCCTCTTCAAGAATCGCCTCCGCACGTCTAACACTAGAGGGGATAATAAGCTTTCAGATGACTAGCCAACCCCGTGGGTTCCGCCGATATGATCTAACTAAAATAAAAGGTTTCGGCTATCGAGATAGAAGATACCGCCCGTCAGTAACCTTCAGGCACGCAAGATCACCAAGCGGATACATATAGGTAGGTAGGCAAGCGGCGGGTGTCACTAAGCCAGGAGCATATATTCCGAGATTATCTCCCCTTACCTACTACATCCACGTTTTTACTTTTGTCAACTTTTGCCAAGACAGTGTTCGAGTCGTGTCTTCTCCATAGAACAAGGAGATGTCAGATAGGTTAGGTAGTCAGCTGAAAGATAGAGAATCCCATTAACTCTACTGTGGAGACTAGGTATCCTATAGGGCTACAACTTACTTATATACTCGCCTCCTTAATAGCGCCATCGCAGAACATGCCTCTTGGTAGATATTATCATGTGGGGGTATACGCACGTTTCAATTCTTATAGCTCCGATATACTAGCAGCGGGATAGATTACGCTACTCTCCTAGTCAACCATGAATCGGTAGTGTCTCTCTCTTTTCTTTTTAACTAACTACCGGGGTTTAATGTCCTTGATTACCGGGAACTAATTGTTGCGCTGTTAAATGGGGTTTGCGTTCGATTTCTCCCAGAACTATTGGTATCACGCTTACGGCTTATAATCTCCGAACCTGACATAGATAGTCGAGGTTTAAGTCTTTTACCGGTGGTTGCCTTACGAGAGTTAAGGTTCAGATGATTGCAGATTCTAGTATCGCCCCATCTCTTGCTTCGACATGCTAGTGTAGATCATGTTAATGTATTATCAATACGTTATATATAAGGTAGATATAACGTGCTCATCTTGCTATTATATGAATATGTTAGTTACATATGTTATATGTTAGACCCGGGACAGAGAGGATGTCTTCTACATGAATTTCCATCATTCTTAACATACGCAATTCCATATTTGATATATTCTTGGTTACATCAACTACTATCCTATGGCTGTTCAATCGTTAGCGGTCGAGGGTTTTATCCTTCTAAGCGTCAGTTTGCTTGTCATTGGTCTCCGGTTTTACGTGCGGATAGAGGCTGTCGGATGGAAAGGCCTTGCGGCTCATGACTATCTGATGATTGTGATAGCGGTAAGTATAATTATCTAGAATGTGGTCAAGGTATAGTGCGTTGCTAATACTCGAACAAGTTTGCATATTCGGCTCTAATAGCTACCCTGTACTTCTCAATGGTTCAATGCCATGGTCTAGCTAATAGCTATATGACCGAAGAAGAGCGTATATCGCTAGATCCTGAAAGCGATGAATATTTAGCAAGGTAAGCATTTAATTTATACGTATTTTATGGTGGTGCATAGTTTATCATGGAGTCCGTACTAATTTATAGTAGGGTCCTTGGGTCTAAGCTTGATCTTGTCGATAGGATCTTGTATATAGTCGTCCTCTGGCTGACGAAAGTGGCGATGCTAGCATTCTATCTGTGCCTCACCGTAAGAAGTCTCTCTGGCGTCTGTTGGATTATATTTTTTTTAAACAAAAGTCTAATCGTATTCTTAGAATCGTCTTGGATCGTACCAAAAACGTATATGGTTTGGATTTGCCCTTCTCGGCGTGACTTGGTTGGCCGAGCTTCTTATCACATTACTCGCCTGCACGCCGATTTCTAGGAACTGGCAGATATATCCCGATCCAGGAGGTACGTTATTTCCCGGATTACTTTTACTCGTCTTGCTCGAGACTGACAGCGTATAGGGGTATGCTATCCGTCAACTTCGTTGCATAGCTTAATTTGCTCGCTTTGTCTCAACATAGGCACTAGTCTCTACGTTTTTGTTGTTCCACTGCCGGTATTGTGGATGGCTAATATCAAGCTATGGAAGAAGATAGGCCTTATCCTGCTCATCTCTGCGAACGGTTTCGTGATTATAATTTCCATACTACGCGGATACCGAATTATTGTGAGCGCGAAAGAACACACGATGGAAGGGGGCAAATGGGAACATCGGGTGTGCTTTGTGGCGATAGTGACGGCAAACCTCCCACTTCTATTCCCCCTCATTCGCAAATTCGTGATACCTCTACTAAAACCACGACCGAAAGCCCAGCCACAGATGACAGCAGGATGGGATAGCACGAGCACGAGCACGAGCATGAAACCGAAAGAACAAGAGCCAGATCGAGATGTTTGGTGGATACCGTCATGTTGCGAGGACTCTTGTCTACTAGATTCTGATACTGATGATGATGATGATGAAGTTAATATTAGAGTAGACATTGAGAGTACAGACCCCAGAATGAACGACGAACTAAGAAGCTATAGGAGAGAGATGATGGAATATGAAAGGAAAGGACAGAAATCGCCTGGATAAGGGGTCATAAGTGTATGAATTTCGGAGCTTTGGCGTGTACAGATAACCTTGGCGATTATTCGCCTACTGGCACATAAGTTGATTTTAATTGATAGAGGTTAATAGACCACGAAGTATTAGAATTAGCATTCCTAAATCAAATTCATGTGAAATAAAGCTATTCAAGTCACTTATATTGAGTGCTCAAATATAATGAGGATTACTTCTTGATATTATAACCATTGCATATGTATATGTAGACACTTCCGGTCATTCCTATCTCAAACTCCTGTATCCATCATCTAGTATTACATAGATACACATTTTATATTACACCTTTTCCCTTAAGACCTAATAGTCCGTCCCAACCGGTGTAAATCCGAATGTCATATAGTACAGGCGATCTTCTCGAATGCGAGTTGAGTCGAGTTGAGTTTTTTCGCTTATGCGGTAACGCCAGCGGGGGTCTGGCAGAGAACATCCTGTCCGAGGATGGGTAGGACGCAGCAGCGGGCGCGCTGGCCACCAGCGGCGCAGATCTCGCTGAAGTTGGCGGCGTCGGTGGGGACGGCAGTAGGGTTGGCGCAGTCGAGGTCAGCTACGCCGAGGACATCGGTCGCGCAGCACTGCGAGGTGCCGTAGAGACCGGAGCAGGGGGTGTAGACCTGGCGCTGCTCGACGGCAGGCGCGGCGAGGGCGACGCCGGCGAAGATGGTGGCGATGGCTGCGATGGAGAACTGCATTTTGGCTAGGTAGATTGTTTTGAAGTCGTAAGTTTTGAACGAGAGAATATAGCGAGTGATAGAGGTCTTGAGAAGAGGCTTTGTTGTTGTTGGTATGTGAGTGTCTTTGTGTGATAGAGTAAAGAATGTCCTAAACTACCGAGGAGACGCGAAGCTTTATAGATATCCGTGTCATACCCCCTATCCTCTCTGGACTCCCGAGTCGTCTGTTCTCCTGGGCCTTCGTCAGTGGCTATCAAGAGATGCGATGACGAAGATACTCGGCCCCATATCTCCGGAGCTTTGCTTACTTGTTTCGAGATAGCCCTACTAGAGCCTAGGTTGTACCGGGTTCTAGGATCTACGGCAGCATTGACATCAAAAAGAGATTTGGCAAGCTTGCGGATCTTAAAATGGGCTGATATAGCCTCATATTACGAAACGAGTTGATATCTTGGTGATCATACTGACATAGGATGATTGTGATCTTGTAGTGATAGGTGTGACATCAAACAAAGGCTTCGAGCCCAACTGGCCAACGAATGAGAACGAATCTCAGTTCCATATACGGAAGTCATGCCCGATACCAACTCCTTGGTAAGTTATTATCATACCAATGTCTTTTTACCACAACTTACGATGTACTTCTTATGCAGTAAACTTCGTTGGAAAGATGGATTATGACAGCCCTACGGTCATGTAATTTGCAGGGGACTCTTCGGAGAGAATAGCAACGGGGAACTGCCCAAGATCACCTACACGTATGTAGTGTATGTGACATGGCTTCTCGCGGAGGCATCCCGTTATTTGCGGAGTATCGGTCAACAACCACACCCAGGTACAGTGACGAATAGTGCATCGTTGAACGTAGTAGTTAAGGACAGGGGGGACTTATATCTGCAACTCGGCTGCAAGGGGTTGAAGGCAAGATGTTAAGCGCTAATTACCAACCTTGAGAGATGTGGTATCGTGTGGCACACATCATGACAGAACGCCACAGTTCTAGAAGAGAGAGAGATCTAACGGTCTTGCATCAACGTGCATGATAGCTTCGAGAGCTACCGCCACCATTTAGAAGATCTGGGGGAGATCGTCACTGCTAGAAACCTCGTGTCGAAAAATAGCAACAAGGCGAAGAAGCCTCGAATACCACCTTCAGCTAGCATTGAACTGCTATTCGCCGCAGTATAAGTCGACGAATAAAATCATCCATCATTATCAAGTTTGGCCTGTCCATGTCTACTAACCTAGTGTAGAGCCGCAACTACTGCAGCATCCGTCATTAGTTTGAGTTGATGAACAAAATACTCCGAAGCTGGCCCTCCTAAGCTATGTACTTGCATGAAAGATAATTAAACTCAATTCGAAGCTGGAGCTCAGCTAGAGGTTTCAGGGGTAGAGAGATCAAGATCGAATGGAAAGGCGAAGCGTGGCCGCGTCGTGTAGTCTGGTAGGTAAGTCCAGGAACGACAAGCTCGAAAAATCAAGGAAGACGCGAAGGTGATCGCCAACGGCACTTCCGCATCGAGCAATCGAACCTAGGACAAGTGCGTCAATGCGTTACCCAACTAGACCAACGGTGGCAATAGTTACTAAGACTCGACTGTAACTTACCTATTTACAAGACGTAGCGAGTATTTTGAATAAGGATTTTTAATCCTAGGCATGATAACTTAGGTACCTAATGCTATGATTCTTCCTTACAATAACTTGATGGATAATACAAACGACCGCTTTACCGTTGAAGCGCAGCCGGTAGCCGTCTTGGCAACTCCGTCATTTATCCATTCCACCCGGGGGTTCCTTAGATCGATATTTAGGGCTAGCTGAGTTAACAGGGTTACATTCAGATTCAAGAATGTCTTTGTAGAAATCGTCATTTTTGTCATCGTTTTAGTTGTGAAGCCCCTGAGCTAATTTCTTAACCGTTCCAGATATCTAAAGCCCCTATTAGAAAGAATAGGTATACAACTGATAGTTACGTTGATACCAACTTGTAAGAGTATTTTCGTTGCCGCTTTAACAAGACAAATATAGCCGTCTCCATATGTTTAGTTTGATTACCTGGATTTAGTCGATGTGAGATTCGACGAAACAAAACATCACGACTTGCTATAGTAAACAATAATATAGTCCTCGTCGGTAAATTACCGAATTGGAGATATTTCCGTGCTCAACTAGTTTTATGACTTCATCTCGCACCAACGAATTGAGTTGTCACTCCATATTTGGTCTTAATTTTCAACCATGTCTATTCACGAACTAGTCAGGAACGGAGGATGGAACATCTTAGCCTGCCTCAACTTATAATATTGCATTGGGCTTCTCGATTCCAACGTTTCAAATGCCAAAGAAATGATGTAATTGACTTTAGCTATCACACGTCGAATCTTGGCGCAAGGACTTTACTTTATTTCAGGTATTATAGGTTGTCAATATCTTTGATAAGAGAGGAACATTTAGGAACTGTTATAATACTAATGTTGCCATCGATCGCAAGGATTGCAACAGTATCGCAACATTTTTCGCATACCTTTTTAATGAGAATGCTTTAAAACTATAAAATTTGGTCTTGGCAGATGAATGATTTGACTCATCTAAACCCTTAATGCTGTATATCCTATATTTTTAAAATGGCGTCAAAAAATATAACTACCCCAGTATGGGGCATGTTTTTTGACGCCATTCTGATAGTGCGGTTAGTCGTTAACGCCGACCTCATAAATACTGGTGAGGATCTAGCTACAATTCTACTTTGACAGGAAAAAGAGCCGTAAAACGCGATAAATATAAATTAGCCTATCGAGCGAGTAGTATTCTGGCAACTAAACTACAAGTATGAGGCCTGCCTTAGGTACCTACCTAGGCTTCTACTCGTGAAGTATTCAGAAGACTGACCTTAACCATACAAGCATACCTAGGAATTAGAGACAATTATGATGAAAAATGGACATGTCATGAGAGTTCATTACACTGAGAAAGGCCAGACTAAGAAATAACGGTCAAAAAACATATGGTGCTGGCAAACCGCTCTTCATTCGCGATGTACCGAGATTATATTACAAGCTTCTTCTATGCTATGACTACTATGCGCTCTAACCGAAGAAAACTATGCGTAGAAATTGACCGTCTATAGAAAATATTAGCACATAACCATAACAACATAAGGCAGATGACATTTAAACTTACCTCCTTCTTCTTGGCCTGCACCTCAGCAATCGCATCGACGTAGTGCTCGTGGCTGATCTTGTTTTTACCCATCCGTAGAGCGATCATACCAGCCTCGACACAGACTGCCTTCAGCATAGCGCCACCAAATTCGTCTGTACTTCGGGCCAGTTCGTTCCAGTTGATGCTAGCGTCGACCTTCATCTTGCGCGAGTGAATCTTGAGGATCTGAGCCCTAGCTTCTTCGTTGGGTAGAGGGAATTCTATCTTGCGATCTAAACGACCCGATCGTAGTAGAGCGGGGTCGAGGACATCAACACGATTTGTGGCGGCTAAGACCTTGATACGATCGTCTGACGCGAAACCGTCCAGCTGGTTTAGTAACTCAAGCATAGTTCGTTGAACTTCTCGGTCACCGCTCTTCTCACTATCAAAACGCTTCGTACCGACGGCATCAAGCTCGTCGATGAAGATGATAGCGGGGGCCTTCTCCTTGGCCAACGCGAAGCAGTCTCGAACTAGCTTGGCACCGTCTCCGATAAACATCTGAACTAGTTGCGGACCGGCTAGCTTGAGGAATGTGGCATCCGTTTGAGCGGCGCAGGCTCGAGCTAAAAGGGTCTTGCCGGTTCCCGGAGGTCCATACATGAGGGCACCTATTATAATATCGTGAGAAACAAGATACGCAAGGCTTTAGAATACTATGCAACAAACCTTTGGGTGCCTTAATGCCGATTTTCTTGAACCGCTCAGCCTCCTTCATCGGCCAGACGATAGCCTCGACGAGTTCTTCTATTTGCTTATCCAAACCACCAACGTCGCTATACTTTTCAGTAGGCTTCTCGTCGACCTCCATTGCCTTGACACGACTATCATACTCGGCAGGTAAAGTATCGAGGATTAGGTAGGAATCTTTGTTAACACCGATAAGGTCGCCGGGCTTGAGGGTTTCTGGATCAACAAGGCCGATCAAGGGTAAGAAGATGGTTTGTCTGGTAGAAGTTTTGATAACGGCCGACTTGCCTACCCTTGTGGCATCGAGATCGATATTGGCACCTTCTTCGGAAGATTCGGCGGTAGGGTCAAGGTCGAGAAGCTCAACAACATTACCAACGAGGTAAGGTAATTGCCTATCAAGTCAGCAACAGAGGTATACATCTAGATGCGCAGATTAGACGAACCGGTTATTTGCGATCTTCTCATTATTCTCCTTGATCCTCTCGCCCATGGTTGCTTTCTCATGCGATAACCGTTGGAATTCGCTCTTCATAATTCTGGCATCGTTCTCTAATAGACGTTTCCGAGTCTTGAGGTCTTCCGTACCAAGACTTAAGATCTCCTCGTCTAGAATCTCCGCTGCTTCGGGCTCGGCATCTTTCATTTCGGAGTCACCATCGCGATTAACTTTGTTGCCTCCTTCTTTTGATCCGTCACCCCGTCCTTCGTCCTTCTTGTCTTTGCCATCGTCAGATCCTCGGCGCTCGACGCCCTCCATATCTGGGGCGCTAGACATGGCGGATTGTGATGGTTAAGTTAATGAAATTTGAAGAGAGAGAAAATAAATCCAAATAGAAAAAAGAAGTCCGTTTGTTATGTGTAAATTTCACAGCGTTTGTGCTGTGTGGATGTTACGAGGATATGAGAGATGTTTTGATTTGAAATGCTGATGTGTGTTGAAGTGATGAATGGAGCTCCCAAGTGAGGTATGGAAGTGTTAAGTCAGTAAAGCTTTAGTTATAACTCCGAAGTACCTAACAAGGCTAACAACTGCGGGAAGGTACTTGTGGAAACTTTTAATAGCTTCCCCAGGCAGGCGTGTCGCGTAATCAGCCTGATGAATTGATCGAGGTCTTATCTCTTATCTACTAACCCACTTCCATAATTGCATATTACTATCTCGGGTATCTCGGGATATTACGCTATTGGCCCTCTATCACCTATGAGTTCCGTCATCATTTTAAACACTTACAACTAAGCCGAGTTTCCTCATAGTTTTTTAATGTCACTCTTACCTACTATTAAAAGAGAAGAAAGTTTAGAGATGGCTTTTTAAGTTACATCTATTAAGCTAATATAAGACTAATAATATCCCTTTGACGTAGTAATATATATATTTATTTATTTTTTCACCGTGGCTGGAATACTCTGGTCTCGAAGACCGGCTCCTACGACGGATGCCGCCGATGCGATCAGCGATTCTTCAAATCCTACTTCTCGCAATATCATGACAGCGCCTTCCGCTCATCCTAATTTAACGCCTCAATTCTGTTTCTCGTCCGTAGCCCTTAGAGGTACGCCCTTTCTATTGATAAATAATATATGAGCGAAAGCGCTTACTTTTCCTAAGACTTTCTCCGAATATCCCGTAGTGCGATAGACGACTCGATAACTCAAAATCTCAATGCTCTCGTAACGCCTTCTCAACCGGGGTTTGACCCCTCCTCGACCTCTGCCCGGATACCTCGAGCTTCTAGTCGACCTATCGATCCACGGGCATGCCAGGCGTTCAAGGACAAGGTCTTATTCCCTTCCTGGCAAGCAAGATCTGATGTTTTGACTTACTGCGCCTACGTTGCCACTAGTCCAGATCCAGATGATCCCGAAGTAGCTCTACGGGAAGCCGAGACCGAGAGGAATCATGAGCGGGTGGTTGATGAGAGATTAGATCCATATTCCGGGCGGTACTTCCCCCGAGAACCTCGCACGGAAATGCTGGCCAACCTACTAAGACAAGAGAGAAGTGTCGAAAATATTGTCCGTTCTCGAACGTGGGGGTTGGTGCGGGAGCGCTGTGGTGATAGCTTCCAGGATGCAGAACAGGCTCTGAACAGCTGGAGAACGGGAAGAGAGCGTCGTAGCTCATAGTTGGAACCGACTCAAGCAATATGAATCGATGTTATATTAACTAGATTAAATAGCTATGTAATGTTGCATATGCCTACGTAGGTAGGTCTTTGTATAAATCTCATCACTGAATGTAATACTATTTGCCATACTAGATACCTTATACTAGGCTTTTGTTGTGATTTAGTTATCTAGAGGTAGATTACCTTTATAGACTAGAGAAGGTTAAATAATAATCAAACATAGGTAATTTACTTGCTGCATAGACGACCCTGCTAAAATATATTCTTAAGAAGATCACAGAGAAGATAACAGCTTAGAGCACTTTATAAGTATTAATATACTTGCTCCATGTACCTGGTATCTGAAATTGAAATTCCTCGTAAGGATATATAATCGCATAAGTGAATATTTAACTCGGGTGATTACCGGTAAAATAATAACTCTAAATTTTGTCGATAGTGCTTGGATGATTATGTAAGACATCCCACTTCTGTGTGGTGCTTGCTGCTACTAAACTGAAGTAGTCGCAAAGCTCCAAGCTTTCAATATTCCCCATTTACAAATCGGCAACAATACACAATCCCACGCCCGATTTTATACCTATGACTGGTATTTAACATCTTAGGTTAGAAGGTAAACCTTTATTTGCGATTACTTGTTCCTTGCCTGGAGTAGCGACAAGGTATCGTTTATTGCACCAGTTGCATTCGGCGAATCAACTCGTTGCGCACGAGTTACATTGGACAGCTAAGCAGGAGGGCACCCTTACACTTCCGAGCGTCACTTTTCAACGTTACTCCTGAGAAAACATATCTCTTTCAACAGAGGGTTTGACGGCGGGGGAGCTTCGTATTAATACCGACCATGCCTCAACCTCTTAGCTCGAAAGAGAACTCTCTCTTTCGACAGGTCATTCGAAACTATGAAGACAAGCAGTACAAGAGGGGGTTGAAGGCTGCCGAGCAGATTCTCAAGAAGAACCCTAAACATGGAGATACAATGGCAATGAAGGCTCTGATCATCAATCAACAGGGGAAGACCGAAGAGGCATTTGCGTTAGGAAAGGAAGCTCTCACGGCCGATATGAAGTCACACATATGCTGGCACGTCTACGGACTATTATACCGCCATCAGAAGAACTTTGAAGAGGCTATAAAGGCCTATAAGTTTGCTTTGAAGTTAGAACCCGAGTCTCACCAAATCCAGAGAGATCTCGCCTTCCTTCAGATTCAAATGCGCGACTATCAAGGATACATTCAAAGTAGAACTGCCATGCTCCAGGCTAGGCCTCAACTAAGACAGAACTGGACGGCGCTTGCCGTTGCCCATCACCTAGCTGGTAACCTTTCTCAGGCCGAAAAGGTATTGACGACCTACGAAGATTCTTTGAAAGTCCAGCCGTCTAAGACAGATTACGAAAATTCAGAGGCTGTCATGTATAAGAATTCCATCATAGGCGAGATGCAAGACTATCAGAAAGCTTTAGACCATCTAGAGTCTATTTCCAAGAGCAACCTCGATCGCCTAGCGATATTAGAGCTTCGTGCAGAATATCTGGCAAAGCTTGGCAAGAAAGAGGAGGCAGCCGATGCCTACCGCGCCCTACTCGATCGCAACCCGGAACATCCCGAATACTATTCTAAGCTTGTGGAGGTCTTAGGTATTGGTGCTGATGCTGCAGCCCAAAAAGCAATTTACGATGAATACGCCGAAAAAAATCCGCGTTGTGGCGCTGCCAAGCGGTTACCCCTGGATTTCCTCGTCGGTTAGTCACGTCAATTGTATAAATCTTTGGTAGATCAAAAGCTCATAACAAATTTAGGCGACGACTTCCGGGAAGCGGCCCGCGGATATTTATCTTTGATGTTAGATAAGGGAGTTCCTTCGACGTTCGCAAACCTCAAGCACCTCTACGCCGACCAGTCCAAGAGAGATACGCTTGGATCATTAGCGCATGAGTATCTCGACTCAAAACGAGCAGCTTCAGATGGAAGTGCACCGGCGGATGGGGACTCGCTTAATGGAGAACCGGCCGCATTATATTACCTTGCCCAACACTACAACTACCATCTAAGCCGCGATCTCGAAAAGGCAATTGAGTACGTCAATAAGGGAATCGAGTTATTACCCAAGAACGTCGAGTTCCATATGACGAAGGCCAGGATATGGAAGCACTACGGCAATACTCGAAAGGCTTCTGAGACTATGGATGAAGCTCGCAAACTTGACCTGAAAGACCGGTACATAAACACAAAGGCGGCGAAATACCAACTACGGAATGACGATAACGAAACTGCCCTCAAGACGATGGGTCTCTTCACAAGGAACGATTCAACAGGCGGTCCTCTGAACGATCTGTTGGATATGCAAAGCGTGTGGTACCTGACAGAAGATGGGGAGGCGTGGGTGCGCAATGGGAGCATAGGATTGGCTCTGAAGAGATTCCACGCTGTCTATAACATCTTTGATGTGTGGCAAGAAGATCAGTTTGATTTCCATAGCTTTTCTTTGAGGAAGGGACAGATTCGTGCATATGTAGACATGATCAGGTGGGAGGACCATCTCCGCGAGCATCCATTCTACACCCGGGCTGCCCTCGGAGCTATAGCGATCTACGTGAGTATTTACGACCGTAGCCAGGCAACTAATGGCGTGAACGGCCCCGACGGTGCCAATGGAGACGAGGCTGCCGAGAGGAAAAAGGCAGCCAAGAAAGCTAAGAAGGAGGCACAAAAAGCAGAGCGAGAAGCAGCTGAGCGGGCCGCCAAGCAAGATCCTAACAAATCGAAGGGAGCGACAGCAGAGCCCGTCAAAAAGGACGACGACCCTAACGGTTTTAAGCTCGCAGCTACTACCGAACCATTGACCGAGGCTACGAAGTTCCTCGCGCCTATACTTCAATTCAGTCCGAAGTACATCGATGGGCAAATCGCCGGCTTTGAGGTATTCATCAGGAGAGGTAATTCTATAAATAGATTCCCCCCCTTTTTTACACGTTTTATATGCTAACATCTCTTAGGGAAACACCTCCTTGCTCTTCGATGCCTAAATGCTGCGTTGGCCCTCGATGCGGACCATCCCACAGTTCACGAGCAAGTTGTGAGATTCCGCCAAGCTCTAGACTCAAAGCTCGAATCATTACCCCCTAAAGTAGCTGAAGTGTTGAAGTCCGAATTCACTCTTGTAGACGCTACAGCAGATCTGAAGAAATACAACGCCAGCTTCCAAGAGAAGCATAAGAATAGCCCGCCTCATGTCATCTCTGCTGTCAAAACAGAGAGGCTCATAGGGGAAGACAAAAAGAAGACCGAGCAAGATCTCGCGGGAGTGCTCAGCCTGAAAGATGTCCACCACGAGCACGCGGAAGAAGTTTTGGCCATTCTAAAGCAGTGGCGCAGTAGCGAAGCAGATTCTTTCAAGGCAGCTGCCCATGATAAGTGGCCGGAAGTGACCGTATTTGCGTAATAGTATTTCTGAAAGGATCTACCGAACTACATATACTAGCCGCAATATCCCTTACCATCCAGTACTCGAACATTATTAGGGCAGAAAGTCTTAGAGGTAGTAATGCATTGCATCATATTCTCGGCAGGACAAGGAGACATTGAGCAGGGCTGCATAAAACTGCATTTTTTATGGACTGAAGCTTTTGCTTGGAGATTAGTTGGCAACGAAAGCATAAGATCTCTGGGAACGGAAAAGCAGTAGATAGTGGCTTGTGGATCTTGCTACACGCGAGTAGCGCAGGGAGGTTCTTGAAGAACTTCCAAAACGAAAAGAAAAACGTATGTGACGAGACTCTTTGTCTTATTTTCTCGTTAGCTGTGCTAGTCACGTAAGTTATTCGTGCTATTCAGAGCGATATATGTGACAGGGGAATAGGTGGGTTATATACCCGACCATCCTACTTCCCTTCAAGAGCCAACATATCCTATAATCTTAGACAAGAAGGCAACCCCTATCTTAACCAGACGCTAGCTATGCCTTTTAGCACGTCAGATTAAATCCCTATCAATCATCTCGGATTATCACGACTTCTTGGTTAGATTTCCCTAGGAAATAGCATCATGTTTATTGATTTGTGTAGCTAACGCCTAGGGTACGTATTGTTACTTCGTATACAAGGTAATAAATGCTTTCATCTCACAGAAGAATGCGCAATATCTCAAACTTCCTAGCACAGCCTATCTAAGAGCAAATATCCCCCTTTGCCACCCAGTATCATTCTCGCGCCGGTTACGATGTGGAATCATAGCAATCTCAGATTCACTTGATTGACGGTTGTTAGTTCCATCGGTCGGTATTGGGGTTTCAATGGTTCACCGGGGCGTCGTTCGAAGAGGTGTTTCATTAGGCCATTTATATCTCTCCACGTTACGCTAGGCCAGCAAAAGTACCTTGTGGCGAGTGGGTATACTTCTGTTTCCCAGTAGCGGTCCTTCTGTCTCATGCAGAGTGACCCCGATTCGCTGGACAGGGTACGGGAACCGGAGAGCTTGTGGTAAGGGCTATTACACAAGGCTACTAGAACCCAGGGTGATAGTGCTTTTTGAATCTCATGGCGTGAGCTCCATATAGATTCTGTGAAGAACTTAACATGATTACTAACATGATTTCCAGTAGCCCCTATACCATAAATAGAAGTCGGTGATAGACACCATTTTTGATGTAAAGAGTCTGAAATTCTTACATTAACGAGTCGGAAACCTGAGAGAAAGATATCATGCCGAAGACTTAGGTATACGCGTCCCATATTGTAACTGTCATGCCAATAATCATCGGGGTCTTCAATATCATGTAAAATTTTATGCCGTTTATTGATGTTATTGTTGGGGGCAGTGTTGGGAATTCTTGGCAGCCGGAACACAGACAGCACTAAATCATAGAAGCCTCGAGCATAGGACCGGCTCTCCTTGTTTACAGCCATAATTGGTGAAACTAGAGACCTGAAGGGTAGGACACGAAGGGAGTTATGGGGAGAGTCCTCGTCGGTAGTCTGGTTGTCGAGTAGTACTATACGCTCCGCGGATGTTTGGAGCAATGCATATTCCCAGATAATACGTCGTATATCCGAGTTCAGTTCTCCAAAGCGGAATGGAGCCATGGTGTGTTGCTCGTGTTGGGGGTCTTGGTATGTATGGTATGGCTATGGTTGATATTAGAGTAAGAGAAAAGCAGCGGGAGGGTTTCGTTTTATATGCTTGCTTTATGTAGTTCCTTATAGAGGCCGTTCATACCTCAGTAATGAGCTGAGGGCGCCATGGCTTGTTGCTGGGCAATAGGCAACCCGGGAACAATCTATAGGCTCTGATACATGCATCAATGCCCCATACAATGAAGTATCATGTTGCGGCGTTGTCAGGGTATAAGTGGCACTAGTATGAATCAGGCATAGATCTACATAGAATAGATATATAAGGGGCGCACAGCGCCCCTCGAAAGAGAGTAGAAAGGTCAAGCGTTAATAGATTCATACTACTACACGGCTACTATACAGCAGCTTCGCTGCTGCTTCTACCATTCACTCTACGTATGACAACCATCAAGGGGTATCTCTGACAGGCGTTGTGGCCAGAGCGTCGCTGATGCAAGGAATCAGAAACATGTCTATAATGTTACTGCCTAAGCTAGCATTTAGCTGAGTGCCTAATAAAATGAACGAAGTGTATACTGGTTCCTTTATTCCTATACGGAAGCCTAGAAATTACCCTACTAGAGTGAAATAGGATCTCAATAAATAGGGCTATCTACACTAGATCTCTAAGCGTGGTAACTAACCTTTTTAACTGATGAATATTAGTTATCGTATTCTTCTTGTAACTCTAATTATAAGGTATTTCTCCTATTAGGGAGTGGAAGAATATAGTTCTGTCAGCATGAATATCACTATTGACGTAGAGCTTTAAGAGTGAACTATCGAATATCAGATCTAGACATAAAGTGAGACTATATGTTTAAACACGAAAGGGTTCACCTATAATCATCTAGGTTAAGTAAGTACCCGCTACTATCAACTGTTAATAATATAAAGTACTATTCACCCCAAAGATATAATAGAATCATCTAGTCTGGTGATTCGCATCTCCGATTGGCTACTTATAGACAGTATAACTAACGGAGTCGGCTCTTCTAGATTATATACTTGAATCAATATCACGTTATACCTACCGAAAGACTAGAATAATAGTAGTAAATATCGTAAGAAGGCATATACATGTTCTATACATTAATCTAGTATATAAAAAGCTTTACTAAACCATATCTTCAGTCATATCCACCTAACAGTATATCAGGGTAAGTTAGATAGGCGTGTTATGAGGTAAACTATTAACTATATCTTTACTTTCCAAAATGACTCGATGTATATAAACGACACCGTTAAAAAAAACCCCCCCAATTATTGAGTTCAAGTTAACAATATATAGTATATCCCAGTGCATTCTAAATTCTCGGCAAAGGTACCTACAGTTACGTCCAATAAAAATGAGAACTTAGCGGCCACCACTAAGCCGTATGTACTTAAAGTAGTTTAGTATCGGCGATAACAACAATCCACCTTCCCCTCAGTCACGTTTTTGATTGAAAGGGCTGCCTGGCGAAATGGTATCGCGTCACTTTCCGGTGTTACCCTGGAACATGGTGAAGATTGCGGGTTCGAGTCCCGTGGTGGTCGTACTTTTTGCATCTCGAAGTTATCACTCTTTCTAGACTTTCTCCCCCCCCTTTTTTTCATTTTTCCACTGAGCAATGTATAGTAGTATAGTAGTAATAAATGCGCTCGTTGTGTTCTATGCTCAATGATTTGCCCTTATTTTTACCCCACTGCTTTATATCAACGCAACCGAGGAAAAGGGGTTGAACAGCCATGCACCTGAAGCTTGCCCTCTCACTAGACACAAATCTTCTAGATTAGGAACGAGTCATCGTTATCAAATCAAATTCATATTAAACTAGCCTGAATCAGTTGGCATGGTATGTACAAGCTATGGCCGAGTAGCTATAACTACAGACACTGCAAAGGGGGATGCTAACCCTTATACACAATATAATATCTGGGTAGCATTGACCGACTTTGCCTTCTCTCACGGCTCACAGACTCACGATCCCTCTCGATAAAGGGCAATCGTATACCTGGTGCTACCGCAATCATCACCCCCTGTATACACACAATCCTAACGCAGTGATTTCTTCCCACTTATGCTCGAATGAGAAACACTCCCTATAATTAGTCCATAGGCAGGGCTACTACTAAATTTAGGGATGAACTTTATAAAAGTCCGATCGTCTCTTGCTTCATCTTTGGATCTGAGTTATTGCTGCTAACTCAGACTGCCATGCCGTTCTCCGTGATCTTCTTACCCTTGGCATCGTAGGTCGTAACGCTGAAGGCTTCGTAATCGTTGTCGTCGCGTAGATCGTCTTCGTCAATCTCCAAACCTGCCAGACAACCACGTCCGACTTTCGGCCAGGCAGGGGGCACGGAATCTGCAGAGTCCTCTCTGGCTGCTTGGTCTTGGTTCTCGGCGGCAGTAGTACCCTTATTGACACTTGTCTTTACGTTCACGGATTGCGAGTCAGGTGTCGACATTTTGCTAGAGTAGTGCGTTGGGCCGACGTTGATGTTGGACTCCGCCTTGGCCCGTAGACTCTCATGAGATGGTCGCCCCACTTGAGCAGTGCCGCGTTTAGTCTCCTGAGGGAAGATAGGCAAGTCTGGATGCAGCTCCGTGCTGTACATGATGAGGTTGACAAGCTGCGCGTGAGGTACAGCGGAGAGATACGTTCGTTTCTAGGATGGCGTTAGTATTTCTGCAGGAAGAAAAAAAATATGTATATCTGCACAGATGGGTTCAATAGAATTAGAACTAAAGCTTACTTGTTCGTTGGTCTTGTTGGACCAGCTTGCGCCTTTAAACCCATCAACATTCTTCTTGCGGGCAAGATGTCTCTCGCGTTTAGCCATGCAGCGACCGCAGAACCAGGAGCGCGACTCGTTGTTAACAAATTCGTCGTCGATGTATGGGTCGTGGCACATTTGATGCCAGCAAAGATTGCAGCCATCGCAGAAGACGATTTGGTTAGCGGGGACGCTCAGTCCTCGAGTACAAACTTTGCACAGGGCCTGCTCTGCTGTACGCTTGCCGTAATTCTTGCGCTTTTGCGTGGCGGCATCGCGAGCTGACTGCTGCGAGGGGTTGTACTGCGTCGGCTTCTGCACCTGGCGGCCAGACTTCGTCATAGTAGGCATGGCTTGATTCTCCTTGGTGGTAGTAGTAACAGCAATTGTGCTAGTAGGACTTTCGTCATCGGATAGATCGCTCAGGCTTGAGGACGTATCTTCATCATCATGGTCGTCCTTACCGCGTTTGCGCTTAGTTCCGCGTTGCGACTTCCCCTTCGACTTTTGGGTTTGTGCTTTTTGGCCCCGAGATGCTTCCTTGGTTGTAGACTCGTACTTGGCTGGCGCCGGCGTCCTAAGCTGAAAGGCGTCATTCATAGGCATGCGCATAGTAGTGCCTGCAGATTGTTTCTTCGTAGTTGAAGAAGAGGAAGCGTTCTTTGGAGTAATAGTTGGCATAGGCATCGTTAGAGAAGTATTCATCGTTTTAACAAGGCGTCTCTTAGTATCCTCGAAAGTGGAATCCTTAATGCTGTTTCTAGGGAACGTTGAGGAGGCAGATGAGAGCGCTGATGATAGACTTCCGGGCTTGGAATTTATTCGCTTGAGAATCATCTGCGTTGCTGCCGAGAACTGAGGCATGTAAGGCGGACGACCGGTCGAGCTAGTAGTGCTTGGAGCCGGACTTGGTGCTTTAGGGGCTGGTGGCTGCACCGACTCTAGAGGTTGCGACGATGCCATATCTTTGGTAGCTGTCGGCGTCGCCGATATTGCGATAGCATCGCCGACCTTTTCCTTTTCCGAATCCATTATTTACCCTTTAATTTTATTTGGTTATATACATTAAAGAATACAACGGCATGAGAACACTGCCGTCGCGTCGGCGCATTAGTGGTTGATGGTTGATAGTTGATAGATAGGTGAAGTTGGCGGGAATCGTCTACCACAAAACCGCATCGAGGCGTGAGAAATTAAATTCCTGAAAAAGCCTTAGGTAGTAGCATTTGTATTTAATTCCCAATTGTTTTAATCAAAAGATGTGAATATGGTAAAATTGGTCATGAAAGATTGAAATTCATAGGGTGGAGGCTTTTGCACGTGATATTCACGTGATGGTATGATTTCCCGGACGCTCCTGCCAAAGTCATGAACAACTGTAAGCATTGTCAGGCCATTTTAAGGTTACTCGATTAACTTTAGCCTTTTACTTGTTGCGCTTTAATACATGAACTATTCCTATATGCTTTAAATCCATTATACGTACTTTCTTTAAGACGAACATAAGTCCTTGCCTTGCATGGTCTTAAACCTCCTCCGTATGTGTTCGGGATCTCTTTACCTCCTAGATACCTAATACTTAATAGGGTCATCTCGACTCAACTTGTACTTGTAAAATATTATTGAAGCTCTATAGTATGTGTTGGTATATTCTATCTAATAGCCCCCTTTTCTCTCAACGCAACCACATCACTAGTTTCGAACCCAAGAATATCCTCGAGAACTTCGTCCGTATGTTGACCTAAAGTTGGCGGTGCGGTCCGGACTCTCGGCTTACTCTCGCTATATTTTACCGGCGTATTTACTAGTTTTATCGGTCCGCATTGCTCATGTTCTACCTCGACTACCATGTTTCGTGCTTTAGTGTGTTCGTGGTTTAACGCCCCCTGGACGTCGTTTACTGCTGCGTACGGCATTCCCTTGCCTTCAAAGATCTCCAACCATTCTTGTGTCGTCTTTTGAACGCTGAGCTTCTCGATTTCGGCTTCGAGCTCTACACGGTTTGCTACCCGCTGCGAATTGATGCTGTACTTTGGATCTGTCTTCCATTCCGGCCGGCCAAGACCATCGCATAGAATCCCGAATAACCTATCATTCCCACCACCGAACAACACATCGCCATCCTTAGTTTTGAATGACTTATATGGGACTATCGATGCTAAGAAATTGTTAGCAAAGGTTGCGGGATTCCTATAGCTCAAAACTTACGATGAGCCGTGCCCCATCGGCCTGAATCTTTCTTCCCGCTGATGAGACAACTACTAGCAATATTTGCTAGCGTGGCAGTCTGGCAGTCGCTCAGGGCGACATCGATGTGCTGACCTCGACCAGTCTTTGCCCGGGAGAGCAGGGCAGCCATGATGCTATTACTAGTGTAGAGTCCTGTCGTCAAGTCCGTGACCGCAACACCAACCTTCACTGGCGGCCCATCTCGGTTACCGGTAATATGCATCAGCCCGAATTCCGCTTCGACCATGACATCGTAACCAGCCCGCTGAGAGTAAGGCCCCGTCTGGCCATATCCCGTAATCGAGGCGTATATGAGGCCTGGATTGATTTTATGAAGTGTCTCAAAATCCATCCCATACTTCTTTAGCGTCCCCGGGAGGTAATTCTCTACAAGAATATCGCATTTTGCTGCTAGCTTATGCAGGATCTCCACGCCCTCGGCATGCTGGAATGATAGACCCAAAGATTTCTTGTTGCGATTGACCTAGATGTAAATCAGTAAAGGCCAGGCACAGCGGTGTTAATAATTGTATAACATACACCCAAAAAATAGGCAGACTCTCCTGGACCTTCTTCTTTGGACCCGTTTCGGTATTTGGCATAAGGCGGCCCCCAAGCCCGCGTGTCATCCCCGCGCGTAGGATGTTCAATCTTAATAACTTCTGCGCTTGCGTTCGATGCAATATTAGCTTAACACCATTCTACGTCATAAAAGTGACATGTAGTTTATACCCAAGGTCTCCTAGAATTTGTGTACAATATGGCTATGTAGAAAGATAAGTGAGCGAGTGGCCGTGCACATTGCCGAGGTTGGGGGCAAATCCTTCACTACATACGCCGGCTAGGACCCTAGTCATATCCAGAACACGATAACCTGCCAAAGGGAGAGAGGATCGCTCGTCATTTACAGCAGAATACCGTCGTATTAAGCCAACCGAATAACGATTTCTAAGAAACGTTGTGCCGCGGCTGGCGTGAGCTACTGCTACTGTGCGACTGAACATGATGGCTGATTTGATAGTTATTAATTCTTGAGACACAGAATGTCTATGTTAGCCGAGACCTCTCGGAAAGGACAGACAAATAATACAAGGCAGATCGACATCTACTAAAGAAATCAATCTTCATCGGAAGAATTGATATACAAGCCGTTCGGATCCCGTAGTCGGCATTGATACGTTGGAACTTTGAAAACGGCGAGAAACGGCCGCTATTCCCGATTAATTGAAGTTTTACCCCACAATCTAACAATACGATTTATTAGTGCAATGAAAATCGTCCCCTTTATTCCTTATTGGTATTTAACCATGACGATTTGCTGACGATGATTCTTAGGAATAATAAGCTGAGCTTCCTTCATCGTGAACAACGTCGGCCGTTACTTGAGAAGGATTCGACCCTAGCTACGACCGACCGTTTGTCAGAACTCTCAATCCTCTTTACAAGAACCCTTGTAAGGCGGTGCAATGGTGATTGGGAGTAGCTGTCGTGCAACGTAAAGCACTTTATCTCGCTCGAGTCAACCTACCAAGATAACGGCATTAGCACTGTTGGCGTATCATTCACCAAATCAAGCCTCAAACGACTATCATTTATATTGCCTCATGTAGGCAGCCGGTCAAATAGCCAACAGCAAGATCCCAGGATAATGGTTGTCGGCCTAGGTAACCTGACAGCCTGACAAGTAAATACATGACGATACTACCTCAATGCCTTAGTATGGTGATCTGCGCAGCGCAAGTGGCAGTATCTACTATGAAGGATAACTTATGTAGGCTACGCACCAGCCTAATGGAAATTGTCTCGCCTTATCATCGTCGCCGTTGGCGTGCGGATATGCCTACCTCATCCTTTGGCCTTATTATGTATACATAATCATTTGTTGATAAGCCTAACCGAGGGACCCTGAAAATATGTATCCCTTAAGGGACGAATACGTTGGCTCATTGCTCAGCCTCGACTGCCTGCGACTGAAATGCGACCGATACTACCCAAAGGCTCTCAGAGGTAGCTGAGCCGGCGCTAAGTATCACCAGAATAGGTCTACGATCGACGCATTCCCTACGAACATCTACTTGCTTAGAGGAGCCTGCAGCTCATCCTATCTATGTTAGGTACTTACTATCAACTACATTTTACAAGCAAGCTGCCAAGTTGGCCCTCTTGTTTATCTCAAGGCATACAATTGTCACCGAAGGCAACGTTTGCATTGCCTCACGCCCCCGGTTCGTACTGCAGGGATCCCGAGATACCCCGTTGTCCCGTACGAGTGGGCGGCGCACGGCATGCAGTATGTAACCGTATGTAGATGTCAATTATCACTTGATTGGTCCAATAATAGAATTTGTCTAGGTTCCCGTCCCTCCAATTCGGCTCTTCTCGTATCCCAGAGGGACACTGTAGTTAGTAAAAAAGAACGCCTTCCCGTCATTCCCACACCTCACCGCTCGCAACTTAGTTTTTATTTCTTTGCCACGAACTCGTGATAGCCATCTCGAACCGTTTTCCTGGGTAAACCAACATGGCACCATCGTTACATCAGCGCGAGGAGAATGACGCATTCGATGCGCATACAGTAGCTACGCCAGAAATTAGAGATTCCAGCAACTCAATGGCGCCCTGGTTAATAGCTGTGATCGTTATCGGGGTGCTCGTTGTAACATCGCTGATCGTATTTCTGACATTACGTCTAACAAGAAAACGGCAACGAATTCCTCAAGAGGATCAGCCAGACCCGCTTGGTAAAGGCGTTAAAAAGCGGAAGATGAGGTCGACGGATAGGCAAGCAGTGGAAGAGATTGAGCGGGCTACGATGATCCGAAAGTCCTTAGCAAGCCGAACCTCGTCGCGGAACTCTCAAGTATGGGGGTCTACAGAATATCAATTCCAAGAGCTGGACCAGGAAGATCGAGAACCAGTAGCCCCGAGAGAACCGAGTGAACAGACAGAACAAAGAGAAAATTGGAAAGAATTCGAGGCAGGTCAGGTACCGATTCCTGGTGTTCAAGACACGCAGATGGGAATCCACCCGGCTCTTCTACCACAACCTCAATTAGCCGTTCCGCCATCATCTCGAACCCCGTCTCCGAGCCGGGGGCCGCAACCACCTCGATTAATTATCCCATCATAACGAGAGGACGAATTTCTTTGGTTGTATATTTCCTACGCAGGTTTAACGCAAATTTTTAGATGGATATGGGAAGGTTTAACGGCGCAAAGTAAAGAATACCCCTGGGCCATCGCATAGGCGTTTTAGAGGCGGGCATTGATGGCATTGTCAATATTTAGGGTATCTATCCACATATTTTTAATTCATTTTTTATTGAAACATGACTATCTGTAACAAGGGGTGTTATTGGTTTTGATTTAAAAATAGCCGTGCTTCTAGCCTAGCTTTCTATATGCACTTAGTCTCGTCACGATGTTATGAAGCATTTCTCTATTAGAGTACAGTCATGTCAAATTTACTACGACCATAACAGATGGTTCTACTGTCGCCTTTAGAGCGGTTTACCTCTCAGAAATGTGATTGCTTTCAGTTTCTAGTGTTTTACGCATTGACATTCTAATATGGTTTTTCTGCACCTACTCATACTACTTACGATTGAGAGATGAAACTTGGAATATGGTGAATGATGTGGAATAACCCTTGGGTAGAGTCCACTTGGTGTTAGGTCACATTTCTACTGATAGAAAATACCCACATCCATTATGTTTGTCTAAATTTTAGTAAAAATTCACTAAAGATGGAGTTCTAAAATAATGAGTTTGTTAAATACGTCCAAGAGGCGTATAATGAAATATGTGTTGTTAATGTCAAACAATAGCGTCAGAAATAGAACTTAGTTACAACAAAGGTTTGCAAACCATCAAAGAAAATTTAGGCTACTTTATGGGTTTCGTATAATTTAGATATAAAAAGAAACAATTGCGCTTCAGATTTTCTTAATTGTTCGAGATAAAAAGTGCTGCTTTATACCTGTTTGCAGAACTCGAGGTACGTATTGCCGCTTTCATACCTGCATTAAGTGATTACATAAAGTGAGTTAAAGTGAGTTAAAGTGATATGTACAGATGACCCACTATTTATGCAATCCACACTGACATAACTGGAGAATATTCTACAGGCATCTGCATTTGCATCGCGTCTTCTTTCTCTCACCTTCTTCACCTTTGTGTCGGAGGTCGCCTTAATTTTTTTCTCATCCTCAAACCTCAACAACAATATCGACGCCACACCCGAATCAATCTATCGCCATCCTGTCATAATGGCGACCGTGGTGCCCCGCCTAGAACCTAACTTTTCCGCTCCCGTACAAACCTTCCCCAACCAGAGTCAGACCGTCAATCAAAATCCGAACCAGAACGAAAGCGATGGAGGTTACAAGCAGAATTTAAATCAGCGACTTCTCTGTCGCGATTGCAATGAAGATCCTCCTAATCTCGTCGAAGAGTTCTCCTCTGGAGACATGGTTTGCGGCTCTTGTGGTTTAGTCCTTGGTGATCGCATCATTGACACACGATCTGAGTGGCGTACCTTCGCCAACGACGATCAAGGCAACGATGACCCTTCTCGTGTTGGCGACGCTGCGAACCCTCTCCTAAACGGTTCCCAGCTCGAGACCAACATCGGCTTCGGTGAAGGAATGCGCGCGAGAGAGCTGCATCGTGCCCAGAGTCGAATCACCAACGACAAAGCCACAAAGACGCTCTTAACTGCCTACCGCGATATTACGCAGTTTTGCGATGCTATCCACATCCCGAAAACCATCCAGGATTCGGCGAAACATATATTTAAGATGACCGAGGACAAGAAATTGTTCAAGGGAAAACCCCAAGAGGCGGTCGTAGCTGGCTGTATCTTCATAGCATGCCGACAGGCCAAGGCACCGCGGACATTCCGTGAGATCTACTCTCTTACTAGAGTTTCGAAGAAGGAGATCGGCAGGACGTTCAAGGTACTTGAGAAGATGTTGCAGAGCAGCCGTGATGAAAATGTTACGGGCTCGTTCCTTATGGTCGAGAACTACGAGGCTACCGGCACGACCGGTGCAGCTGAGCTATGTGCTCGGTATTGCAACAACCTCCAGTTCAAGAATCCCCATCTTATGGAAAAGATATCCAAAGTTTTGGCCGAGAAGAGTTCTTCGCTCAAAGATCTGGCTGGCCGATCTCCTCTGTCGATCGCTGCCGCATCTATCTATATGGCATCTCATCTTATGGGCGACGCGAAAACGTCTAGAGATATTGCCGCTGTAGCTGGTGTCAGTGACGGTACCATTAGGACGGCTTATCGCCATATGTATCCGTCTCGCAAGGAATTGATCGAACCGGATTGGCTTCACCCGAAAGGTGCTGGACGTATGGAAAACCTTCCTTCGAATTAGGGACGTGGAAAGGTTACTATACTCCGTTAGCAAATTTAATTTGCTACTGCCGACTGGATAGTGGTTGTGGAAACCTCGAGGGATTAAATTCTCTCGAAGGACGTGAGAACCTTTGCCACTTGGCAGGTCTGGTTTATTTGATTCACAGATCCGTTCAGCACGCGCTGCATTTATTGTCTCGACCGACATGTTGGTCGGTTTATATCGGATTTCTCGATTTTTGAGTCGGGTAATATTCCGTACGCGGAAGAGGGAAACATACTCGCCGTTTGGGTGATTTCCATAGGCCGGTACTAGTTTCTTTGACTTTCCTTATACGCCGTTTTGCTCTTGAGATACAGAGCTCGTGCGTTTATATTTCTACAAGCAGGTGTGAGGCCGGCTTGTAGTCTTTTCAACAGTTGATCGACGAGGGTTGCGATGCGAAATTGATTATGGTCGGCAATGATTTTATGGCGACGAGGCATGGCGTGGATGGCATGGATGGCGTGAGTGGCAGAAGAAGGTAAATTGACATTATGGATAGTGCTAGGTTGGCCTTTTACGATTCTTAGATTTAGGGATCGTAGATACAATCAAGAGCATTCCGTAGTACTAGTCACTGGATTCTAACTCGTACTACGTCTAAAGAGAAGTCTAACAAGTTTTTAACTTGATATACACGGAGTGTAGTACGCGTAAGGTGAGACCTGTTTCCAGCGATGAGATACCCAATTCCCTTTTTTCCTATTCCAAGCTCAAGATCCAATAACTTGTCTAGTACTTATATCATCACGTCACGAACTAAATATCTTGAAAAAAAAAAAGAGAAACAAAAAAGAAATCTAATAACTACTTGAATAAAAACATTATTATATACACGTGCTTACCCCTATCCCTATACAATTTATATACATATCAAAAGTCTTAAGATGCCTTTACGTATAACTAACTCCCTATCTAAGTGAGGTACTTATCTTACCTTATAAGTGAATACATACCTATTGACTTGAACCCGAGGGTGCGGGTAGCTTGGAACTAGTTGAAGCTACTCGGTTGATAATGGCCCGGCATATGGAGAAAGCACGACATTACGACATTGATACATAAAATAATAGGCTCTACCCGGGACGCACCCCGCATGTCCCGTCCCCGCCGTTACACGGCATATTAAATGTGCGGTCGTTAAGACTTTCCATAACTTTGTGTTCTTTATTATGTAGCTACTTAATCTTTTTTTATTTGTCTGTTTTTTTTTTCTCTATGCTAAAATCACTGACTACTAGACTTGCCACTCCCACTCGTTTATACTCTTCCCAGCTTAGAAGATACGTCGCCTCGACTAATAACACCATGAAGCTCCTCTACCCCACATCTCTCAAGCTCGACATTAGGAGTCTCGAGGGCTTCTCTACGTCTCTACACCCTTACGACGTCAAAGCCCCAATCCCAGACGACCTTACCGACGCCGAGATCCTCATTACCTGGACCAACAGCGCCGAGAACCTATCCGACGCCGCACGTCGCTTGAAGAACCTGCGCTGGATCCAATCCCTCGCTGCGGGCCCTAACGATGTTCTAGCTGCTGGATTTCCCTCAAGCGTCCTCGTGACAACAGGCTCTGGCCTGCACGACCGCACCGTCGCCGAACATACCCTGGGTCTACTCCTCACAGCCGCCCGCCGCTTCGACCAGATGCGCGAGTACCAACTTCGGCGCGAGTGGCCGCAACACCTCGGCGGCGCGCAGCCCGACCGCCCCAAGGACCGCTTCACCACCCTGCGCGACGCAAACATCCTCATCTGGGGCTACGGCAACATCGCCAAGACGCTGGCCCCGCACCTGACGGCCTGGGGCGCGACCGTCCGCGGCATAGCTAGGTCAGCCGGCGTCCGGGACGGCGTCGAGGTGTACGCGGAGGACAAGCTGCCGCAGCTCCTGCCGCAGACGGACGCGCTCGTCATGATCCTGCCCGGCGCGGAGAGCACCCGCGACGTGTTGAATAGAGAGCGGCTGGCGCTGCTGCCGGCGCACGCGTGGGTGGTCAACGTGGGGCGGGGCACGAGCGTCGACGAGGAGGCGCTGGCGGAGGCGCTGGAGCAGGGTAGGGTTGGAGGCGCGGCGCTGGACGTGTTTAAGACGGAGCCGCTGCCGAGGGAGTCGAGGCTCTGGGGCGCGCCGAATCTGCTGGTTAGTCCGCATGCGGCGGGGGGCAGGCCGCAGGACGCGGAGCAGCTTGTTGCGTATAATCTTAGGAGGTTTTTGGCGGGGCAGGAGTTGAGGAATTTGGTGTAGCAATTACGGAGTAAACTGTGAGGGGGTAGGGGTTGAGCTCGATAGAAGAGACTCCCTTGGACTGGAGGGGGGAGGGTGTGCGAGGAGGATGGGGGAGTGTTATAATTCCCCTTGTTCTTGGGGTTGTTGCTTTTGATTTGCGACGGCTACCTACTCTTGCATAGGACAGCGCACTCTAGAGATAATAGTAAATAGGTAGCTATAGACAAGTTTTATTGTAACTACCTACTTCTATATATATTAGGTAGTTAAAGGTTAATGAGTTACGTCGTGACTTTAAGAATAATCCTGAAGCTACAATGTGCCTCTTCAACAGGAAAGGTTGCGTTTTGATGTCGTGAGGGTCAACTAGATTCCACTATACTAAATACATCAAGTAAATAGATGGTATAATGTATGAGCATCGATACAGATTGCTCAATCCCTCGTAGGCTACCTCGATATATTTATAATTCTTCCTGCAAAGCTCCCGGCTAGCTTAGATGATATCGTATTGAAATGTCGCTGCATGATGATGTCTCATTCCTAGTCTTATTTATCAACCCCCCCCCCCCCCCTGTGGATCCGTATAATTGTAAATATTGTAATCCCCACAACCTTACATAGATTTACCCAGATTCATCATAGATACTACGAGACCCAAATAGACATTATTACATTATTATAATATGGTGTCACGGTTCATTATGCCCGTGACAAAGACGCACAATGGCTCCTGGACTTGTATTTCATCGCGATGAAGGAACCACCATGTCGTTCCCAATGAAGCTGCTTGCCATTACCAATAGAGAGCTTTGGCCATGATACACAACTTCACAAATGTCCGACGAGGTCTTATTCGGGACATATTTGCTTAGAAAGCTAGCTCGATAGCCACGCCTAACGACCCGCTCATAGGCCCTCGTGACTTGCTAGCCTGAGCTCTTTTATAAGAGACGTAGACTTCTTAGTTTAGGAAGTAGTAATAGTAAATAGAATAGTTGGTAGACCTTATATCCGTCGGGTGGTGATAATACCCAGTACCGACTTGAATAGTCAAGTATTCGGACGGACCAACATCTCTTCAAGCATATTGGTGATTCCTGGGAAGTCCTCATGGTGCTCTCCGTTAGGGGAATGTTTATGTTATTCGTAAGGTTTTATTAGCGCTACCAAATTGTTTTTGCGCAAATACATTTAAAAATATATAGTGTAGTATAGTAAGTTATTTGCGAAGAGGCTGAGTCGTTGTTTAAAGCCTTAGGGTGTGTGAAGATAGAATATCGGATAGTATATGGGGAGGGGGATTGGGTCTGAAACCCTCCGCCTTGGTATGCAGCAATATGACTATAGGCATACTGTGATGGATCTTAATGTGCCGACCCATGGTAACAGGTAGTTAATGGCAAGTGATATTGCTCCTTAATTCACCCCCCTTAAACAGCGTAGAGTAGTCGACTGAGAGTAAGAATATGGCAGTAAAGGTGGGTACCTGGAGTTGTCGTACTGGAGTTGACCAGTAACCCCGACGTATTGTCGTGTGAAATATGTAAAGAAAGAAAAGAAGTGTAGTCGTCGAATTAATGGTGTTTGCCTCTGCGGTGAGGTAGCAAGTAAATTGACATTGCGAGGATTAATTAGACCAATACGCAATTTAAGTGTAAGAAATAGGTTCGCACATAGACCATGATGACACGAAGGCAATGATAGAACATGAGGTGGTCAACCGGCAGTATACAGGGCCGATACTGTGGAATAGACTAGAAGATACGAATAATAAATAGATGTATCCAGTCAAAGGCCTTTCATCCCTCCGGCCCTCCGGGATGAAAGACCTGACTGGCATACATAAGGATAGATAGAATATGTAAAGTAGTTAGAGTAATCAATCAAGTAACATGTTTTGCTCTCAGATACACTAGATCCCCTCATATCTAGTTTGATATCGAGGTTGATCTGCCAGGTTATCCCTGAGGATATATCTGGAAGATCTCAAAAGAAAACAATGATCCTGGAGTAACTGGTGATATATATATAATAGGAGAGAGAAACATAAGATGGTGAAGCTGAATTGTGTTCAACGCAAAATGAATTCAGTAGGGAGTAGCTGGATTTATAGAGTAGAGACATTCACCCCTGGGAAGCATGTTGAACCTAGAAGTCCTTAGGAAACATAGCCACGAATGCCACATCTGCGCCTCTGTTTGCAGGTGCTCTGTTTGCTCTTGCACCACATAATATAAAAACCAACATACGCACGAGGCATGCAAGTTGCCACACCATAAAATGCATCTTCCCATAGTAGACAATGACCAAAACGCCAGTATACTAACCGCCTCTGCCTAGCTTCCCCTGAGGGGAGAATGAGATCTTGCTCTTGCTCATGCTCCGATACTGTCTAACCAACCTTTTCTCCGTAAAGGCGACCTGCATCTAAGGTCGACCAATCTACCTAATCCATAAGCTTCCAGCCGAAGGTATGTGGTTTGGCTGTCATATGCAGTTTTTATACCATGCCGAAAAAATCAAGCGCTTGCCCACCCATGATGCTTCTTGTACCAGCTCACAGTATCCATACCGGTCTGGACACGCATGCCGATCCGGGCGTCTAAGGTAAACGCTCCCCAGTTAGCTACCTTGTCGAGCCAGGCCTGGCATTCCTCCGTTTTCTCCCGTAGCCACTCCTCCTCGTCCCCTTTGTCGTCATCCCTTCGCACTTCAGGTCTTTGTATCTCAATCCATGCAAGTACGGCCATCTCGTAGTTTGCTGCTGGCAACGCATAATCGTCTTTCGTGGGGCCTCTAAATGCCAGTCTATCGTGATGTGTTAGCTACCTAGAATTTGACGTACGAGACTTGGAACTCACCTATCCATAGCTAAAACGCTGTCGAGCAATTCGCGTGCCTCGTCAATATTACCCAGTGATCGCGCCACGGCGGCTCGACAGACGTTTCGCACGGCTTCTTCGTCTAATTCTGCCTCTATCTTCTTCCGCGCCTCCTTCGGTGCTGTTAACCTATCCCAGGACAGAACCTTGTTCGAAAACTCCAGCTCCGAGGGCTGCATTTTCTTCATTCCGTTCCAAAGGTACGTCATCTCTTCCGATGGGCTGGGACCAATAGCATCTACCAGATCTATCCCCAACGCTTTGGATCTCTCCTCCCACTTCTGCATCTTCCGAACTACGAACTGCTCGAACGGCATCGGTTTAGCTAAGAAGCGTTTCTTACCAGCTAGCGTGGGCCCCTTTCTGAAGAGTTCATCTGTCTTCTTCTTATGTAACTGGATTTGTGACTCCTCTGCTTTACTGTGGAATGCATTTCGGTAGTTCTCTAGTTCCGCACACCCGGCAATGTAGTAGTATAAAGTAGGACTCCAGTCGTTGAGCTCGATGCAGCGGAGGAAATTGTCGCGCATGTCGGGATAATCGTGAATAAACATAGAATTCAGAGACATCTCAAAATTGTTGATAGCTGTGACCTGGCGCATTTTCGACTCCGTATTGCTCTTTAAAATCTCGAGAGCACCCCGCAAGTCCTTACTATTTGCCTGTACTCGACCTTCCTCAAAGCGCCAGAGGCCACTATCTGGATATCTCGAGCGCATCTGGGCCAGTAATGCAATGCACTTGGCTTTTGGGTAACCTACAGTAGTGCTCTTTTCATTGTCGTTATCGAAGGGGAGGATGTCGGCGGCGCTTAGAAGACCATGATAATAAGAAAGCAACATGAGACTTGCTACAGCTCCGTTAACATTATTGAACCCAGAACTCTGCCACAGCAACTGTAAGCCTCGTTCACGATCCCCCCTAAAGCCGATAATAGATAGTAGACGAGAAAACGCTGGCGGAACCATGGTAAGGAGAGTTAATAGGACTCCATACGCCATGTTGGCACCGCTATGAATAAAAACGTCGGCTGGGCTGGTGAATACCTCGGAGCTACCCTTAGCAGATAATAACTTAGAAGTACCGTTAGAATTTAGAGACAGTTTACTCAGTTCCTTCTCGGCTGCATCAGGGCCCGTAGTAAGATGACCGCCATAATCTAAAGGAGTTTGCGTTCCCGAATGTGCCTCATCCGCATCTACAAATTCGAGATCCGTGTCAGTATCGTCGCTAGATGAATCCGAGTGGAGCCCCTTTCTTTTTAGATATGCCGTCTCCGCTTCCACGAGCCCATCAAGCGTAATAAAAGCTTTCCGTAGCTTATAGAACCCCCTGAGGCCCTCCGTCAAACTCTCATTCAAAACGGCGACGACGGCGGACATGAGGTGTGCATAAGCTATAACCAGGGCGTACTCGCTTCCTGGGGGGTATATCCTGTCTTCGGCTTTACTGGCCTCGGCCTCCTTCTGAGCTTTTTTCATCTCACTCAAGGAACGTGTCTCGCAATCGTTAAGACGAGCGATGGTTTCGGCCATAATTGACTTTTCGAATCCAAGGATACTCCTCATAAAAGTGCAGACTCCCATTCCAAGGAGATGAAATGCTGAGTCGCCCTTTCGCAACCTCTCTTCGGCACCGTCGATGTCATCGTTCATAATTAAAGCGGTGGCATTTAACGCATCTACGAGGGAGGCCGTCTCCCGAGCTCGAAGATCTGTTTGCGAGGCTGCAGGACTTGAAGTTTGGCTCGGGGCGGGAGTAGAACCCCGAAGCCAGGCCCCTATCCGACTCATAGTAACGAACCGGATTAGCTACGAGACCAAAGCGATATCCCGTCTTTACTGCCTAGAGAATCGAGGACAAAACTATATTTTATCTTAAGATAAATAGTAACTCCGTGGTATCCGTTAGCGTCGGTCGGTTAGTCTCTAATATCCAAAAATCGTAAGTGCAGCTGTTAAAACATAGCAGGTTTAGTGCTGAGAGTAAGGTAGGTAGATATGTAAAATAAAGGATTAAATATTGTAACTAGCTCCTGTTAAAAGAAAGCTCGAAAAGATTATGTAAAGAGCTGGAATAAGCGCGAATGCATGCAAGTATCTAATGCATGCACCTAATTGACTCAGGTCTCGGAGCTGAAGGACGTATTCACCGAAGTCCACCTTTGAGGCTCCAGCACGAGTCAATGTATTCCGTACCTTAGGTAGGTGGATAAGGGGGGTGATTTTTGATGACGTCTCTAATGACACTGTAATAAAAAAAAAAGCAATTATGTAGGATGAAAGTGAGTTTTCTGTCGAGACTAGACTAGATCAAGTTTTTATTATCTTAGTGATATAATGCTTGCCTATATGAAAGTGTTTGTCGATAATATAAAAGAAAAGAAAAACAATAGTTAGTATAACTACCTAATTGATAATAGTAACACGGCTGTATAATATAGTTATATCATTTCATTTCTCAAAACTAGGGATGGGATTCAGGAGAGTAAGCTGACTACGGGATTGTATTCGGGCCCTAGCGGAAATTAAATACGGTAGGAATGCTGCAGCAGATGGAGGCTGAGCCTAAGACTTGAATATCCATCCTAGTTAGGTGACGACAACGAAGAAAGCAATGTTGCAGTGTTGTAGAAAATCGATAATCGATAATACATATTAGTAGGGCTACTTTCCAATTGACGGGCGGAGTTTAACCACAGTAGCCGCGCACTACGTGGCTATGTGCATATACACCTGTATTAAGTACGGATCTATACCGTAGCCCCGCTAAGCCCAACTACACGGCATGTGAAATGATTGGTTGCCCGGAGATAAAGTTTGGCTTATCCATAGTTACCTAAGTATTTTCCGTTTTCGGGGGCAACCTTATCCGCCTGCCGAGTTATCATTTCATGCTTAGGTCATTGCAATGCATCATCGATGTTATGCAACAAACACACTTACTCAGATAAATGATATATCTCATTACCTAAGATAAGAAAGCAAGGTTGACTGATTGATAAACATTCATCATCTATCACATCACCTCAACAAAACCGAAGCCTCGTCTCTCTCTACTTGTTCCACATTCAGCCTCGCCACCAGTAAGACAGACCATCGATATCGACAAGAAACGTATTTACCTCCTTTTTTTTCAATCCGGCCCTCAATATCATCCAATCTACATCGAACGAATCTACATATTCATATCCATAAGCCATGGCCGCACCATCAAACAAGCCCAGCGACAAGCCCGCTGCCGAAGCCTCCAAGGAGCAGCCCCAGGCGCAGCAGAAGCCGGCTACCGCGTTGGAAGAGGACGACGAATTCGAGGACTTCCCCGTAGAAGGTGCGTTATTTCTCTATCCCCTAGCTCTCTTGTAACTATACTTGTACTGCCTCTATCTACTTTACACGGCAGTATCTGTAATCAAGTTGGCTAGCTACCTAGGGCAACCAACAACTAACATCATCAGAAACAGACTGGCCGGCAGAGGAGACCGAAGCAGCAGCAACAGCAGTGACAGGAGGCAACGGTACCACGACACAGCACCTATGGGAGGAGAGCTGGGACGACGACGACACCTCCGACGACTTTTCCGCACAACTAAGGTACGTTCACATCTCGTCTATATACTGAGCACCTTCGGCCGTCAAAGTCGACAATAGCAATGCTTTTGACTATATAACATAACCGAACTATGCCGTTTTATCTTCCACGCCTCTCCTATCTTCATGCATCACAATACTGACGCGAGTACCAACAGAGAGGAACTCAAGAAAGTCGAAGCCTCGAAGCGAAGATGAGACCGTATTTACGGGTTAGGCGTTTTCTAGCACGACGATCAAGCAAGCAGGCAAGCAGGACTAGTAGTATTGGGGTCAGAACCATGACTAGGAAACCCGAACTGCATTGTACCTATTCCCCGACGCTCTGCAATATTTCGCCAGGCGTGGAGCAAATGAGCAAGGCTTTGATTAATAGATTAGCAGACGTAGAGCTGCCGACTATGGCATAATACATAGACCTCCTTGCCTTCATGATTCAAAACTTCTTCTCCCCTTTGCTTACTAGCCAATATCAAGGTCGATATTATTATCAATATCCAGAACAAAATTCATCACAGGTAAAACAGCAAAATATGTATAAAATATGTACGTCTAATACTTTTATCAGGTATTCATCTAATTTTTAGCTCTGTGGCTTTTATCATAAGCTCAATACATAACATTATCAATAACAATAACAATGAAAAGGACCACCGCCTGGTTGATCCACCGTTACCAGCAACCCGTGCATTTAGCTAACCAACCCAAACCGGTTACCCCTTTCTAAGCCGTGCTAAGCGATGCTCATAGACGCACCGACCGCCCTAATTCTCATTTGGTGCTAAGAGCAACCACGCCGGGTAGGGCCTTGCCCTCTAGGAGCTCGAGAGAAGCACCACCTCCAGTCGACACGTGGGAGCACTTGCTCTCGGCGCCGTACTTGGCAGCAACGGTGGCGGTATCACCACCGCCGATGATGCCGATCTTGCCCGCGGCTACGGCAGCTGTGAAGGCGTCTAGAGTAGCCTTGGTGCCGTTGGCGAACTTCTCGAACTCGAAAACTCCAGGGGGACCGTTCCATAGAATGGTCTGAGCCGAGTCGATAGCCTCCTTGTACAGCTTGATAGACTCAGGACCGCAGTCGAGACCCATCCAGCCCTCAGGAATGCCTTCCTTGTCAGTGGCCGTGCTGGTGTTGGCGTCCTTATCAAACTTATCCGCAGTTACGTAGTCAACGGGTAGGACGACCTTGACGTTGTTCTTCTTAGCCTTCTCGATGAGCTGGCCGACGTTCTTGGAGCCAGCCTCGTCGAAGAGGGAGGTACCAATGCTAACACCCTCGAGGGTCTTCTTGAATGTGAAGGCCATGCCACCGCAGATGATGATGCTGTTGACCTTGTCTAGTAGGTTGTCGATGAGCTGGATCTTGTCAGAGACCTTGGCACCACCTAGAATGGCGAGGAAGGGGCGCTTGGGCGATTCAAGAGCTTGTGCGAAGTAGTCCAACTCCTTCTTCATGAGGAAACCAGCGGCCTTTTGAGGGAGGTCAACGCCGACCATAGAAGAGTGAGCTCGGTGGGCGGTTCCGAAAGCGTCGTCTAGAAAGTATTTGGTTAGCATCGGGGTAATTACTGTGGCATTGATCCATGTTACAGTCATGGGCGGGGGTTCTTACTGATGTAAACATCGCCAAGAGCAGTCAAGCCCTTGCGGAACTCCTCAACCTTGGCCTTGTCCGCCTTCACCTTCTTGCCCTCCGCATCCTTGGAAGAACCTTCTTCCTCGGCGTGGAACCGCAAGTTTTCTAGCAGAACGACTTGGCCATTGTCTGCCTTGTTCACGATGGCCTCAACCTCAGGGCCGACGCTGTCCGGGGCGAACTCAACGCTCTTTCCTAGCAGCTTCTCAAGCTCCGGCACGACGGGCTTCAAGCTATACTTGGGGTTGACCTTGCCATCAGGACGACCAAGGTGGGACATAAGGACAACAGCCTTTGCGCCATGGTCGATCGCATACTTGATAGTGGGAACGGCACCGGCGATACGTTGGTTGTTTGTGACCTTCTTATCAGCGTCAAGCGGGACGTTGAAGTCGACCTTTGAGAAATATTATATTAGTCTAAAAAGTAAAATCACGTATTATAATTAATGATAAGATATCACATACCCGGATGAGCACCCTCTTGCCCTTTAGGTCAACATCCGTGATAGAGAGCTTGTTTGATAGGGACATTTTGACGGATGAATATATTCAATTGATCCTTAATTCGAAATTGTAACTCTTAGGGAAAAAAATTTAAGAGAATAATTAGAAAGAAGGATTGCGGTATTTCAGACGATGGTTGTTGTTTTTTTGGACGTCCGTTGGGAAAAAGCACGCAGTTAGAAAGACCGCAATAGAAAGACCGGGACTAATAATAATACTCAATAGAGGGGCAGAAGGCAGAGGGGTAGCAGCTTCCTTACAATTTGGTGGGGTGAGGTCAACGAGCTTTACGGGTGACGTCCTATGGGCTGTACTTATGGGCTGCATCTAGCCACGCTAAGATCAAGCATGTAACCACACTAGATAATTTAGTGGTTGAATACATTGGCGTTTCAGACCGTCTATAGGAGATTGCCGCTCTTTAAGAAGCTAAAGACGCGATTCTCCGTTTACTTGGGTAAAATGCTCAATGTGTGGTGCCATCATTGTCGACTAATCTTTCTCTTTCAGCTCTATTTATGAGTTATTGGATCATATCTCCTTATAACAACGTATGTATGCCATGACAATTGTCTATCGTATTGCGGCTTTATTTGATAATAGGTCATGTTTTCCTTGAATTATCCAATGATATTCTCTAGTCGAGACACGCATGTAAATAATACTTCTAGGTTTCTTGCATCTACACAAACGTAAGTACAAGGTTATACCCAAACCGCTGACCTTATATTTTCAACCCAAAAATGAATGCGCCTGTCCAATACCCATATTATATCGGTCATATCGATTAACCCATCAAGACCACGCTCTTTGACGCCGTAACCCCTACCGACACATCGTTTCAACGAATTTGATATACAGCGAAGGAAGAGTCTAGCAGTCTTTCTACAGGGACCGATAATTTACTAAAGACGAATGTTAGGTGAGTAAGGGGCGGTCTTTTGCTCAGCCTCCTCAGCAGCATTCGTTAATGAAAGATATGCGGTCCAAGCAATGCCGATGGTAGAGACGAAAGGCTATAGAGAATTATTAGTAAAAAAATTACTCGTAAAGTATTACTCGTAGTGATAAAGCTTACTAGCTGGAACTGAACAGGCATTAGCCTAAAGTTGATGACCTGTACGGCAGGCCAAATCATGAAGTTCGCCTTCAGAGTTGGAATGTACATGTCCCTGAGCTTATGAGCAACCGCCCTACGGCCACCCCCCTCTGCTACAGTCATGACTGTAAAGAAACAAGCGATACCGAATGGAGCAAAGATCAACTGGTCAAAAGCAACTCGTTTCATCGCCGGAGCGAATGCGCTCGTCTTCGTAATGGGAAACGCCCGTGAGAGAAAGCTAAACCACTTATATTGGAGAGGAGCCATGCCGAAACCGTAAGCCATGAATCTCGTCAGTCGCTCGAAGTCGAAGGGAGGTGGGAGAATCTTAGAATCCGGAATCAGGTCCCGTTCGTTCCAAGGGTTCTTGCGATCCAACTCGTGGATCTCGATCGCTACGGTATCGTCTTTTGTAACGCCGCCGGGCTTTCGCAGGGCTCGTTCTCGGACAGATGTGATCGTCTGCGCTACGGTATCGGCAATACCTCCAAGGACAGCGTTCGTCACCATCATTGTAAGGACTAATTTGGGTAGTATTAACATCTCCTAGCGGAAAATTAGGTGAGGGGGTTGTAAGGTTCATACCTGGCCGTTCATCGTAGTAGGCGTTAAAACGCGACACCAAGCGCGCGACGATAACCATCTCGATAAAGAATATAACAGCATGAAGAAGAGGCTGAATACGAGGGTAAAGTTAGCGATAAGCAGAAATTTTCAACTCAACGATGGCGGCATCTGAGGAAATAGAGTAGAGATAGTGATGACGATGATAAGTACGTCGATGCTGATGTGGGTTCGCTGTTGGTGGGAACAAAATCTAGGTAGATAGGATCGTGCGGGATGGATTAACGTACGATGCGGTCGAATATGAATTTGCTATTGACTGCTCGAGAAATGCGACGCCGTGTGAGTTCCCAAGACATTGTGGGCGAACCGGAGGAGGCTACACTAAATAAAATAAAATGTAAATCGTGCTCGTCGAATCGGGGCGCGAAAACTGGGCTTCGCAAGAGGGTTTGTACTGGGGATTTTACGATCGATGACGACAGATCGATGGCTCTGATAAGACAGACGAGCCCCGTTTTTGCCCCGTTAACCACTAATGCCAAGTTCGAAAGGGAGTCTGGCTCGAAAACCCACAAAGATCCGTCTTGTTGAGCTGGGGAATACGTCGAATTCCGGACCTGATTGAAGGGAGCCTGGATAAATAAATTTAGTTGGTTTAGACTAAGTTTTGATGATTGATGGAATTTTAGAGGGGAAATAATTAAATTCGACTAACAGGTGCACATGGCAGTTTCAATGTTGGAGAAAAGGAAGGCCCGGCGCTGGAGGGGGGGGGATTGCACTGCCTCTAAGTCAAGTGACGTGACTATACAAATAGTACCGATCGGCACTTCTTCTGCCTTAACATAAATACCTATGTATACTTTTAAAGTCAAAAGTCAAAAGTTAAAACTTTAATATTTCTTAAATTAGAGTAACTAAACCCAAAATTAACTTGGCTAAGAAATCTTATTGTTATTCTCCTTGGATAACGAAATGCCAAAGGACTTGAGGTTATTGTCAATTGGTTAAGTTAGTTACCTAACTACCTTTAAGAGGTAGTTATCTATCTAACCCTATTTAACCTATGGCAAAGATGTTTCAGCTCTAACTAAGCCTATTTTAACCGAACTCATAGTTGGAAACTTCTTACCTGATTGGCCGCAATATCTCTAATACAGGCACTCCATCTTGTAATTGCTGTACCAACAACCAACATAAACATTAAAAATGGGCAGACAGAAAGAGTATAATACATGGTGTAGCCTTTGCTTTAAAGCCGAAAAGACTTTTAATGTTCCTCTAAATTTTAACCCTCGTATAATTAAGTCTCAGCTAAGCTGGTTTCTGAAGAATCACAGAATTGATTTTGCAGGTCACCGTATTGCCGCTCACACTTGCACTCAGACCGCTAATAGAGTATACACTTGCTCCATTGTAGTTTTCGGGCTTTGTGTTGCACCAGCTCGAGTCGGTACCGGTACTTGTCTACTTACTGTTAGATCAGGGCTATTTCTGCGTTGAATGCAAACGACATCTTAAGGGAGGTAGAAAAGGGGTAACCCTAAGAATAGGGGCAGCCGGGCACTTACAATTACGATATTCGAAAACGCAAGAGGACCAAAGTCCCAGTTGACACCGGTACTGCGAATAAATTAATCACTTATGGCCAAATGCCAAAATAAGCAATGAACAGACATACAGCTCGATTGCAAATAGTGCTTGGTTAAACGATTTACCGGCTGGAAAACATGTCAGCTTTTCAAATTCGAAGACCTCTGAGCTGAAGATTTTATCAACCCGTAACTTACCCAACGGGAAGCTGTCCGTCACCTTTTCGCCCGTGGATTGCCGAGTCAGAGTCGACGTCCACGTCGAGCCGCTACTGTCTAGCTTGTTGCTGAACGTGACCTTTTCGTTGGCGTAGGTGTTAAAGCCGCTTCCCCACGGAAGATTAGGGTTCGAACAACACCACTATAACAAGAGCAGTTAATAATTACTTCTTTATATGAGAGATAGTTAAGTTATACTGCGCAAGTCGTAACTCCTAGGACAAGCTAAGGAGAAATTCAATATTACATACTCCTGATCCGATCCACCACGTTCCACTTCTCCCATCAAGTACGTTCTGGTATACACCAGTATTGTCAGTGGGCTGCAGCCCCGGCCACAAGTAATACGTCCCGGCTTTCGGCAGAGCCGGGATCGTCATGTCTCCGGAGAACGACGTGAACTTCTGTCCGGACGCCGGATAGTACCGGAGGAAATACCACGTTGCCGCCGACGCATGTCCAGCAAAGGCCAAGAGGGAGACGAGCAAGGCTGTCAAAAACATTTCATAGCTAAGTACCTGTTATTCGGTAAGTACTATAAATGTAATTTAAAAAAAGATTCTGAGACCGACAACATCGAAAAGAATTCTTAAAGAGTCAGGATAAAAGGCAAGATTTATAAGTTTCATTAGACAGATAGACTACGGTCTAGATCTCTGCTCTCACTAGGTTACTTTCCTGATTCGTGACTTACTTATCTACATGGGTACTATCTATCGAACGGCTATAGTCGCATTCATCATGGAATAGAAGAAACCGGCCCGGTTATTAAAAAGGCAGGCAGGCATATAAAGGAACATGTAGTAGCATTGGTAGAAATGCTATCAGGGTATGCCAGGATACTATCCCATCGGGTCATATTTTTCCACGATTCGGGTTGGCCCGAATTCTACACCATTTAGAGTGTTTCGATAATGTAACTCTTGCTTAACCGGTTTAAGCCTATCACTTGTTTAAATGATGTTAGGTGACTCAGTGATAATAAATTGTGGCTATCAAAAACGACTTTTTCGATAATAGGGGTCATTTGATAGAATTAGTTAAAATTACCTAAATATATTGTATCTTTTTATCGTGAGAGGTTCTGGAATAATCACCATAAGTAATATACAAAGACTTGAGGACATAGAAATGAGTCGGCACTCTCCCTGACAAGCTTGCAGGTATTTTGTTATGAATATCTTAGAAATATATCGGGAGTTGATGAGACTGAGGAATAAAGAGGAAATATATTATATTCAACAATGCTTCCTAGTTCTCCTCTCCGTATGGACTAGAGCCTATAGTTGAAAACTACCCTAGTGGACTACATAAAGTAGGTGTTCATCTCGTCCAGAAACTAACACAATGCTATAGTCACAATAGAGGGTCAATGCCAAATCGTTGGATCTCATCTCAATTAGATAGCCTTAGGGGAAACCCCCTAAGGCACCGAATGCCCATTCGTAACTATTTAGGCATCCATTCATTCCGTCCATACATCTCATTCCCAGGCAGGCTCTCCTAGCTCTCTCGCACCAAGCCTGCCTAGCCCACCCTCGAGATATGTCCTCATTATCTGTTTCATATGTACAAAGTTTTAGAGGCTCATCTCAACCACCCCCAGTTCGTATCCATTTTTCATGCTACTCATATGTCGATGTAGGTTGTTCGTTTTTCATTTCATCTCCCAGTTGGTCTCATTGCAACCCTTCGTCAATTAGTCTAGGTAGAGGAAAACATATCCGCATTCCGAAACGCCGTTTTAGTGAGGTGTAAGTATAGGTGGGGGTATTCGCGGTATGTATGTCGGTGTGAATGAAAAAAGAATCTTGCGACGAAGGGGATTATAAACTCAATTTCGAAGCAGTAGGGAAATGATTCGTAAAAATACAGGCTAGAGTCGGTCGTTTAGCTTCTTCTCGAGGGCCCCCGGGAGGCTCGTGAAGGTCTTGAAGCTCTCGTTCCTCTCGAGTTTCTAGAACGTCGAGTATCGCGTGTTCTCCTATCCGAGCTTAAACTACCTATAGAAGAAAATGGTCAGTAAACTCCCAATCGGAGTTTATCTTTTGGGGATAAACTCACTAGGGCTGCTTGCAGTATAAGAGTCGGTATAGTACGAACTACTGAAGTCACTTTCGCCTCGCGGCGGTTTCTCCCTGCTAGTCCTGCGCTGCTTGTCACTTCTCCTCAAGCCTAGAAGTAGCGCGGTCGCGCCTAGGCCGGCGGCTAGCCAGCCCGCTCCGCCTCCCGATTTCTCCTTTCTAGCGGCGGCCGACGTGGGTCGACCTCCACCACCTCCACCCCCGAACCAAGTCCGGTGAACCGGTCGTGCTGCACTTGCACCTGCACCTCCAGCATATGTGCTACCGTGTCTACTTCCGCGCCTTGAGTATCCTTCTTCGATGATCTCGATTCGTTCCGTCTCTCGTTTCTTCTTGCCTCCGCCAAAAAGGCCGGCGAACGCACCCCAGAGGCCTCTGACGATGCAACAGAAACATAGCAGCAGTAGTAGAATTACACCAGCAATAGTACCAACAACGATACCGGCAATTGCACCTCCGCTCAATGAACCGCTCGTGGTTGCGACAGGAGCCGGTGTGGTTGTAGCCGAAGCAGTTTCGCTGGCTACGGTGCCAGTAGTAGTAGTCGGTGGGGTGGTCTCTATAACGGTGCTACCACTGGTAACCCTGTAAGGAGCCGAGTACTGAGTGGTGACGACGCCGACGGTGGTCCATTGAGTCCAAGAACCGCCACCGTTTGCCAAACATTGGCCTTCGTAGGCGCAGTACTGCCAATTGGCGCAGCAAATGGCGCCGCAAGCGATCTGCCCTGATCCTTCGGGTGGTACACAGGGCTCGCCTGACCCTCCTGCTGGTGCGGTCGAGTCGCCTAGGAATGAGCTGATAGTGCTAGTGTAGGTTCTCGTCTCGGTCCAAGTAGTAGTGTAAGCGACGGCATCCTTTTTAACAACAGCTTGCGGATACGGGTGGGCGATGACGAGGGGAAGGAGTAATGAGAGAAGAAGTGGTTGATATTGGTTGAGTCGCATTTTGATCAAGCTCAGTCCAAATATGGACTCGACTCGAAAATATTGGAATGCGGAATGAGGTAAGTGGCCGAGTTTGAGACAAGCTCTCTCTCACACCGACGCCGCCTATTCTGTCAGTTATCTTCCTTTTCCTCCTCCAAAAACTGAAATCTGATTAATATAAATTGTTAAACGAGGAATGTAGTCTAGTGAAGACTTACATTTCCAAATGTCTTAGGCTTATCAGTTTGTTCCACCAAACCAATTAGTGCAGCTGTTTAAGATAACACCGACAGTTGGTGTCGAGAACAACCTTGTAGAGACCTGGAAAAAAAAGAAAAGTATGAGGAGGGAGGAAAAAAGATGGGAAAGTAAAGAAAGAGAGAAATCGGGACCAAGATTTCTAGCTTCTTTCCTTAACGCATCCTCTTTACAGGTGGGTTGCAACTTCCCAACCTCCTCCGGTATGGGTACGAGGAAGGTGACGGCCAAAAAAAAGGCTGCGAACTGGGAAATACCGCGGGGCTGGTGGTGCCTACTTGCTCCGGCGCAAGATTTAGGAAAGATGAAAACAGAGGGGGTTGGAAATTGACAGGGGTCACAAATCTGATGTCAAATCATCTGGTCTTGTGAAAAAACCAGAAATAAAATAGTAATCATTTATTAAATAATCCGAAAGTAATGTTTGTATCTGTCACCTAGTCCTATCCTTCTTCTTTCCAATTAAACCGTTTCTTACCTCGAATGATGCGACTTAAATAAGTCATGGTCTTCTATCGCAATATGCAAGATGACCAAGTACAGACGCGATGGTGAGTTGGCAGAGTGCGACTTAGTATTCATGTTGGTCCGTGCCCGTTGTAACAGCGACAATCGATTACGCCCAGGTAGGTCCGATAAGTAATCTGACAAGGGTATTTTAGCCTATCAGGGAGCTTGGATGGGGTAGTCCAGTCTTATCACTCCACTTCACCCCACTTCACCTACAAATGTTATAAGTCTTAAGGTGTGCAGGGGTCTTGAGAATTTCCATTCAGTTGGTTAACTGCTGGTCCACGTTCCTGAATTAGCCCATCACCGAAGGTCTCAAGTCGTATGGAAGAAATCCCATTGCTTGGATAATGGGCGTCACCGCTGAAGCCTTACTTTTAAACACGAACTGCTTTCTATGGATATACCCCACGATCTACGTGCATGCTGCTCACACCTAGCCCTAGCCCCTGACATTAAACCTATTTTGCTTTGAATAATTTGAAAAAGTGGTTGTAAGAGGGGAAAGAAAAAGTAGCTCCCATAACATGGACCCTTATTATGCTGCACATATAAGGAGAAAAGTTATCAATGATGCAATTCTTTTTTTCTTCGGAATAAACTGTCGAGATCGATTTTATATCAACAACTTTAAATGTCGTAAAAACCTTGAGTCATCTTTAAGTAGACTATTTTTAGTTAAAGCACAGGTAATTAACCAGTCTTTAGACAATTTCTTATCAGTTTCAACTTCAGTGTTATCTTTTCCGCTACGACCTTTTTTTCTTAGTCACCATTTATCACTTCTTCAAGATTCAAGTGACTATTATTGTTATTATCCCCAGGCGTTCATTTTCTCTCTAGAAGAACATGCAAAAGACTAGTAGTCATGGCATCACCATTCTCAGCCCCATCTCGCAAAGGTGATGCTTGGTTCTATGTCGGCCTAACCTCTTCTTTCCCTAACATCACCGACTCTGGTAGCACTATTCTATCTGAATCCAGTTCTTGCGCAGAACAGAACTCAGCCCCTGGATGCAAGGTCTTTCACGTGCCTGCCAGTGACAGCTCTCAGGCCCGTCAGATTGAAGGCGACTCAATATTCCATCCTGAGGGAGGTCTGCGGGATCAAGTACTTGTGTTTAAATACAAGAGCAAGATCCACGCCATCAACAACGTGAGTTATAATACCTCCTCTTGACCTTGTATGGTTTGTAGAGATATTATGTTATGTGAGAAGGTGGTGACCAATGGTTGGACTAGCGGTGTCCACATTCATCGTATCCTCTGTCCGAGGGTACTCCGTTCGACATCGAGGACTTTGGTATTGCATTGAGTACTGGGATTACCTGTCCGAAGCACGGTTGGTCTTTTGACTTATTCTCCGGGAGAGCAGACCGTGCCAACTATAAGTTGGGAATATGGGAAGTCCAGTTACGCCCCAATTCCGGTATACAAAGCACAGCAGGCGGCGAGAAAGATGGAGATGACCAAGAGGTGTGGGTAAGGAGGAAACAGAGGATGGGGTAGTATAATACACCGAAAGATACTCCTACATTAATAGGGCTATACGCTCCAGCATATGTTGAATGTTTCTGCTGGCGATAATTACGTTACTAAACTCAAGTGACATTATTTTAGCACGATGGCTGGACAATAGAGGTAAGTCAGCTATAACTACCGACTATTTCAAGGGATTACTCCAGTATATAAAGACTCACAGGTATGTAGAGTCTAAATACAGAGTGTAGTAAATCTCGTTCCGTTGAATTAGGGGTAGATCATCTCAAAATAGTTATACAATAAGTAGTGATAACGCCTAGAGGTACCCAGTAAGTCTTTCCAAATAATAATCTCCGAATATAAGCTCTTCCCATCCAACTTCTAATGATACATACTCCCAAAGTCTCCTTTAAGCACTACAACTACTCAGTGGTTTCATAACCTTCTCTAAGAACTGCTCTGCGAAGTAGTCATGTGGAACATCATCTTCTGGGAATCTACACTCAAGGAGTTCCCTTACAACACTATGATACTTGGTGCCCATCCTCCACCCAAGATCTGCAAGGGGCTTCCTCAGCATGAATTTTTGCCATTCGCTTCGGCTATCTGGCTTTTTCTTCTGATCAGCCAGCAAGGCCCAACGTCCAACCTCACACAGAACAACCCCTCAATTATATAGGTCTTTCTTTTACTTGATATAGAACGAAACACGCCAATGGGAGAAACAAAGCCACACGAAAATGGTTACTATACAAATCAAATGACGGAAATCCTGCGTAAAGCTTGGCGGCTTTCATCAGAATGGAGTTACGTGACGAGTTGGAGACTAATACATATAGATTTCTATATAAATACCAAGACCAGGGAAATGACAGATCAAAAGCCGGCCCTCTATCGTGGCGAAGACGATAGAAGTGGTTCGTACGATAGTAGATTGGACGGATTGGGTCTACTAATTCTAAATCTCACTCCTATCGCAGAAAGTCCCGTCGCTAATGGTTGTTGCTATGTACAAAAGTCTTTTGACAGTAACGAAACTATGGAAGAGTTTGGCGATCTATTGGACAAGACTGGCTTGTTCTAAACGGTAGCTTCTAGAGTAATGCTTCGTTTCATATGCGAGGGGCTCGCTCGTGATTCATATAAAGAGATCGCGAGGCTTAAGGATATGTTTCCTCGAGAGAGTTCGCATCAGCGACCAGAAGCAACTTTTGAAGATTTTGTGCGCAATAAGATCCTGATTAATAATCTTCAACGTCTCGGGTTTCGCTTAGGTATCGACGAAGACTGCAATGGTTTGATGGTGCAAGTTGAACCCCTTTTTCATGCTATCATGGGCGATGACCTAGAGGCCCTTGCGGAGTTGGTCGAACTTTCCGATGTCGAGAACGATATTTATTTCAGACATACTCCGTTACAAGTAGCATATGAAGTAGCATATGGATTGAATAAGCTCGATATGGTAGATCTGCTTCTAGCCCATAAAGCCAGGACGGATAAGGTGTTGCCTTTCGTGTATCTACCTCCTCTTCATGATAGTATCCTAAAAAAGAACACACGAATGACAAAACTCCTCCTTAACTCTGGCGCAGACCCGAATCTTAGAGCGCCAAACGGAGCCTTGCCTTTAAACTTCTACGACGATAACAGCAGTCCAGAAATTTATAGATTGTTAATACAGAAGGGAGCGGATCCCAATATAGCAATATCTAAGGATCCCAGAAAACACCCAAAATAGGACTGATTATGACAGATCTAAATGAAGACTTGGAGATATACGTAGATATCATAGCGTTCTACTATGAGGCAAAAGGAATAGCATTACGTGCCTTAAGCTGTTCAGAGGACGGTCTAGAAGGTTATATGAATAAAGACTTGACAAGTATAACTGACTACATGCTAGCTGTTTCTTCGGCTTGGCTTGAGTAATTTTTAATAAGCTATATAGTCGATAGTTATGTATTATTAGAATGATGAGATGAAGTAGCTAATATTTTATCTCATTACTCAGACCAGATCTCATGGAGGCGGACTGTGCTAAGCAATGCATGGCTCGTATTATTGTATCTGTGGGTTATGGATGTGGCGTTCCATGAAATCTGAATTTGGAATCATGTAAATAGAGTGATACCTATGATTGATTAAAAATTAATGTGGCTAGAGGTGTACAACGAAACGAACAAGATTTCGAATATCTGGGTTGAGGCTAGGTACATAGGTACTTGAGATAGGTACCTAAAGTTCCATGCATGTGCTTATGACGGTAACCCCACTTAAGCCAATAGTTTATTATAACGGTACAGCTTCAGCCTTTAACACTAAACCATCCTAAAGCTCGGAAGCCTTGTGCTACCTTACCTCATCTTCTACATACTATTCCAGGGGAGCTCCAATATACCACATTCCTGAATCGAGCTCGCTTCCGGCTCGAATTTTCCGACTTAGACAAATACAACAATTTTCATAGGCCACCTTTAAATAACTATAATTTCCATCATGTCGCTCGATCCCCCTCCTTACCTGGGTTCGCTCCAAAACAACATTCGTCAGCGACCGGTTCCCTGGGATGGCGCAGCTAGAGCAGGCACTATCACCGAGGCCCAATTGGCCAAGATTAGAGCAGTCGATAAAGTGAAAAGAGAACAACGAAAACAAGTAGTCGAAAGCGATCTTGATGGTTACCGAATATTGTTTGTTGGAGGACCGGGCACGACAGGCGTTCTCGAGTCGGCAAGCAAACGTTCCGATGTTGTTCAATACATATTGGTCTTATTGAGCGATCTGCTCGAAGGTGCGTCTATTTCCCTCTATATCACCAATAATCAATCAACACCTTACTCATACTAACATATTGTCTAGGCGTCCCAGCGCTCGCGAAAGCACTCTTTAGAGATCCGGACCCGTATCAACATCTTCTACCTCTTCTTGCGCGCTCGAATAATTCCGAGGATACCATCCCTCTGCTCACCTCTACCGTCCTTACTGCCCTTATGGCCAACTCTAAAGACGAATCCTCATCGACGGAACATGCCTTACCTTTAATTCTAAGCTACCTCTGCGGTTTAGTAAAAAACTCGAATGATGCAGGATTGCAAGATATCGCAGTCATGGAATACTCCTCTCTCCTATACGGACAATCATCCAGACAGCTCTTCTGGAAGCAGAGAAGCGAGACGGTTGCTCCTTTAATCGAGATTCTTCGAAAAGCTGCGGGCGTTGGTGGAGAGTCTTCTGCTAGTCTATGGAGCGGCAACACTACGACCAGGAGCGGTGGTTTCGAGGGCATTAGTGGTGGAGTCGGGCTGCAGCTGCTATACCATGTCCTGCTGGTACTTTGGCAACTAAGTTTCGAGGCAGAAGATATCGGTAACGACCTGGATGAGTACGAAGTCCCCTTTTGGAGTACAAACGATCGCGACTAACATGTGCATAGCGAATACGACATCATTCTTTTATATACTCAGTTACTACGGCTCTCGCCAAAGGAGAAGACTACGCGCCTTCTTCTATCGACGCTGTATAACTTTCTCGAAGCTAATCCTTCCACGCTTCTCCCTACGGCAGTTCTAGCGAGACTTCCCGCTCTACTTCAAAACTTTAGCGGCCGTCATCTTACGGACCCGGACTTGCAGGAGGACTTAGAAAAGCTAAAGGAGATGCTAGAAGAGTACCAGAAGACCAAGACCACATTTGACGAGTACGTCGCAGAGGTTCAGACTGGACATCTAAGATGGTCACCACCTCACCGTCATCAAGTCTTCTGGGTTGAGAACGCACGAAAGATTCTAGAGTTCGAGAACGGCGAAATTCCACGAAAATTGGCGGATATCATGAAGAAGCCATGGGAGAACGACAAGGCGGTATTGGCAATCGCTTGCAACGATGTCGGCTGTCTAGTCAAGGAAGTACCAGAGAAGAGATACCAACTAGAGAAATTGGGATTAAAGACTCGCATCATGGAGCTCATGCAGGATTCCGACGAGAATGTGCGATGGGAGAGCTTACGGGCTCTCGGGGGTTGGCTCAAGTACAGCTTCGAGAGCAACTGAGCAACTCAATAAACTGGTTCGGGTGTGTGGATATGATTATACTCCTTACTGTATTGTTTTGATAGTCATCGATGCTGTGCCACGGGTGCGGGTGCAAAGACACGTCGTCTTACATAGTATATTGGGTAGGATAGAGACGTGATAGGCTGATTTGAACTAGTCTACCGGTAGGTAGTCAACAAACTTCAAACTTCAGGCTTCAAACCTCGACCGATGCTTAAGAGTTGGTATCAAGATATGTTAGGTTGTGCGGGGGATACTAGGCCCTGCTCGGCTTCGATAATGGAGCTTTTGATATGAGTTGTCTTAAGTCATGAATAAGCTGTCAACTACTAAAGATGAGTTATCTTAGTAGGTTCTACGTAAGGGACGGAAGTAGAGCTTCGTATGCTTATCACTGTTATAACGTAATAGTACCCAGCTTAGCTTACCGGAAATGATATACAGATGATATACAGGTAATATACGTCCGGTGCTCGGGGGTTCGGCTTAGCGGTAAGAAACGGGCAAAGATAAAGAAGCTACCCCTCTTGCCCAATTGAACCTTTTATGGGAATAATAAGCTAGTAAGCCAGTAAAGCCTCGGGTTTATGACGATCCCGATAACGCTACCCCATGCCGACGGCAATACCCCACACCGATAATATGTAATAGCTGAGTATTGCCATTCCACCATGTACCTACTCGCACTTACTCAAATAACATATGTACCCCATCCCGAGCGTTGCCCCTTCCGGGGAACGAAACGTATGCATTGATGCCAATGGCTAATTCTTATGCCCAAGGGCTTATGTAGAAAAGGGGTCTTGTATTTTTTTTTTCTTTTTTTATTATTAAGAGTTGATCTTGTCTTCACTATGCACCGTCTCATATGCACACGAGGTATTACTACCAGCGCCGGTCGTATTGCTACTCGTCGATTCTCCTCTTCTCTATCATCATCCCCCGCCATATTCAGAATGTCGTCAAGAGCGGCGACCTCTTCCCGTTTGGCCGTCGTGGCTAAGCAGCTTCGTCCTATGAGCGCCTTAGCCTCGACGGCTACGAGCTATCCTACGACACACGAGAAGATAGAGAAGCCAGAGGATACGCCGTATTTTGTAGATAACGAGTTCCGACCCAGCCAAACGGATAAGTTCATCGACCTACACGATCCGGCTACTAATAACCTCGTCACTCGTGTCCCGCAACTCACAAATGCAGAGCTCCAGGCTGCTGTAGATAGTGCCCAGCGCGCGTTCCCCGAGTGGAAGGCCAAGAGCGTGCTTGCTCGCCAGCAGATCATGTTCAAGTATGTTAGCTTGATCCGCGAGAACTGGGACCGTCTTGCCGCAAGCATTACCCTCGAGCAAGGAAAGACATTCGTAGACGCTAGGGGTGACGTCCTTCGTGGTCTTCAGGTGGCAGAGGCCGCGTGTGGTGCCCCGGAATATCTCAAGGGCGAGGTGCTTGAGGTTGCTAAGGATATGGAGACGAGATCTTATAGGGAGCCGTTGGGTGTTGTTGCTGCCATCTGCCCTTTTAGTATGTGCCAATATAACATCGATTTAATATCATATAAGCCAATTTTGCTAACAGCACTAACTAACAGACTTCCCTGCTATGATCCCCTTATGGTGTATCCCGATTGCGACGGTAACCGGAAATACCGTGGTCCTCAAGCCTTCCGAGAGAGATCCCGGAGCGGCTATGATCTTAGTTGAGCTGGCGAAGGAGGCCGGTTTCCCCGAGGGTGTGGTTAACGTAGTCCACGGAGCTCACGACACCGTAAATTTCCTCCTAGACGCCCCGGAGATCAAGGCGATCAGCTTTGTCGGCGGAAACAAGGCCGGCGAATATATCTTTAGCAGAGGATCCGCCAACGGCAAAAGAGTGCAGGCCAACCTGGGTGCCAAGAACCACGCGGCCGTCATGCCGGACTGCAACAAGAATCAATTCCTCAACGCCATCGTCGGAGCTGCCTTCGGTGCCGCCGGTCAACGGTGCATGGCTCTCAGCACGCTAGTTATGGTGGGCGAGACGAAGGAGTGGCTAACGGAACTGGCGGAGAGCGCCAAGAAACTTCAAGTTAACGGCGGCTTTGAAGAGGGTGCCGACTTGGGTCCCGTCATCACGCCGCAGAGCAAGGCGAGAATCGAAAGCCTTATCGCCAGCGCCGAAGAGGAGGGTGCCACGATCCTCTTAGATGGGCGAGGCTTCAAGCCGGAGAAGTACCCTAACGGAAACTGGGTTGGTCCCACCATCATCACAAACGTTACCAAGGACATGAAGTGCTACAAGGAAGAGATCTTCGGCCCAGTGCTAGTCTGCCTAAACGTAGACACGCTGGACGAGGCAATCGACCTGATCAACCAGAACGAATACGGCAATGGTACGGCTATCTTCACACGCTCAGGCGCGACGGCCGAGACATTCCGACGTAACATCGAGGCCGGCCAGGTCGGTATCAATGTCCCGATCCCAGTGCCCCTGCCTATGTTCTCGTTTACCGGAAACAAGAAGAGTGTTGCTGGAGGTGGTGCGAATACATTCTACGGACGACCGGGGATTAATTTTTACACGCAACAGAAGACTGTTACGGCATTATGGTCGAGCGCGGATGCTATTTCTAGGAAGGCGGATGTGGCTATGCCTACGCACAGCTAATGGGTACATGGATTTGGAGGGTTATGAGCAAGCAAACAATCTGTATATAGCCTGTATTTATTTGCTTCAATGGGATGATGAGTTACGGTCTTTACGATGTTAACAGGTTTCATGAGAATGATGAGTATTATTATGTGATACGATTTTAACAGATCATGATCATGTTATTGCGGAATAAAGTGAGAGCTTTCGTAGGGGCTCATAAATATTTAAGTTAGCTGGGTAAATAAACTCATCCAAAATCCATCCAATTACAACTTTTCATACTTTAACTTATGAATATTATAATAAATCTAAAATTTATCGTAATTTCTATATAACTAAATCGTATTAATCGGCGGTATACCAGAAAATGTAGTCAGTTCAATGTACCCAGCCGCATCACCTCCGCCTCCTCCGCCGGATCTTGTCGGAGTTAAACCAAGACACTGACGTACTTGGGGGTATCCATTATATTCTCCTTCCCCTCCGATTCGTACATCAAACTTTAGTTATATAGCCATTGCGATGGAAACTAATTTTACTTCTTCTCAGCCTGGGAATCCTAGTTTAATCAAGATAGGAAACGGAAATGGCAATAGTAACGATAATGGTATCGGTAATGGATTTAACGTCAATATCGACGTTAACACCACCACTTCCAACCCCAAAGACCTAACAGACCTCCCCCTCGACCTCTTCGTCATCATAGCCCAGTTCCTCAACCCCCAGGACATCATCCTTTGCCGCCGCGTCGGCCGCGCCTGGAATGCCGCGTTCACGGACGCGGCTGCGTCCCACCACTTCATGACGCGGCACTTCCCGCGCTCGCGGGAGATGCGCACCGGGGATATCGGCTTGAAACCGGATTGGGCGCGCGTGTTCGCCGACGTGGCGAGACGGTATTTCTACCTGCGCGCTGCGAGGCCGCGGCTGGTCGAGAAAATCGACGTCGTGCGCGAGGGCACGGCTGGCTTCCAAGGCGTCCCCCCTTGGGATCGCTGGTTACGCTGGGATGACCATACCGCGCCTTTCCAGTACCCGGATACCACCTGGTCTGTCGACGGTGGGCTGCTGGTGTACCAGGAGGTGGTGGCGCGGCGCTGGGTCGCGTATGATCTGGAGACGAGGCGGTTGTTCGACGTCCCGTTCGATACGAAGGGGATAGTTGTTCGCAGATTGAGGCTGGGCGAGGGGGTGTTGGTGTTTGAGTGGTGTAAGGTATCCGGGGTGTATTCGTTGGATTCGCCAGAGATGTCGTATCGGCATTTTGCGACGGCGTTTGATGTCCGGCGGCGACGACGGTGCCGTGGAGAGGGGGATGAGAATGAGGTCCGGGTTGAGTGGGATATCACGTTCCGCTGCGAGTGGAAGATTATCGCGATAGGCTTCCCGCTAGACGACCAAGACCGCTTCTTCTCGGCACACACGGCGACGCACTACGCGCTATACTTGTGGCAGCCAGACCGGTCGCCGTGGCTCATCGATCCACACGAAGAGCTTACCGTGTGGGATATTTCGCAGCCTTCAACGTACCGTCCGTCGCTAGATATGGCCGAGGCCAACAAGCTTATTCCCGATAGTCCAGCTCTCGTTAAGATGTTCTCGCGCCGGGATCTCGAGTTCCTGGGCTTGCGCCAGCGATACACGCCGTCGATAAGGGAAATCCACCTCGACCAGGACAACGTGTACGTGCACGAGGAAGAACACCGCTGGCTGGCGGGCCAACACGCGGGCCTGTCGCCGCCGCGACACCACCAGGTGCGGTGCACGGGGGTCCCGTTCTCCGGCACGGGGCCCCGGTGGTTCGACGAGTGCTGCGCCGACGGCGACGTGCACATGAGCTTCTGCCCGCGGGCGGGCTCGCTGGCCCGGATCCTGGGCAGCGCCCGGCTGTCTTCTGGCGGCGGCGGCGCGGAGGGACAGCTGTGGCCGGGGTGGGCGCCGTGCTGGCGGCACGAGGAGTTTCCGTATCTGACGGTGAGCGACGCGGTGGATGCGCGCGCGGGGGTCAGGGTTGTGGCGCGGCAGTGCTTTATCATGGAGGCGCTGTCGAGTTTTGTTTTGCCTAAGATTAGCGTGTTGGAGGAGCGGGAGCAGGATGTGTTGACGAGGGTACGGGAGGGAGAAGGAGGGGATGGGGATGGGGATGGGGATGGGGATGGGGATGGGGATGGGGATGGGGATGGGGATGGGGATTTGGTGGCGGAGGTTAGGTTTCCGGATGAGATGTGGTGGGAGCTGATGGGACGGGGGAAGATAGCGGGGGATGAGCGGTGGGTTGTTGGTGAGGATGGTAATGGGAGGGTTACTGTTGTGAGGTTTTGAGGATAACTTAGGTACTTAACTACCTAGGTTAGGGGTAATAAGTATTTGGTTGTTTATTATCTTGCGATAGATGAGGGTGTTTAGAGATTGCATAAGGGATCCTATATGTGTGTACAATGATGTAGGTACTGTTAGATAAACGGTTTCGTACGGTTGGGGTGGAATCAACATCAACATAGCTACTCTAGGGCTGAGCATTATACTTGATAAAGGGGTACCTAACAAATCAGAGTAGAAGCCCCTTTTAAGCCCCTATTATAACCGCCGAACCAACACACCTATAATGTAAGGGTAGTGAAACAATGCTGTCTGATCAATGAGGAATTTATGCTTAGATTTAGACTTAAAAAATTCATAATTAGTTACTAAGAATCTCTTAATTGATATAATACTCATATAAACAATATCATGTTGCTTTTATATTTATTAAATTGCAAATCCAGCTTCGAAAAGCCGAACATAGAGCGCTATCATTATACATCATCGCTCATCAAACAACGTTTGGTATCATATAAACTAACCCCCCCCCTCCCCTCACCAATATTCTCACATACTCAATATAATCGTGTCTTGCGTAACTCCTAAGCCTTTGAGCCCGCCGCCGCAACACCACCTGCAACACCAGCAGTTCCAGCACCAGCAGCCAGGGTCGACTTCTTAACGAGCTTCAGACCCGCGATAGCATACACAAGGCCTTCAACGCCGAGAATTACGACAAGCGTGACCAAAGCGCCGATGACACCAGCAACGGGGAGCGAAATGCCGTTGCCAGACGTAGTAGCTGCCGCACCGTTGCCGTTATCACTATCAGAACCACCCGGCGAAGACGCCGCGCTCGCGCAGATACCCGTCGTGTTTCCGCAGGCTTGACACCATGCCGCCGTATCCCCGATGGCAAACTTGTTGATCTCAGCAGCGAAATCGTTCCACGGGAGCGGGGACTGTTCCCGTCCAAATAGCGGGAACTCGCGGGGCGCGTGCTGGGCCGCGGACCCGTTCGCCACCAGGAAGCGGACGGACACGTCGTCGAGGCTGGGGTAGGAAGCCGTGCTGGCGTTGGTAACGAGCTCGAAGACGATGGACGACGCGTAGTCGACTACGCCGGTGAAGTCGGCGGATATCTTGTCCAGCTGTGCTAGTCCGAAGAAGGACATGAAGGACGCGTAGGCGCCGAATTGGATGCCGACGGGGGTCTTGCTGCGGCTGGTCAGCGTGGAGTTGAGCTGCTGCAGGATCTGCGCGGCGAGCGTGGCGCCGGCGACGGCGCGGATCGGGTCGCTGCTGTTGTACGCGAGGTTCCACTCGTGAGCGTCGGCAAGAGTCCTCAGCTCGAACAGAGCGTCGTCCGTGAGCAGGTTCTCGGACGGGATCGTCTGGTTGTGGATGGTAGCCACGTTGACCAGGTCGAAGATGGTGTACGCGTTCTTGAAGTTGGCCTGGCCGGCGCTGAAGGTGCCGTTGATCACGGGCAGGAGACCGCTGTAAAAAGACCGCGTGCGGTCTAGCGTGCTGGCGAACTCGGCCGATCGGAAGTAGTCGTTGGAGCTCACCATGGCGTTGCCGCAGCCGGAGCCGCCCTGCAGCCACTCGTTGTTCTCCGAGTTGGGGTTCGAGGAGGCGGTCGACGATACCCCGACGGGGATGTACTGGTATCCGCCGAGCGGAGCCTGGACCTCGGACTTGTTGGCTAATACGGACATGCCGTTGTCGCCGGCGGGCGGGTAGATGCCCTGGAGAAAAGCCATCGCGGAGCTCTGGAGCACGGAGTCCGCGGGGGAGATCACGCTTAGCTGCGTGGGCACGGCGATGTCGTTGCTCAAGCCGACGATGGGCGAGCGCGCGTCCGATGCGACGTATTTGCTGCGGTAGTAGCTGCCGGACTGGAAGACCTGGTCGGCGCCCAACGCGGTCAAGTTGGTGGGCGCGAGACTTTTAGGAGTCCGATCCCCGTGGCGGTGGAAGATGTAAACGCCGAGGACCGTCTCGCTCGTCGCGAGCGGCAGAGTCGCCGACGAGAGCAGAAGCGTTTTTAACTGCATAATGAACCTGTACTACCTATTATCTATCTATCTACTATCCTTATTATATCCTATATCCCTTAACTAGTAAATTTATAGCTGGGACTTTCAAGCGTGCCAGATCAGGAGAGCATCAATCCGACGGGGGCTTCGAAGAAGAGAAGCAGAAGCAAAGCTGGTGGTGTGGTGGGAAGAGTCACTTTTTGGAGTATTTGAACTATGCTACGAGCAATGAGCAGCGCGCAGCCCCGCTCCTCGCAGGGTTGCAGCTTATACATACTATTACATATGTAGAATAAATCGCTAGCGACAGCCGCGTACGGGACGGCTAGACGATTCGTCGGTGCCGTTTCTATTACGCTGCGAGTATCTACATACATACACACATACACACATACATACATAGTAGGGCGAAGAATCTCTCCACCCACGCTCCCACCGACCTGCCTAGTCCGGACATCAGCCCAGGTTAGATCGATTAGATACCGCCAACGCTCGTCGGGAGGGTGCCAAGAGCGGATCGATCACCGTCGGATTAGCCAATCAGAGCCGGAGCAGGAGAATTTCTTGCATCTCCGCTATAGGTCCGGGAGGGTCCGAAAGTGTTTAGCACTTGCTTCCGGTCTTTGCTAGGTACCTAACTAATATGTTTGCGTTTGTAAAATCTAGTTGATAATAAGAGATTGCTAGATCGGAGGCGAAGTGGGTTGTTGCTGATATGAAGAGGTGAAACATGATATTGAAAATAATATTTTTAGTTGGGATTTGTGAGAGAAATGCGATGGTATGACAACTTTAGTTATAAAATCATGTTTTTTTAAAAAGCTAAATCTAATGCTGTTAGGTTAATTTCAAAACATGTGATAACAATTCAGTTTTATAGACATGAAGAAGAATATCCGTAAAGTCAAATAAGGCTCTAGTTATTAATTATATCACCTTACTATATCTATCTTCAGGGATCTAGCAATTTTAAAAGCCTAACACACTTGTAGACTTTATGGAGATGTCGTGTCATTATAGCTAATAATTATATTGTATAATAGTGTCCAACTTTAAGAGCTAATAGTTATACTGTTAAAAAAAAGTGTATGTAATACCGATACGGCATTGCGCTCATCCCAAAGCAATGCTTTACACTTATGAGTTCTCGCTTATTCTATACATTTTCACTCATATTTCATCACTAAACTGACGGCAATAATGCCGTGCTTTTTTTTCTAGTGAAGGCGGTAATGTCCAGTTCCTCTTTACGCCCCTCACTCCCATTAAAGACTCATAGACCTACTTAGATAGTTACCTAGATGAAGAGTATATCAGATCCTTACAATAATCACCTAGCTACGTAAATAACTATTCAAAGCCTCTAAGCTATTATATCTTCATATTTTAACTGGTTTACCGTCGGACGAGACAGCTACCTCGCGGTTTATAATGAATCTCCCTACTCACAATTACTCAAGTTAGATGCAAATGTTAAGGTATCACAATTACTTTAGGCGCATATCCGTGGCCTTGATTATGTTTTGTACAAAGAGAATAACTATGTTAAATTATTACTCGACATATTATAGCCATCATAATTTAAAAGGAGTGACAATGTAAACCAACACTACCAAAACTCAGAACCAATACTTCCACCCCAACCTGATCACCCACGCCTCCCCCAAACTCCACATAACATAACATTATCCTACGCATTAAATTCATATCATATCCGAAAAATCCCCCTATAACCCCCTATCATCATCATCCTCGTCCTAACCACGCCTCCCCACTCAGCGCTTAGCAATATTACAAGTCTTCAGACACTGCTCAACACCAAGAGCAACATTAGCGCTGATAAGCCCGCGGAACTTATCAACGTCGGCGCCGTCGATGCTGTTACCGGCCGCGGCGCGGATCGTGTCGTCCTCCAGGGCGAAGTAAGCCTGGGCGATGGTGTTGACGCCGGGGTCGTCGCTCGACAGGGGCGCGATGAAGGTTACGTTGTCGCAGGTGGGGTTGAGCTGCGTGTGGAGGGCGCCCATGTAGTAGGGGGTAGCTTCTATATACAGGAGTTAGTGACTGACTGACTGACTGACTGACTGACTGCGTTTCAACTCTTTCTTAAGATCTTAGGAAAGGGGGATGTGGTTTGTGGGGTGGGAGGTAACGTACGTAGTTCTTCGATGGTGTTCATGATGTCGCGAGGTTTCTTGTCCGCGTTGTTAACGCCGTTCTCGACGATCATCTCCGACATGATCTTGCCCTTCGTCACGATGAGGAGCTCCGTGGCGCGGTTGTGCACGTGGGGGGTGTTGAAACCGCAGGGGCCGAGGAAGCCGACGGCCATGCCGATCCCGGTGCTGGTTAGAGCTGGGAAGGTCTTGCGCGTGGCTAGGACGATCTCGCCGCCCTTGCCTGGGCCGAATACCCGCGCTTTGTTGAAGTCGAACACGAAGTCGGAATCGTCTTTAAGGACGTTGTTGATGGCATCGGTGTGAGTGTCCGAAAGCAGGATCTGCTGGACTTTGCTTAGGCCGGTTGGCGTGGCGGGACTTGCGGTGCTGGTTGTGGAGCTGGTGGACGCTGTGGCATCGCTCGTAGCAGATGCAACAGCTGCCTCCGTTACAGAACTAGACTGGCAATAGCTCACCGAGGCGTGGTAATGCACGCCAGAAGAAGTTTCGTGGGGTGTCTCGCTAGTCTCAGTTCCGTGAACACCTAGGATCGTGTGTAAACCAGAGTCTGTCTTGACCCAGTCCGGCTCATTGCGCCTGTTAGCCGGTGCAGCTGAGGCAATGGCGCAGAAAGCCAAGATGGCTGCGATGGTGCTGGACTTGAACATTATGATGGTATTAAGATGATTAAGACGATTTGGTAGTTAAGAGAAGATTGGCCCCAGAGGATAATTGTGCTGGTATTGATTTATTAAGATAGCAGGAATAGAGCCAATGAAATAAGGAAAATAGAATGATAAGAAATGAGAAACTTCGATTTGGTTTTATAGTTGATGGTGATGATAAAAAAAAAACTCTTCCATCGTGAAATTTGTTCAAGTCTTTATATCCATCTCCTTTCAAAGTCACAACCAGCAAACATCAAACGAATAAACCAATAAACATTCTTCGTGTATTATTAGACTTTATCACCCAGATGACAGCCTCTCCCTTATGGAAGTTGAAGGTTCCGCAAGGCGGAGCAAGACCGGCTTGCCAAGTTCCCGGGCCCGAGTTGACGGTTTAAGCTACCGGGAACGCACATGATTGGATGCGATGGGAGGCGTAGCTAAAAAAAAGACAAAAATATCTACGGCGCTAGCAAATGTTAGTAATACCTACATTAGGTATGTACACGTGTGTAGGGCTGGCTGGGTTATGTAATGACGTCTAACGAACCAATCGTAGACGAAATGTGCTTTGCGATTTGGTGCTTACTTTTTACATAGATGCTAGGTGCCGTTGCGTTGGCTTGGCGCGCTCTCGGACTTTGAAGATACGACGAGATAGCTGTTTTGATCGTATCGATCGAAGAGTAGATAAGGTAAAAACACTATAGCTTTCATTTTGAGACTAGCGACATCCTAGAGAATAGTTATTTTTAACTGGTAAAATAAAAGGATTCGAATTCCATCTTTACTCTTATTCTTATTCTTATTCTCTGCCTTTTTTTATGTTAACTAGGTCATATGAGAATAAAATAAAATAGTTTACGAATTTTAAGCACATGTCAGTTGGCTAAAGTAAACCACGTGCTATGAAGCTCACCATCAGATCTATTAATATAATTGAACTCTAGCAATTGGTAAAGCTTTAAATATTATGTGATCGTGGCTAGTTTAGGTTGATAAGAACTCACTTAAGAGAAGTAGTTTAACTCCTTAAGATTTAACCTTGGTAAACACTTGTTTCCGAAAGACTGTATTTACTAACTACCTAGGTAGTAAATGGACGAAAAACGACTTTGACTTTGGATTAGTTATAATTAATCTGATCAATCTGTTAGTTTATCTATCCACAACTCTATAGAATTGAACCTCATCGGTTCAGATTAATTTAACTAGACGCATCTTTACGATACCGCTCTTTTGTATGACTACGGTCTCAGCGCCTCATTAAGCCTCAAACTGGAGATCAGCACTGACAATTATACGACCCCATAACGCTAACCTTTTAGAAGATAACGTTTAATTACTTTCCCACTGAAACTTGCACGTGCTCAAGATCTCACGACGGTTTTTTTCAGATCTTGTTACAAAAATGTGTTAGCCCTTACCTTTGCTTGTAAGAGCTGGTAGCGAGCTTACTTCTTTGCGATTAGTGGGGTTAAGCAACACCATGGTTCTGAGTATTGATGAGCTCAGCAATGGTTGTATTCTTCAAATGCGCAATTGATGTATTGAAGAGATCGTGTGAGGGAAACGTAATGTGAGATGAATAGAGAATGAGAATATTGTAAGTATTATAAAATAGATAATATATTTAATCCAGGGATTAAAATCCTACCGGAGGATAACACTTAATTTTAGTTGAGCCGATTGAATCTTCACGTGAGACCCATGCTGTAGCTGTATGTATGTTTCTTGCATGTTTCCTGCATGGATTCGCGTTAGACGTCAAGTTAATAGCTACCAGGTGTAGTAAGCCGCATGCCAGCTTTTTTATTCCACCAAATCCTAGCCGAGAGGATGTCGAGAGCTAATTTACGCAAGTAGTCCAACGCACATTGCAGCGTTGCAATATAAAGATACTGGGTAGCATATTCGCGCCTTAACGCCTGTCCCTTGATTTGGACCATACAGCTCCTAGATCACATCAAGACGCGTGCTTTGCGCGCGAGGTTACATCTAAAAGGAATTAAAAAGAATCAGTGTTGGCTTTCTACGTGGACTCGCACTTCGAAGAACACGTAGGGAGAAGTTTGGGTTTCCTTTAAAGCCCTAGTCAGGAGTTGTTGATCTATTGCAGAAAACGGCCCCATGTTAGTTGCGACTAGTATCAGCATCGTTCGTTGGTACATATATTGGCACCATATATATCCATATCATTTCGTGGATGCCTTCGAAATTTCTAGCGAACTTATGTCGATCAAATCGCGCACCGTCTTTTCGCGCGTTGGTTCCTGCATTAGTGTATGGCCCGTCAGGTTAAGAGTATTGGTAGAATTGATAGGTGATCTTGGGGAAAAAAAGTGAGAGAATGGGAAATTCGACAGAGAGTTCCGGTAGTTGCATGGTCTCCACTCATCCAGATTTGGGAAGTGGATCCGTACCTGCATTTAGTTCATTTATCCTAGTGGCCTGTCATTGGTTAGTCTTTCAAGAAATTTCAATAAGCTCGGGGGTACCCGGGGGTACCGGCCAATGGTAGCCATGGTAGATTGCGCTACTCGCTAGAATACTCACTAACAAAGCCCCTAGAGAGAGGCCCTGTTCACCTGCCCAATGCGCCCCCGTCTCCTGTTTTTTTCCCTCTCTTACACCCCCCGTCCGCCCCGTTTGCCCGTCTCCGCTGTCTCTCCTTCTCCTTTGCTGGAGTCGTCTTTTTTCTCCGTCTTTTCGTGCATCGCGGCCCAAGTCACTCCTTATTTGGCTTCCTCCTCGCTCGTTCTCTCTTTTTCTTGTTTATTGTCGGTCATTATCGTAGAGATTCGTCTCACTGTCACTCTTTTGAAGTAAATACAAAACGTTCGTTTTAAGACTTACGAAGTCTTATCAATCGCAAAATCCAGTTTTATTTTTTGCGCATCCCACGACCAGACTTAAAGATATACCGATCGATCGTCGTCTTGATTGTTGATCTCGTTCTCGTTGTTGATCAGTCGCTACGCTAGTAGAGGGGCCATCTGCCTTTAGCTTCACTAATTTGGAGCATATACCTGTTTAACACGAAAATCATTACTAGGAATTATGAAGATCACAACGATACAAGCCGCCGTTGGGTCGGCAGTATTCCTCTTGAATGCTCAACAATGCGCTGCCACAGCTCAGCATCGCCATCACCATCTGCACCTAGAGAAGAAGCACGGTCACAGTCACAGCCATAGTCATGTTGGCATTCAAAATGCCTACAACCCAAAGTACAGCCAACGAAATAGCTCCGCGCTCGTGTCGCGAGATGGCAAGAAGAAGTGCCAATTCCCGGAAGATAAGGGTCTATTTGCTGTCACTCCGTCTGAGATGAACGGCGGCTGGGCCCTGGCTCCCGATCAAGAGTGCGTCTCGGGCACTTGGTGCCCTATCGCCTGCCCTCCTGGTAAAGTCATGGCGCAATGGAAACCGAACACACATTATACCTTCCCCGAATCAACTGTGAGTATTTATTCTCCTAGAGCCTTGTTATAGCAACTAGCTAACCTGTCGTAGTATGGTGGTGTTTATTGCAACGATGATGGTGAAATTGAGGTTCCTTTTAAGAACAAGGCATGGTGCGTTGACGGTACCGGTGCGGTGGAAGCTGTGAACAAAGCCGGAAAAGTTGTTTCTTTCTGCCAGACTTGCCTGCCCGGCTACGAAGATATGATCATTCCTACCGATGTCCTCGACACCGCTACTCTAGCTGTTCCGGACATGTCTTATTGGGACTCGACCGCAGCTCAGTAAGTGTTGTCTCGATTAAGTTGATATTCATAGCTAACATGACTAGTTACTATATCAATGCTCCCGGTGTTAGCGCTGATGAAGGATGCCATTGGGGTGACGAATCGAAACCTATTGGTAACTGGTCTCCGTACGTTGCCGGAGCGAACACGGTCGGAGACGGAGACACATTCGTCAAACTCGGAATAAATCCGGTATGGCAAGATTCGGCACTTTTTGATACGAAACCAAACTTTGGTCTTAGAGTGGAATGCCCGGAAGGAGGCTGCAACGGAGCAAAATGCGAAGTCGACGGGTCTGGTGTTCGGAGCGACAACAAAGCATCCGGCGCTGGTGGCTCAGACTTCTGCGTTGTAACAGTACCTAAGGGTACTAAAGCTAACATCGTTGTTTTTAACCTAGACGGCTCGGGAGGCGATGCTGAATCATCAAGCTCTTCACAAGCTTCGTCTTCATCTGAGCCAACTTCCACTCAGGCTTCTAGCACGTCGAGCACTTCTACATCGAGCTCTGCACCGCCGACAACGACTTCAACTTCGACTTCCTCGACTTCTTCAACTTCTTCGACAGTCAGTTCCACGTCAACCTCATCTTCATCTTCTTCAAGTTCGTCGGTCATCAGCACATCGACAAGTAGTAGCTTCGTCACCAGCAGTTATGCGACAACTTCAAGCCATGCAAGCAGCACAAGCACTTCGGCATACCTAGCTGGTGTCTTCCAGGAAAATGCAACATCGATCTCCAGCTTTACCCGAAGCCCGCCTTCCTCGACTCCCGTTCCTATTCCCACCGATGGAGGAGACGTTTCGGGCGATTCGAACAAGAATGAAGGCGCAGGTCCGCGACAAGGTGGTGCTGCCGTTGCAGGCTTGATTGTTGCTTTTGTGGCCGCTACCTACCTACTTTGAACTAATTAGGCGGTTAAACACGTTGGATACGACACGAATCTTTTTCATTTCGTCTATATATATCGACTGATGTCTACAAGCTTTGACGCTTCTGTCTTGGCTATTACGACTTTTATAGTCCTTGCGGTGCGAACTCCGTCTTGCTACCGGAATTGTCGATATATCGTACCGTATCGGTACAACTATATATGCACTTATTTCCGTACATTTTACAGCTCCGGTCTCTGACTGGAGCTGGTTTTATATAACGAATCATTTATTCAGTAGTGTTTATTATTTATCTCTTAACTGATAATCTCAAGTCTTTTCTTGGATATCGTTCTTGAGCTGCACACTTTTTTT